TCACCTTAATGAGGGATGAGGCCTACTGCCAGCTCCTCAAACAGCTTACTGCTAACACCAGCTCCAAACCGTAAGCCTGCTGGCCACACACTTTCGATGTGCATCAATTTGGTCTGTGATCATAAGCATGTCTGTGCACTTGTCTGCTCTGCAGCGATAGTTGCCAGCGAGGCTGGAGGCTGCTCTACATTCTGACTGGATTCCATCGCTGTTCTGAAGTGCTCAGGCCGTTCTTACTGAAATACCTGCAACAGGCTTCTCGTGGTGCTGGTCCACAGTACCAGGGTAAGAACATGCACAAACGCAAACATCAACATGGAAGATTTACCAAAATACCAAATTACTAGAAAATATCTCTTCAAACCTTTAGGCATCGCTAAAGCATGTGAGCAGAATCTAAAGAAGACGTTCCAGTTCGGTGGTCGTATTGTTCCACCCAACAGCATGGAGCTGAAAGCAATGATGGTCAGTGTTTATCTGCAAGAAACACCCAAATCCACATAAATGGAAATAGTGTTGGAGTCAGTTAAGATACCTACTATTATGCCGAAAAGCAGAAAAATCCAATAGCTGTAATATAAAATGTTAAAGACCTTCATCATGCAGGAAAACCAGATTCAGAAACATGGTGTTGCATTTAAATCTGTCACATGAAAACTATTGATGTTAAATAACATATTAAAGCAAGAACACACCAGATCCTTCCTTCAACATTGCAATTAACATTCTAAACATGACCATACGGAAGGATATTGACCTTTTCCACTCAAATTCTGTTTTAGTAAAGAAAACATAAAACAAAAGTTTTATCTGAAAATAATCCAACAAATACAGTTTTCGGCAGGAAGTGGTGTGCCTAACAATTTTAGCAACTGGCAGCCTCACAAAAGACATGTTGTAAAAAACTTAATGATATACTAACCAATAGAATCTGGTCTTTTCATGTATTTCTTGACAGTAAGAACTACTGACTGCAGTATCCTTCTCCTTATAATGTATTTTTCACTCATTTTAACTGGTAACAATGGAGGTTGTTAAAGCTTCAGAGCATGACTTTAGATGTATTTCAGTCCGTAATAGTGAACGGGATAAAGTGTATGTGCTGCATATATCACATTATTATGTGACTGTGCTTCCTCAGGCGGGGCGAAGCTCAAAACGTCAGCTGTTCCTCTTCCCTGGAGGCATCGAACGCCACGTGAAAATTAAAACATGTTCTGTAAGTGTTCACCCACAACTGGCGGTTCACCATCACTGCAATCCAGAGGTATAAGAAAAGTTTAGATGGGCCTGTGTGCCTTTGCTGACCATTTTTCAGGTTGCCCTGGAGGTGATAGAGGAGCTGTGTTATGAGATGGGTTTACACAGACTGGATGCCATGGAAGAATACGCTATATTTTTGGTGACCACTAGAGGTATGCACACAGATGTCATCTTTCATCTCTCACACATATGGACGCAACTTAAGCTTTTGTATTTCTGCATTCAGACAGTGTCCTTATTATTGGTGGTGAAACCGATCAACTCACAAAGAAAATTTCCTGCTTATTGTTCAAAAATCTTTTACAGAAATCGATTCATCCTCTTGAACTATAAAACAGAAGTCATGGCAAAATAATGAGAAATGCTTTAATGACATATTTTTTTCTGAAAAGCAGCATGTACAAAGAAACTCTGTTGATTGAAATTTAAAACAAGAGAATCGTGTATGCAAATAATTGAATGTCTATACTTGTGTCCACTTAGAAAGAAAGCAAAGTAAACAGAAGTCACAAACTGGGGCTCTGAACAATTGAAAGGCTGAAATAAAGCAAAAACTGGAAAACATTTCACTTTCCGAACTGCCCCTTTCTGAGCTTGTCAAACAATGTTCATTGTCCCTCTCAAAACGTTGACCAGCAAAAGCTCCACAAACATTTATTCTACCCCTTCTCCACAATGTAGAGAATATTGTTCCCGTTGTTGCAATCCCACAAAAGTTTGATATCATTGGGTATGGAGCAAGAATAGCTTTGGTTGTAACAGGTTAGATCTATGACCAATCAGGGCAGTGAAACACAGGGTTTATTGCTCAGCGGCATGCCTCAAGGGTGCTTCTTTGTACAATTTACTATATCAAAACAGTCTCTCGTTGGATTAAAAGTTTTCTCTGACCTTGCTCAGTAAGTTCTTTGGTGAGCTGAGGTAATGCCAGACACTACCAGATCAAAAGAGACACGCGCTCTCAGACTTATGCAGATCCCAAGATTTTCTTTTTTGTTCTCAGCACAAAGCTTCATGATCCAGTGGTGTAAAAAGATGGGAAGACGGCAGTAACAGCCCCTCTTGGCATTATGATTGCACGTTTTCTTTTGCGTCTGATGAGCTAAATGCTTCTCTGACACAAAAAGCTTGTTTTACTGTTGAATATATCTGCATGATAACAGCTGGTAGCTACTGCCACTCACGTGAAGTACAGCAGGTCATATGAATATATATAAAACTAAGAATTTGACATTTCGGACCCTGTCTGTGGATTTAAGTTGTTCATGTTTGACAATCAGATGGAGAAATCTTTTGTGGAGTAAATACACCTCATTATGCATTAACATCCACTCCATGTGTATGATGCAGGGCAGAATGTACGTCCTCTTAACAAACACGAGTACATCCTTGATGTGGCCACAGAGGCTGAGTCAGTTGACATCAACTACAGCCTTTGGTTCAGACGAGTCGTCTGGACTCAACCGCTGAGGTTTGAGAACGAGCTATGTGTTGCCATGCAGTACAACCAGGTATGAGGCGGACTGATTCACATACTGCACTTTATGTATTTGTTTTTTAACGTTTGTGTGACTTTTTTGTGGTTATTTAGATCCTTCCAGACTATCGCAAAGGTCTATTGAATGTTCTTCCACATGGAAAAGTAAGCGATCAGCAGTTCCACCAAATCTCCAAGCTGGCAGCTTTACAGCACAAAGCCAAAGACATCATCTTCATCCCCAGCATGTGAGGATACTAGAAAATGGTTCCAATTCAAAGGCAGTTTTCCTATAAGGGAACTGTTGGCAAATTCTGGGAAGTTAATGGAAGCCAACAGAAAGTAAAAAAAAATGTAATACAATAAAACAAAAACTTGGTTGAAAAAAAATATTAAAAGAAAAACAGGCATGGCGAGAACAATGTTCCATCAACCCACAGAAACATAATTAGCCACATATTTACATGAGGCTAAATCATGTAAATATTATTTACATACAGTATTATGTCATAACGGGCACCTAATCTTGCCACTTGTGTGTGAAAGGATTGTTTTTTATACTTGGCCGAGAATACTCTTGATTCTGCCGTTGTTATCGTTGTCATTTTTCTTCAAACACTTGGAGGAAGCAGCTCACTGAGTTGTATCTCTTTTTTTAATGTTGGAAATCAGTGTGAAGCAGACTTCTGTTTATCTGACACCAGCTTTTCTGCTCCTCTCTCCTCAAGACACGAATTATCTGAGTATGTCGCCACGCCTCTCTTCAAAAAGCAGCAACCACAGCAGTGGGTTGCCATGGTGACGCAGCACATGCAGCAAGTCCAAGCCCTGAACCCACACCAGGCCAGAGCCCAGTTTCTGGGTAAGCCATTGCTGCTTCTCCAATTTTTCTTTTTATCTGAGACACATATATAATGACTCAATTACTGAATCAACTGGACTATTAGGTATGATTTTAGAGAATACAACATAGAAAATATTAAGTCAATGAAAATTATATTAGGACATGTTTAAATCTTGAAGAAAATTTTCAATGACTTCCTGCTGCTGAAAGAGAAATTTATACAGGAATGATAAAGATCGAAACAGGGGAAACTGTAATGCCTGGACTTTTCTCAGTTTTTATTTTCCATACTTGTTCAAGGTTGAAACCCTACTTCCAGAGTTTGAATTCATATATACGCTTTTTCTTGACCTAGCACGAAAACCTGTCAATTCTTGCACTTTTTTCTAATACAGTGCTTAATGTGTGTAGATTTGTTTTGATTTGACTTCCATGACAAGTAAACTGAGAAGAGTAGTGTCTCTTTATAAATGCTGCTCCACAATAGAAGAGAGTAAGAAAATCCACAGTTTAATTACATCTTGTTAAACTCTGTTTGTCTCCCCAGGGCTGGTCAGTGCGTTTCCCATGTTCGGTTCGTCGTTCTTTTACATCCACAGCAGCAGCTCCACCACCTTCTATGCTCCCTGCATACTTGCTGTCAATCAGCATGGTCTCCACTTCCTACACAAAACTACACATGTAAGGAATTACACACATATGCACAGTCATGATTGATGGGAGACTCAGCTCCCAGGACCTCTGCTGGAGATGAGGTTTTTGTCCAAACTTTGATCGCTGTGGTGCAGGAGCTGATGACGATGGTCCCGCTGGCGGAGGTGCAGTCCAGCCGCACCCAGAGGCCCACTGCTGGGACCAGCTACCCATATGTGGACCTCACCTTGGGAGACATGAACACACATCGGGTCATTCAGCTCCAGCTGGAGCAGGTATCAGAAAAACTGACGTGAACACTCAGTCATCTTTAACGGAAATGTGTCTCAGACACGGTACTCATGCATCCTCTTTTTGTCCACAAGGGCCTTGAGCTGTGTCGGGTCATCGCCATGCAGGTGGAAAACATGATGTCTGTGCGGGAAAAGAGGCTCACTCTACCACCCAGTGAAATCACAATGTTATAACACCGAGTCATAATACAATGTTTGGATGCTACAAACCAAAGTTCGGAAGTGCTATCTCCAACCGTTGGTGTTCCAGTGCAGATTTTGGCCCGATAAGCAAATCAGTAGCGCATAGTTTTAAAGCTCACGGACTTCTCTAGTATTTATGCAAGGCTGTAATAGATCCACTTACTTTATTCTGTACAGACACGGATGGACACATATTTTTTTATACCTCACCAATTTGTACCATGTTTTCTAATATTATCATTATTTTTATTCCTTTGGTGGATTGCAAATCTTTTTGAATAATTTATTAAAATAAATTAAGAGATTTTAAAGGGTTATGTCAGCAGTGCACTTATTAAAGGTCAATTTAAACACAATATAAACAATTATACCTAAGAAAAAAATGACCAAGTACAATACGTTTTGTTATGTAAACCTCTTCTGTTAACCATACAAAGAGGCAGACATATGGGTATAAAAGGTTTTAGAATGTTTTATATGTATATAAAAAGTTTGTTTTAGTGTGCAAAGCCTGATTCAAGAAAAAATAGAGGGAATTTTTTTAAGTCTTTATTTGCCCCCTTTAACAAATTTTGAAAAAATAAACAAGTTATTTTGGAATATTCATTATTTATTACCATGTGATAAGTCCAAATTATTGTCACATAGTCTTCAGGCCAATGTTTTTAAGTATATCTGATTGAGAACAACAAGGTTTTGATCAATTAAATGATGCAAAAGTTATCTGATCTTGGCATTTGCCAAAACAATGGGCTGGTTATCATCTGTTGAGTGGGGTTTGATTGTCCATGTTTGACTCACTCATGCAGTGATTCCTGCCAGATACGGGGTGGGACTTAATATATTGATAGTATATCCTCTTAAATTGCTACAAGAAGATATAAAGAAAAACACTGATAATTAAGTAACAGTTCATTTTAACTTGCACTTCACTAGTTTCCAACTTGCCACAAAAAAGACTAAATACGAACGACAATAATACTGACTTGGTTCCTTAAACTAGAAGAGAAAAAACCCTGCAGAAGCACATAAGAGGTTACTGGGACAACATTAGCAGATGTGTACAGAATCAGGTCCTGAATGGTCCCAAAATGGATTTAGGCACTCCCACAAAGTGGCAAGTCACCACGGAGCATGCGCAGATCGCCGGAAATTTACACGAGTTTATTTTCAGGTCGGCTCTTGGAGACGGGTTGCGAAGGTACAAAACTAAGCGAGGCCCAGCGTTGTGCTGATGTAACAATTCGCGTATGGGACAGTTTGAATTAAAACGTGAGTAGAAACATCTCCTGGGCGCCCACGTCCGGATTTTAGGAGTGACACGTGAGATGTTGCTGCGTGGTTTGTCGGTATTTCCAGGCGGCGACAGACTGGCCAAGCCAGGCTAGTTGAGCTAACTAGCTAGCTAGAAGTCGAGCACCTCAGCTACCACCGTTAGCCTCTCCGCTGGCTTAGCCTCCTCGCTGCCGACGCAGTTTTTATTTACAGCTCTGATTTTTTTTTTAAGTGTTGGATAATATCTGCAGTTTGCCAAGCGTTTCACCAGTCTGCCGCCTCATTGCAGACGGTGAAACTTAGCTACTGTTAGCTACTTTTGCACGCTTGGCACTGCTATGTGAGAGGGAGTTGCCACATAAGTAGTTATCCATCCAGCTGACGCTTGGTCCGTCATATTAATCGGACTGTGTTAAATCGGTGCTGAAATGCAGCGCTGATGTATGCTACCAGTTAGCAAGGATCCTGTCTCAGAGCATAGCGGTCATATTGTTTTGGGCTGACATGGCAGCCAGTGGATACTCTGACCTGAGGGAGAAGCTCAAGTCCATGACTCCGCACAGCGATGACTGCAAAAACAAATACGTGGACGGGACGAGTAACGGCAGCGGGAAAGCCCAAAAGCGAAAATTCCGGGAGTCGGATGACGACGAGTACGAGCACAGCGACGACAGCGCGGAGCTCCGGGAGCAGGAGGCCAGCCGGGTGAAGAGCAGCATCCAGCAGAGGGGCATCTTCACCCCGGAGGAGTGCGCCTGCATCGAGGAGAAGATCGACGAGGTGGTCGCCAAAGGGGAGGCCGGGCTGTACCGTGAACACACCGTGGACAGGGCACCGCTCCGCAACAAGTACTTCTTCGGGGAGGGTTACACCTACGGGTCCCAGCTGGAGAAGCGCGGGCCCGGCCAGGAAAGGCTGTACCGCAAAGGAGAGGTGGACGAGATCCCGAGCTGGGTGCACGAGCTGGTCATCAATCGCCTGGTGTCCGACGGAGTGATCCCCGAAGGATTTGTCAACAGTGCGGTGATCAATGATTACCAACCGGGCGGCTGCATAGTGTCCCACGTCGACCCCCTGCACATCTTCGCCCGGCCCATCGTCTCGGTGTCCTTCTTCAGTGACAGCGCTCTCTGCTTCGGATGCCGCTTCCAGTTCAAACCCATCCGCGTGTCCGAGCCCGTGTTCGTCCTGCCTGTGAGGAGAGGGAGCGTGACGGTGCTCAGGTGACTCCCGCTCGTGATGTTTTTGACTGCTGTTTTCGTGTGGCCCATTGGGCCCCGGGCCGCGGTCTCTAAAAGCTTTCTCTATGTCTCAGTGGTTACGCTGCAGATGACATTACCCATTGCATTCGGCCCCAGGACATCAAGGAGCGGCGTGCTGTAATCATCCTCAGAAAGTGAGTTACTAAGTCCCAAGTAAAACCTACCTCCATTCCCAGTGTTTTCACTTGTACACTAACTTTTTTGTTTGTTTTTTTTGCCAGGACCAGACCAGATGCTCCCCGACTGGACTCCGACAGGCCTTTAAGCTCTTTTCCTGCCGCGAGGCCAGGTCCTCTGAAAGCCAAACGCTCTCGTCGCAAAGCAGATCCCGATGCTGCTCACAGGTAGGCTGCTTCTAATGGGATAAACGGTGTGTCTCCCTTTAAGCAGTGTGTGGAAGCATATTAAGAAACGGCTGAAAGTTTGATCCCAAACTTGATCTCCAGTGGGAGACATCAAGTCTGACAGAGCCATGGTATCTGCCCTAGCTGAGATTTCAATTAGTTTTTTTTGCAAATCTGATATTAATCTAAAAGAAGTTTCAATGTTCGAAATGTCAAGTGGTTTGGACCTAATTAACCAAGTAGCCTGATTTCATTAGTAGTGGTTCCAGCTAATAGTTGGATTCTGAAGTGTTGGATGGCTGACCTGAATCAACTTTTTTTCTTCTTTTTTTATAAAAATGAAAATTCAGTCAGTTTGCCAGTGTACTAGGACAAAATGAATGGGGCTCATGGAGAATCTATCTATGACACATTTGATTCTTTCTATCAGCAGCTCGACCTCAATCTGCTTTGTAGAAACAGATGGCCGACTGATTTTGTAATAATTTATGTATATTACATCAGAATGTGTCAACAGTTTGGTTCAACACTTGTCTGATTTTTGTGGAGCTTTTTACTGTGTAACCTGGAGCTGTCACGGGGATAAGGTATCAGATATTTCTCAGATAAAAGACGTAATGTGCAGTCTGGTTTTTTAGTCTTTTTTCTTAACAATGAAATTTCATTCCCAGGCCAAGGGTTTTGGAGATGGACAAAGAAGAGAACAGACATCCTTCTTTTTCCCGGCATCATCGTCATGACATCAGTTCAGAGAACTACTGGAGGCGCGGTCAAGACAGCGACAAACACCGGGAGAGTTCCGGACGCAAAGTCAAAATGAGACGCCACTGAGTTTTTGTTCGTTTTAGTTTGTTTTTGTTTGTTTTTACACACAAACACACAAATATCCCAGTTCTTTTGTGTATGTCAATATGGTAACTTTATTTGATCGCTCATCAATTTGTTTGTCCAGTTAAGATCTGGTACAAAGAACAAAGTCACCTCTTTGTTTGGATTTGGATCCGCTTGAGTGGCCGAAGAAACAGGCGTCTCTGCTCCGTATTAAACAACCTCAAATTACTCACTACAGTTAGGCTCTGTTAAGCTGTTCAGTTACATTAAATCAAACCTTTTTTCTTTGTTCATAGTTATTTCAGAATGGCATGTATTTTTTTGTACCCAACATGTACAGACCTTAAGACCTAAGAGGAAGATGTATGTATGGACTTGTACAAAGGCAACTTTGAGCTATAATCTAACTTGTTATAATGTACAATATGTTTGTATAGTCTTTGATTCTTGGACTTTCATGAGGAAATGTCTCCTTTTTTCCTTTTCTCTGCCCCTACTTTTCAGATCCACAAACCCTTTCTGTGACTTGAGTTTCAGCTGCGGGTTCATGTGCAGCCTTGCTTTTCTGTGTTCTTATTTGACCCGTCTCTGTATTGGTCACATTTCGAGTAAAAACTGAACTGATGCTTTAGGAGTGAGGAAAAAAACTCAGGTCTTGTTTTACACTCCCTGTTCAGTCTAAAGCCGTTTTACTTTATGAAAAGGGCCACGTCTTTGCTCTTCTGAATTAAATTCAAAGTGTCCTGATGTTGGCTGAAATTGGAGTCTTTTAGAGTTTCATTTGAATAAAACGACTTGTATATTGACCGTTTGGTTTGGATCTGGGCACATGGCTGAGAAGAAACTACATTTTCACAAGTGTTCCCTTGCTGTGTAAACACATCCATATTTGGTTGTGGTGCTCCCTAGCTGACAGCAGGTTAGTCTGAAGTTACAAGGGCAAAAATAACCTCGGTTCAGAGTTGAGATTGCTTTCTAAAAGCGGTATGAGAGAAGCTCTGCTACTCTCTAGAACATGGACAAAAAGGTATATTCACAAGGCAAACGCAGGATAATGAATGGGTGAAATGATTTTGATAACATGGCCGTGTAATGGCTTTCTGACCAAGTTCAGCCAAATCTAGCTTGGACAGAAGGTTCACTGGAGGCTGTTATCCATTAACAGTCACTACTCACTTGTATTGTAAAGCCAAGTCTTCCAAATAAAGCAAACCTAAAATGCATAAAGGGCTTTAGCTGATCAGTGCAGCTTTAATGGCTTGTAAAAAAAAAAAAAATTTAATTACTTTCTGTTTTTAAAACTCAGAACAATCCAAATAGATTCTGGCATTTTAAATCTGCCTTCAGTTGTAAACAGTTTGCTTTTGAATTAGCTAAGCCCGACCTGTGTGCAGCAGTATGTTAACATAGCTGATCTCTGGCCTGTGGGAGGTTTTCCAACTGCTTTTAGTTTCTGAGTCCATTTTCTAAGCAGAGGTAGATTGGTCACACATGGAGCCTCACCTCTGACCCTGTTTGCTAAATGATAAGCTAGTTTTGAAATATTTGCAAAGAGTTTAATTTAAATTTGCATGGAAGTTGGTCAAAGTCTAAAGGTTTTCTCAGTGGTCACTTTTGAACACAATGTATTTATATGGTGGAACACACATTAGACCAGCTAGGCTGAAAACTTGACAAATATTTACTATGAAAGCTTGATTTGACTGTTTTGTGTCTGGCCTTCAGAAAGTTATTTTTATGTGATCAAATATGAATAAAAAAAAATTTCAAAATGTATTCTAAAATATGAAATAACTAAAACAGTTCATAATTGGTAAAAGTACTAAGATAATACATCATTTTTGCAAGTCTTTTAAAAACCCTATTTTCCGTTGGAAACGTTTTAATAGAGTTGTTACTAACGATGTCTGTCAGTGTGGTTTGGAAAGTGGGTTTTGCTGTTTAGGGAAAATAGAAACGAGTCCAGTTCTGTCGGACGGCGTTTAAAAGGTCCAAGGTACTCATTGATTTTCTCTCAGAGTCCCACAAGAGGGCGCTACTACTTCGTAGCGACGCAGAATATAACAGACGAAGGAAAAGCGAACAGCTGTTTGCTAGCTGGTTTTGACAGTTAACGGAAGACAAATTTCGTCGTCAAGCAGAATATTCAAAGGTATCTTTTCACAAACGCTAATGGTTTGGGGACAAACTTTTACACACCTTTCTGCAAAGAGTGGTAAGTATATCTGGTTAAAAAAAAGTACATTTGCAGATGGCTAATGTTGCTAAATCGCGAACCAACCACCATGTTAGCTTTGTCAACTGTCGTTAGCAGCTAACAGGAGTTGGTAAGGGTCAAAAAATAATTTGGCACTCCTAGGTGAACATTTATATTTATTTTTATTATCCATATGAACTGTTTTATTCGCTGGAGTTGCATTCGCTACTTCGTCATGAGACAAGACTGATATATTTTCCCTCTAAGTAAATGAGTATTTACCGTGCGCATCTTTTTTGTTGTCTTAGAGACTTGGCTAAAGCAATTGTTTTTAAGCTAATGCAACTGATTGTGTTTTTCCTTCTCGTTATTTTTGTACAAAATAAAGGTATTTATGTACAACGAGAGTCCAATTGCGAATATCTGAATGACAATGGCAAAGGAAAGGAGTGCAGGTCGTTTTTTTGGGTTTTTGTTTTTAGAAGAAAATATTCTGTGGCTGGCATTAATTTAGCTGCGCAAGAGGAGCAAAAACAATTCGTTCGACACCAACTTGGAATAAATGCTTCGGAGCAGTGGCAAGAAGAAGCTGGAACGATGCATAGACGTGTTCTTGTCTTATAGTGTCGAATTCCTTTACGAGGGCACGACTTTGTCTTGTATTATTTTAACCGACATTAAACCAAAAATCCCTTGTGTGGTCTTCTGCCCAAAGTTCCTCTTTGTACGTGTTGGACGTGCTGCAACTTAACAACGAATGCTGAAATAAATTTGATCCTGCTCATATGACCCAGGTTGGCATGTATTGATCTATAAATAGAGCTTGCCCCCAGTGTTGGTACCCTGCAAATCTCACAGTGAGCAAGGGCAAATGGATGTTAATGCTGTCTAAAATAGTGTGTTGTGGCTATGGTGGATCTCAGGTGCAAGAGGTTAGATAAAATAGTCACAGAGTACATGTTAAGTTTAGTACTTCCTAAAAATCTGTTTAAATTATGGGCTTAATATTTGTCCAGACAAGGTCAATACAGAAAATTATCCAAAAAGGACTCAATTGTGATTCATACCAGCTGTGATGTAATTACTCTAGGAGTTTGAGTGGTGTTAATATCTAAATGTGGTCAAATCTGAGAAACGGGTATTTATGGATACTAAATATAGTTGAAAATTATTGTGGGGAAAAACTTCTAAATCAAGCTTCCTTGGTCTTTGTGCCATCTCTTAAGTTGGTCCAAACTCTTTTGTTGATGTACGGTATGGTTGCTTACCTCATTCTTCAGGCTAAGAAATAGCTCAATGTCACACTTATCAAATCATCCACTATGCTTCTTTCATTTTATTTGTCGCTTGTTTACACATATATAAATATTCATGTGCTGGTTGTGTATTTTTACTCCAGAATTGTCTTTTATTTGGTTGAATAATATATTTGTTTCTTGGTGGTACAATGCACAGGTATATGAAAGCACACACATACATATTTGAAGAAGCAATAATACTTTAATAGTTTTGAATAAATATGTGAATTCCAAGATTTACAAACATGCTCAAGTATTGTCAGCTCTGGAGAGCAGGGATTCTGCAAATGCAGATTTACATTCCTCTTACTGACAGATATATCTTGTGGTTCCTTGTCATTTTTCCAAAGGCTAGCCCTAAAAAGGAAGCTATGAATTTCCAGAGCAGTCGCAGGAGAGGAGAAGATGGCGTCGCTATGGTTATTGACTTCCTGCTGTCAAACGCCCGGCTGGTTCTGGGTGTTGGAGGAGCTGCTCTGCTTGGAATTGCTACATTAGCAGTGAAACGGGTGAGGAATATTTGGTGGTTGATTTCACATCATTACATTGGACTTTTCTGGTCTGACTTCACGTCTTCGTTCAGCTGATCGAGCGCGCGGGCCGAGCAGCAGAAGATGAAAAGGTGGAGCAGAAGATGGTGGAGAGCTGGGAAGAGTTGAGCTTAGTTTCTTCTTCGCCAAGGTTGATCAAAAAGGGCCTGGAGGGCGTGGTGCTGCAGCATGTCGCTAAGGCAGCGAAACAGCAGAAAGGTAAAGGTGACATTTAAAGAACCAGCACACATACACAGAATCTATTCCGGATGGAATTTTCTTGTCAATATCAGTGATACGGTATCACATGACAACTGTTCTTTCTCAATCAGCTGATCTTTGCCAAAATCCTGAGATATCCCCTCCCGATGTACAGCCTAAACCTGAGTCAAAGTCCAAGAGAGTTCAATTGTGCGTGCTCACGTTGCAGGTAAAGCCCCTCCTGAGGATTTTGATGACACACTAAGCTGCTATTGAGAAATGCTCTTCACAACAAAGCACAACAAAACCGTCCATATTTCATCCAGATATCTTTATAGTTCTTTAGGAAGGTTACATGCTTTAATGAGGCACATAAACACATTTGCCATACAAAACATATGAGCAACACTGAGTTACAGTACTTGCCTTAAGACTTTATGCTTTGTGTAGTTGAAGATGTTATGGGATGTCTGAAGAAGGGAATTATAAACTCTCTGTTGTTCTGCCACCTGAACTGCACAGGAGCGTCTGCAGCAGTTCTATCACACCAGAGCAGCACTCGCCCCACAAGAGATCCAAAGAGCTCAGTCTCTGGCTCTGGATCTCTGCACTGAAATCCAGGGCTTTCTTCACAGCCGTCACCCGGACATGCCTTTGGCTGAAATGAGCCTTGGAGGGTCACTATTGGATGACCTGCAGGTACACATGCAGAAGAAGCCTTTATTCTTTTTTTCTTTCTTGGTTTGTAAGAGTTTGGCTCATCTTGAACCTTCTGTTTAATGGCCCTCTTGCCACATGAACCCTTGAGGGCTTTATGTTCAGGTGTTGGTGTGATTTTGTGTTTAGGTGGTCAGTGCAGACCATGCAAGTCTGCTGGTGCCTTTGCAGCTTGAACCCTCTCTGTGGCGCCTTGTCCCCGGAGAGGAGACGCTGCTCACACACCCACTCCACTGGATGGTCCGACGGGTCAACCTGGAATATTTTCCTCGAGGACGCAGTTACTGGGACAGGTAATCGCACACGCTCTGAGAAGTTTTTCAGCCATAATTCATCAGAGCTGTTATTTATCCTCTGTTAGCTCACTGCTTTGGTTTTAGGTTGTGGTGGCCTAAATGGGGAAACTACTGACAATTATCTTTTGTTTTTGCACATTGTATAAAAGAAAATTTAGTGTAAAAAGAAGCCATGGGCCATTTTGACTACACAGTGCTTCCTCTTTTTGGGGCTGTACAGGCAGAGTTCCCTCTGTGGGGGAAATCTGCTGGTTGTCATGGCAGCGTTCACAAAGCAGAATACAGATGCGTTTTTGCAACGGGACTTGCTTTTAATTTGGTCCACTCCTCTGTTTTTCCACATCAGTTTTATAAGGGTTCCTCTAATTGGAACCTTTGCTGAAGTAGTACGTAGGAAAATACTGGCATCAGATCAAGGCTCTCCCAGCTGAGCGAGCTGCTCTGCACCAAACCACACAAAGAACCGGTACCCCTGTGTGTTGTAGGTACCTGGTGGGCGGTTACCTGTCTGCAGAGTCTGTTGTCAACATGTTCAGTAAAGTGGTCATGGAGACTGTTAACTGGCCATCGATCAGCAGCACGCTGGACTGTCTCGTCCGGCCTGTTCTGGGAGGACCCAGCCTCAAAATGGAAATCAGGTGTGTGTCCTTGACCTGTCTAATGGTAGATTACACTGTTTACTTCATCTTATTTTAAATGCATTGATGTTTATAAAATATGCAGTTAGACTAAAAAAGACTACAAATAAACGTATACATTTACGGGTTAAATTGTATATGAATGAGAAATTGGTATTTAAAAAGTGAGGAAGGGTGTAGATTGGTGAAAAAGCTTTATGTTGTATGACAGAAATCTCTCTTCTTGTGTAAGTGTGAAAGGAGCAGAGGGTTGCGAGCAGCCCATGTTCATCTCCATGCTGCCCATGCTGAGGGAGGGGGACGTGGTCCTGACCGCTCAGCCTGAGCTCACCTCTCCATGGGTGAATGCCTGGCACCTCTGCCTGTATCCCTGGGAGACGCAGCGTCTGTCTCAGCTCGACACCGTCGACAGCGGCTGCCGCAGACACACGCTCAAAATCCTCAAAGCCGTGTGCAGACTGAACCCCGCGCTGCGCCCCCTGACCGCCGCCCCGCTGGCCAATCTCATCCTGCACCTCAGCGACAGCGAGAGCGACTGGTCAGAGAGCAGCCTGGACAGGAGGTTTCAGCAGTGCATCACGGAGCTGATTGGCTACCTGGAACACGGGTCGTTGCACAGTTTCTTCAAACCAGCCGTCAATCTGCTGACGGGTTTGTCGGAGGACCAGGTGGACCAGATGGGCTTCATGCTCTACTGTGCGGTGTCAGAGCCAGAAATACTGCTCATGTAACCCCCCTACACACAGCCACCCACATCTTTCTCTCTAACAGAGGGAACATGGACTGTTGCAGACTGTGTGGACTTTTTTGGGAAAGAAAGGTGACCATGAAGGATGTGCCAAGTGAAAAGCTTCAAGAAAGAGACAAAATTGGAAAGAATGTCTCAGATGGGCTTCAAGGTCTGCGGTTGCTTTTTTGTGACTGTTTCAGAATTGTTGAGGGTCTGCAGGTAAGGTTAAGTTGCCATATCCATTGACTGCAGAAAGAGTGTGAATATCTTGACTGGAATAGTTATATTCTTTCTGCAATTTTGTTCTGCAAAATTTTCCTGAACACACCCTTTAAACACTCTATGCAGTAAACTGATCTGAGCAGATTTACAGGCTGAGCATATTTTGTGTCTTGTTTTGTGTCTGGTCTGTTGCAAACCTTTATTGGTATCCAGACCGGTGAATCATGGTTAATGTATCGATTATTTTATGCAGTTGCTTTTAAATACAATGTTGATATGTAAGGAATGCTTCACTTGCATTTCTGAGTGGATATGGGTTTCAACAGCACTTTAAATAAAACTTTGAAAATAAACCTCCCTTTCTTGCTGATGGTAGATGCTGTTTGACACTGATAATGTCAGAGAGAACGAACCCACAGGGACACGCCTCCCAAGAGGTTCACTGTGAATAAAACCCACACTAATATGGACACTAATTCTGTGGAGAAATCGTGTCTAATGTCCGAGGGGTGGGTGCGCGTGTCTTTCTCTCAGCTCAGAGGAGCAGACAGATATTAGGAAGACAGAACGAATCACAATTTAAGGGGGTGTCAGATAAGTCTGAAGCCTTCCCAGTAAAATCAAATGTAAAGCATCAATTCTTTGAATTATTTTGTTCCTTTTTCATTTTTAATGGAATTAATATTTCAAAGAAAATGAACAGTCAGCTCTTTGGCCTAAGTAAATCCAGAGGTCGACATGGCTGAGTGTTGTAGCGGAGCTTACGCGCTGTGGGTCCTCTTCTCTCCGTGGTGAGAATGATATCTCCTGGCGGCGGCTCTCTGCTTCCTCTGAGCCTCTGTCAGCCCATCTGCTACTCTGCTTTCTGCGGCTTTTCCATCCAGCTCAGACTGCTGCTGCTGGTCCTCACGACTTTGAGCTGGCAACTCCTTCAGCCACTGCTGGTAGTAACCTCGAAAACCATCTATTTGAACCAGATAGTTGTTTCTGGACTTGTACTAGGATTGAGAGAGAGGAGAGGAAAATGATGAGAGCAGCCTCATGGATGTTTGTATTCTACAGTAAGCAGTGGACACAAGAAGGTACTTGATTATGTTAGATCGACTTCAACTGGTTTTAAAAGGAAACCCGTTAATCATTCATTGGTTATCTTTTCCTTCACCTCTACAGGAGTGATGTATTCAAACCTGGTTGTAGTTTGGAGGATACTGTGCGGCAAACTCCAGCTGTTTGATGATGACCTCATTCGGCCACACTTCCATTTCACGCATGGTTTTCAGGATCGTTTTCAGGTAGACATAATCCAGCCTCCGAGTGGCTTGGCCAATCAGACCAGAGAACACATGAACATTGGGCCTCAGTCCTGCTTCCTGTAGAATACACAGAGAAAACAGAGAGGATGTATAGAGTGTCTCACGTGGATGCAACGTATGTACACAGACGATTCATTTAGAGGCTCAAACCGTGGGACATTTTCTAATGTTTGGAACAGATTTTGTTCATAGTGAAAACAAAGAAAGCAGAACCAACTGCTTTTACTTTCAGGGTGTGTTGGTCATCACCTGTATGTCTTTCAGGAGCTGAAGGCCATCCGTTTTCCTGTCGCAGGCCAAGGCCAGACATCCGAACGTCTGCACGTTCAGGCTCACGTGGCGCTGTCGCATCACGCGCAGCACAGCCTGCCAAGACAAACAGCCGTAGAAACGTCTACCATTTTGGCTGGATATTTCTCCAAGTACACAAGTTAAAAACATAGCTGAACTGACTAATACCAATGAAAAGACAAATCGAGGTTGTGTGTGGTTCACCTTTGCATCCTCCAGGTTTCCAGCTCTGGCTGCTCTGTGAATCGCGGAGTTAAAAAACCCGACATCAAGCTTAACCTGATGCTGTTTGGCAACCTTTAACAGCAGCTGCAGAGACTGGGAGCCCGGCTCCATGGTGTCGGCCAGCAGAGACAGAGTCCTGAGGTCCGGAATGAGTCCGCGTGCTGCCATCTTCTCCAGGAAACCACTCGCTCCACCAATGAGGGCCAGCCGGCCGGCCGGTCCGTCCGGAGCGCTGAGTGAGACCACGGCCCCTCTTTTCCCCTCAAACAGGTCCAGTAGGTTCGGTGCTACTGAATCGGATGCTAACGGAGCAGGCAGTGAGGAGATTTCGGTTTGTGGGACTGGTGTGAGACGGCTGGAGACCTCCTGTCTGTGTCTGCCCTCCTGCTGACCGACGGCGTGTGCATCACGCTGGACGAACAACTGCTGCTCCAGAAGGTCAATGTCTCTGAGACTCCTGCGGCCGCCCTCTGAAACATCCTCCTCATCTCTTTGCCGCTTGTGGTCAGTCTCCAGCAGAATGCGGGTGGCCGCGGCAAGATCACCGATATCACAATCCCTGGCAACTCTCAGGAGCAGGTTGTAATTCTTAGCGTCTGGAAGAATCCCCGACTGCAACATCTGGCGCCACACCTGCAATGTGCAGACAGTTAAAGATTTTAAGAATTCAGATTTTCAAGGCAGATATCACCAAAGGAGACGGTTGTCAAGGTTAGAATCTGTGTCATACCAACTGTTTTCATTCTGACGTGTGCAAAACTGAACAAAGCCTTTCAGACCTAACATGACATTACTAGCACCATGTAAAAATGCTGTAAAATAGGAAAGCTTAAAATAATAGTGTTTATGACCTCAACCTGGGCTTCAAAAAGAAAACATTTGCCTGTGTGGACTTTGTGGATGTGCTTTAGTTTTTCCATCAAAAAGCCATTCAACACAATCATAAGAAGGAATTCTAAATGAGTTCTAAATTAAACCAGATTTTCAGCGTATTCTTTTCTCCAAATTCAAATGCGTAGACTTCTCATAAGGCTGCAGATAAAACTAATCTAGTCAAGGAAAGAAACAAAAAAGTATGGAGGGGGCCTCTTCCAATTCAAGGTAGGACACAGGCAACATCAGCTTTCAGCACGCCAGAGTGGAAGGCCTCATGTGGGTCACCTCAAACTGACCGAAGAACGCGTCGATTACCTGTAAGGCCAGCCTGAACCCTGTTTCTTTGTCCCTCAGGCAGCCCATCAGCAGATAGTGAAACGTCTCCTGAGTCACAGCATGTCCTTTCGCCAGCATCTCCTGCACACAAATCACAACCAGGCTCAGCCCGGACCCGGAGAGAGGCTGGGCTCACCCGGACCCGGGCGGGAGGGGGGGCGGGGGACCCACCCGGAGCGTGTGGACGCAGGCTTGAAGCTGGTTGGTGACGGCGTGCGTCTTGAGCAGCGCGTGGTACGTGATGGTGCTCAGGGGGTGGTTTTTGCGGCGCAGCTCTTGCTCCAGCTTGAGCGCCTGCTGGAGGCCGGCGGCTTTGGAGGAGCACTCGGCACAGGCGTTGAACAGCGCCGTGTAGGTGGCGTCCGAAGCGTCCAGGCCTCGCTTCTTCATCTAGAGAAAGGGCGTGAACCCAAAGTATTGAGGAGAGCAGCCGTTATGCATAGAAAACGGTAAAAAATGACATCATATCACAGTGTGTGACGAGGCTTTAGACATCCTTACGTCATTGTAGAGTCTGAAGGCCATTTTAAGTTGTCCAGCTCGGCCACAGCCTCCAATGAGGACCGAGTAGTTGTACTCCTCGGGCTGCAGCCTCTCCCCCTGCAGCATGTCTCTGTTAAACAAATCCAGCGCCTCCTGCAGCTGTTAAAGACCAAAAGAGACTCAGAAAAACACACCGAGATGGAATAGAAAGAAGGCAAAGAGACCAAACGGCTCAGTCAGACTGACCTTTTTCTCCTTTATCAGCTTCTTGCACTGTAGGAAGTACCAGTAGGGAGTGTTTCTGATGGCGGGTCTTCTGTAAGGCCTGCTCTGGTCCCTCTCCTCCACGGGCACATCTTGCTGGAAGGGCAGGTCTCGCATCCCGGGGCTGCTCTTCCGGAACGACCTCCTGGAGGCTATGTCCGCCGACATGGAGCCGAAGTTCTCCCGACCTGCGTCCGCGTCCGGTGGCTTCTCATCTTCTCTGTTTGAGGCCGACAGACACACAAACCTGGCCCCGGGTCCGGCCGGGGGCCGTAAAGAGGCAGGTGGCAGTAGCCGGTGCTGGGAAAAGTCTGGACCCCCCGAAGAAGTAGGTGCTATGGCTGGAAAGATAGCTAACCTCAAAAAAGATATTCTTCTCCCGTTTCTCACGCAGGAACAGGCGAGGGACGACAACATGTTCAATGGCTAAACAAAAGCTTGCTGGACATGTTTTTACTCTAGAGAAATCGTTACACTAACCAAGCTAATGAGTGTGGTTGGGGAGTAGCTCAGCTGTCAGGAGCCGCCATACGACGAACCACGATGCCTCAATGACACAGAGCAGACATGAGTAATGGAGGTGTCAACAAAGTCATCGAAAAGAAAGAAAGCGCGCTGATAAAGCCATAATAGTCACATAAAACAACCCATAACACAGCGTGAAAAGATAATTATATTTGTTAAATTCTAAATTAACTGTCAATCAACTCTTAATCTACTTTAATTTGCCCAACGCTCTGATCGACTGCATCGTTGATGGATTCTTCGTCCTGTTCAGCCAAACCGGGACACACCGCCCCCTGCTGGTCATGGAAGCTATTGCTGGATTGGTTGAAGGATTCGAAATTAGGTAAATTAAAGATTCAAAAGAAAAGAGAAAAATATTGACTGAATCCCTCATCACCAGACAGTAATAGGCCTTTTTTCAAAACTATCATTTGGATCCCACTGAAGAGGTGGAGGAGATCAGGATGCTGGTGAAATTTGAATATGCTTTGCAAATCAAATATTATCAAAGTTAATTTTGCTGCACGTGGCTTCAGATTTTTAAAAAGCAGAAGTACGAGAGAGAAAATGGCTCTGTATCAGTGAGCTCGATTGGCAAAAAGGCAAAAAAGAACAATCTTACAAAGGTAGTACTTAAAATACTTTAGTTTATTACGCCACCATTTGACTCACAGCCAAAGGAACCATATTAGATTTTTAATTAACATTCCTGGTTACCAAGTGGTCTAGGAGCAGAGAGTATTTTTGACTGAGAAACCAAAATGGAGGCCCCACAGGCACCAAAAGAAAAAAAAACTAAAGCGTTTACATTTCCCCTTAAAACCAGAATTCTTGTGTTGCGGATGTAAACAATCCCAGCTGATGAGGTAACATCCGATCCGAAATGTCACGGCAGATGACGATCAGTCTTCTTTCATCTGTGAGTTTTATTTTTCAGGTGCCACGCTCTCTGCTGACGTCACAGCGGTGATAAATGCGGTGGCTGGGCCACGTGGCTCTGAAACAAAGTAATCCGATCCAGCAGGGTCAGTGGAATGCCTCTGATGACCGAGGGCAGGTCCTCGTGTTGTAACGGATAGATGACCACACTGAGGGCCGGGCGCTCTGCCGAAAATCTACAAAGTCAAACAAACAACAGCAGAGCAGAGTTGGACATCTGTTCGACGGGGGGAATGTCTCCACAAATTAAAATCGACACACCGACCTTTCCAGCAAGGTTTTCTGCAGCGTCCGACAGGCGACCAGGGTGCCGCCCATGAACATGTGGCACATGATGACCTGCCGGCACTGCTCCACGAAGGTCTCTGCCGCCGACGAGTCAAAAGTGCCGCAACGTGAGATGAGGCAGATCCTCTGCAGACGGGAGCAGCCGGAAAGAGCCTCAAAGAACGACGCGTTGGCATTCAGGTAAGGCTGCTCTAACCTGAAATAACGGAGAACCACATCAAACCGCATCAGGACAGAGATGCCAACCACATCTGGGAGTCTGCATCACACAAAAAAAAGGTCTTCTAATTCAAATAAATAGAGGGAGGTAAAGCAAACTGTCGAGATGACAGAAATCATACTCCTTTCCATTGTTTTCTGGAAGCAAAAACAGGACATTTGTTGCTGTATTTTGAGGGATTTACAGGTGTTAGACCGTGCAGTCTATCTGGGTTTAATGTTTGTTTTAACTGCTGAAAGGAACACAAAGGCATCCTCTAACCTGAGCTCCTGCAGCTGTGTGCACTGCTTTAGTGTGTCCAGCAGGGCAGCTGTGTAGTTCATAGTTTTCAGCGAGCCCAAATTGGCGAGCGATAGAACTCGCAGGTCTCTGCACTGCCTGGCCAGCTGTACCAGCCCCGTTCCCCTCAGGACTCCGGGCAGTCCGGCCAGTGTCACGCAACTCAGTCGGGGTAAAGCTTCCAGCGCCGCTAAGTGGGCATCGCCCACTCCTCGTGCCCAAGCGCACATGCCCCGGGGTTCCACGCTGGCACGGGTACAAGGCTCCAGCCGGGGCAGGGAGGAGGCAAAGCCAGGGCCGATGAGCTCGAGGGTCTCTAAGAATGGGCAGCCGGCTATGAGTGCAGCCAGCCCCGAGGTGCCGTCCCCTGAGAGAGTGGGCTCCAAGTCGGCTTTGTAATTCTGGAGGCCTAAACGTGGAGCTTTCTTCAAGCCCTGGAACAACGGAGAGAGAGCCACGCTGCGCGCCGAGCCGTGATTCGTAATCAATCCGTCCGAGAGCGCGCAGGCGGGCAGAGTGAGGGAGCGCAGGTGTCGGAATTTGCCTAAGCTCTCGCACAGGTGCGTCTCCTTGTCCATCCCCGGGGAGTGGTCGTGATGATAATGCGTGTGCATCAGGTTCAGGTGTCTGACGTTGGAGCAGGTGACCGCCAGCCGGCCCACCGTCCCGGCGACCAGCTGGTCCTCCACACTCCTGCACTCCGAGTAGGAGACGTGGTTGATCCCGCTGAGGTTCAGGCTGACCAGCTGCGTGGCGTCCTGGACTCCTCCGTTCAGCAGCGACTGGAAGACTTGGGGCCACAGGGTCGGGCAGCGGCTGAAGCTGAGGTGCCGGGGGCTGTTCCCCTCCAGGGCTCGCTTCAGGGACAGAGAATCCAGCCAGGAGCGCGGGAGCTGCAGGCCCATCAGGTCCCCGCGCCGACCCAAGCTCTGGACCAGGGAGGGGGCAGCGGGCCAGTGGGCTGGATTGGGACCGGGAATCGACACGAGGAAAACTCTGAGATGCTTCGGAATGTGAACGCTGAACACGGCCAGGTAGAGAAGGAGCAAGGTCTGGTTTACCTGTGGCCACCAAGACACACGTTTGTAAGAGTTACAGAGTCAAGCTCGTCTGGGAGAACGTTCGGTTCCGACGGCCAGCTCACCTCTCCCGGGGCCAGCCTGGCGGTGAACTCCTCCAGCTGCTCGTAGTGAGGGACACTGCTCTGGCCGACCATTAACTGACAGCAAACGCCAACACCCTCTCTGGTCACGTCCGGGATGTCAAACTGCAACATCAGCCTGAAGCACGGAGGCAGATGCACATGTGATGCCGTCAGCATGGACACTCCTGGGGAGGCGGTTTCTACTAAAAAAACATTTTAATATCTGGCTACGCCCGGTGTTCAAATTCTGCTGTAAAGCCTGTCAGACAATAAGAGACGCTTTTTGCTTTTTTAATGTGTATTCACACAATGAGAGAGAAACCAAGTCAGGCACCTGATGGAAAAGTGTGAGCTAGATTGGCTTAATCTTCATCATAGAGTGAAGTTATGATCCTCATATAATACTCCCATGTTCATTTCATATTGGATTTTCAAGAAAGAATTCTTAGATTCATGTAAACTTTCTTATCATCTGTCATCAGAGACAGACAGAGGTCGCCTTATCATTTCAGCTTCAGCTCCATCCTATAAACTCATCCTGATCATCTGTAATCTGAGATCCTTACTTGCGCAGCTGGGCGCAGCACGGCACCACGCCGTAACTGGGCGTGAACAGCGTCTGCCTCAGCTCCGTCAGGCGGCTGAGCGAGTCCACCGCCTCCGAACTCAGCAGGGCAGAGTTGAAGCACGGCTTCACGTCGAAAGCGAGCGACCTGAGGGAGGAAAGGGAGGAGAGGAGGCGGGACAGACAGAGGGAGGTGAGGCGGCAGCCGCTGACGTCCAGCTGCGTCACGCCTCTGCAGCGACCAAGCTGCTCGATGGTGGAACCAGACAGCCAATAGCAGCCGTTCAGGCTAAGAGACTGCACGTAATTGGCTAGCTGCCTCAGTACTTGGCGAACCAACTGATCGTCAGCCTGGAGGGGAAAGAAGATCAACGTTTAGGTATTCATCCAGTAGCCCAACAGAAGTCCAACTCGTGTTTGAAAAGTGTGTTTTAAGGCATTTAATCAGGACTAGTTTTCCCTCTCACAGATGAGTAAAATATTGGTGTCAATTATCACATCCTCAAACATGAACACACACATTCTAAGATGCATTACCAGATATTCCTCAGACATGGTGACGTTGGTGAGCAGGGTCTTGTCCCGGCACAGTGTGTGAAACTTCTGACACACATTTGCCACATTCATCAGCAGGTCACACACCGGAACATGGCGGAGGATACACAGCAGGATCTCATCTGACAAATCTGACATCCCAACTGAAGCAGATGACATTGTGTCCTCGTCACAAATAGCCTGAAACAGAAAGCAAACCCTGTCATGAACTGGCTGTCCCTTCAGTTTTTGTAACAAACCGTTTAGACGCTAGTTTGTCTCTCTACTAATATGACAGCCAAGGGTGTGGTGGATGATTGCCTTCCTCTGTGTTTTTGTTTAAAGATTATGTAAAATGCGAATTTATGACGAATGATTAAGCCATTTTATGAACACTTCAAAAAGAAAAAAAGTATCTATCAAGCTACATATCCATCAAACTACATATACACACACACATATATATATATACAATTCAACTCGGTGGAAAAAGATAAATCTGGCTTGGCAGCGAATCAATGAGCTAAACGTTGAATTTAGTTGCTCAGCTCTGGGTAACGGCTACATAAATCCTGCTTTTGCGGGTTTTCCAGCTGACTTACCTTTACTATCTGTCGATCGATGTCCTCCATGATCCCACACACAGTTCCACTCATGATCAGCGGGAATTCATATCATCATGTATCCAGCTAGTCTTTCATATTAGACAAAGTTGCTTTTTTTTTTTTTACCATGAACCATAGGCGGTCAGGTATCAGTTAGCTGTCCGGATGATACGTGCTGCTGCACAAGGGGGAAGACTTTCAATGACGGACCCACTTCCTGTCGGTAACAGTTTCTCCGCCTACTCTCTTAAATATTTTTTGTGTTGATGAACAAGTCGTTTTGGATTAAGGAATTAACCATAATACATTGTTCATCTGAGCATATCTATTTAAAAAATCAAAGTAACATAGAAAGACACGGTAGAAAAGAATTTACACACTTAACTACATCTACATTTAAAATGAGGGTTTAACATTCACCTACAACACCAGTTACAGACCGTTGATTGCAATATGCTAGGATTTGCCAGTAAGGATTTAACATTCAACTGAAACATAGATTACACTGTAAACTGAATTATTTTGGTTTGGTTCTAATTTACCTTTTAAAGCTTTAAAACATAAGTTTAGCTGTTACTTTAACACATACATTTCTTAAATATGAATCAGCCACGACGTTTTCTCCCAAGACACAAATAGGTTGGAAATAAATTAATTGTATAGATAAAGCTAAAATTGTTTAATTTCCTTTTCCCCCCAAAATTTTCATAATTCATGTCCAACATTAACCTTAATGTGAGCTATACATGCAATCACATTCCTTTTAACTGTGATCTCTTAACTCAAATTGACAGTGAAGTTGGGTTAATCTGAAATTATCCATTTTAGTTTGATGGGCAGTCTTTAAAGAGATAGTGAACAAATTTGAAATTGGGACAAGATGCTCTTCAGGTGACTGTTTAAGTGCATTCAACTTTGAGATGTGTTTGACCATTTCATCAGCAGAGGGAGCCGTTGTATCAGTTCAGCTTTGCACTTGACGTTTCTCACCATGGCATTAACTTTGAGAGCCCTACTGACTCCCCATTAAGGGCATTTTAAGAGAATAAAACTGGTCAGGAACTTCTTTTGAAGCCTTTGAAATGTCCGATTCAGGAACAGCTTTCATTCCTTGAATGCAAAAACCCCCCCAAAATTTTCCTCAGGTTATTCATATTGAATCCTTAAAATATCCTAAAGCAAGAAATGCTAAATGCAGCCCATTCTTCATGATATGCATCTCTTCAATGTAAAGGGAAGGTTTTTTTAAAGTTTGTGTAGAAAAACAGAAGGCAGGAATCTCAGACATGTGCACTTTATTGAATTTCTGTGTACACAAGAGGCTTGAAACCCCATGCACAAAACCTCATTACACCTCAACACAAGGTAGAAGCCTTGTCTTTTGCATGATGACAAAAAACTGGACCGAGTATTGTTTAAGGCTGAAAGTACAAAAACAAAACAAATTCAGATTACATAATTTACATATTAAGCAATACTACAGGTCTGTTGGGTAGTGGGCCCAACAGAGAATAACCTTCATAGAGGCAAATAAGGTGGTGAACAAAACATCTGGAATGACCTACACAAGACAACAATGGACATGTTCCTCAAAGTCACACTGCCTGGGATGCTATGTACCTCCTTCAAAGTTTCTCCCCAATAGGGGGAATGGTGTCATAGCCAGAGTGATGACAGAATGGAAGAGGTGTGGGCTCAGCATACAGTGTAGGTGCAAGGATGTATGCAGAGCCCGTTTGGGCTTGGAGCAGTGTGTTTTTTGGGTGAGGGGGTGGGGACTCAGTCCATTTAGAAGCACTTCCTGTGGACGATGCTGGGGCCGGACTCATCGTACTCCTGCTTGCTAATCCACATCTGCTGGAAGGTGGACAGGGAAGCCAGGATGGAGCCTCCAATCCATACAGAGTACTTCCTCTCTGGTGGAGCAATGATCTGCAAGGAGAAAGATTGATTACATAAATCCAGTTAAATCAGACATTGAGATTTTAAAATCAAGGCAAAGAGCAATTACCTTGATCTTCATGGTGGTGGGTGCCAGGGCAGTGATCTCCTTCTGCATTCGGTCAGCGATGCCAGGGTACATGGTGGTACCTCCAGACAGCACAGTGTTGGCGTACAGGTCCTTACGGATGTCCACGTCACACTTCATGATGCTGTTGAAGGTAGTTTCATGGATACCACAGGACTCCATACCTAAGGTCAAGTGTTGCCATTAGTATTCATTTTCAAACGACTGGTGTACCAGCACATTTCTGATCCAGGTGAATTTCTCCTGTTGCATACCAAGGAAAGAAGGCTGGAAGAGGGCCTCGGGGCAACGGAACCTCTCGTTTCCAATGGTAATGACCTGACCGTCAGGCAGCTCGTAGCTCTTTTCCAACGATGAAGAGGAGGCAGCAGTTCCCATTTCTTGTTCAAAGTCCAGTGCGACGTAACACAGCTTCTCCTTAATGTCACGCACAATCTCACGTTCGGCTGAGACAAGGAGGGGTTTGTTAAACTTCCATTGCAATGCTGCTTTAAACGTTTTTTTTTTTTAATTTTTTTTTATTTTAAACTCACCTGTGGTGGTGAAGCTGTAACCTCTCTCAGTCAGGATTTTCATGAGGTAGTCAGTGAGGTCTCGGCCAGCCAGGTCCAACCTGAGGATGGCATGGGGCAGAGCATAGCCCTCGTAGATGGGCACTGTGTGGGTCACGCCATCACCGGAGTCCATGACGATACCAGTGGTACGACCAGAGGCGTACAGGGACAGCACAGCCTGGATGGCCACATACATGGCTGGTGTGTTGAAGGTCTCAAACATGATCTGGAGGAGGGAAAACAGACTTTAGTCACCATGTCTTTTGAGGGTACCCTCTGGTAGCTAGAAAGGTTAGCCGTCGGTCTTTAAAAAAAATAAAAGATACATTGAGCAGGCTGCTGCACTCTGAATTTAAATGCATGTTATTTGTTCAGTCATGCAGACACCTGAAAAAGTTAGCATTTTACTTAGAATAATTTGACAATTGCAGTGCTCATGCAGCAACAAGTCATTCCAGATGAATCTCAATGGAGGAAGATAGAAACCTGACAATGTAAAGATCAGCTCAGAGCAGAAGGAACCTGAAGATTGGAGGGAGCAGGAGGAAATGAGACCAAGCAGAGGGAGAAATGCCCAAGTAGAGCATAGCCAGTTTATGCATCTAGGAGGATTTGTCAGAATGTCAGTTCTAGTCACCTGAGTCATCTTTTCCCTGTTGGCCTTAGGGTTCAGAGGAGCCTCAGTCAGCAGCACCGGGTGCTCCTCAGGGGCAACTCTCAGCTCATTGTAGAAGGTATGATGCCAGATCTTCTCCATGTCGTCCCAGTTGGTCACAATACCGTGCTCAATGGGGTACTTCAGGGTGAGGATTCCCCTTTTGCTCTGTGCCTCATCACCAACATAACTGTCTTTCTGGCCCATACCAACCATCACACCCTGGGGAGGCAAAATGGAAAAAGGTCAGTTTAAAACAAAAAATAAAATACGCAAAGGAACAAATTAAGGGATTTTTTTTTTTTAAAGTTACCTGATGCCTGGGGCGGCCAACAATGGAGGGAAAGACAGCACGTGGAGCATCATCTCCTGCAAAGCCAGCTTTGCACATACCGGATCCGTTGTCAACAACGAGGGCGGCAATTTCGTCTTCCATTTTTTCTGGAGGAAAAAAAAAAAATTGAAATTTTTATTACTTTTTTTTTTAAGCCAACTCTATGACATATGGCCCCACACACAGCCCTGACAGGAGGCTCACAGCCCTGTCGTTATAGGGACTGGACGCTGGACGTCGCCCTGGCGCAGGGTCCAGCCCAAAGCTGACAGACAAAGGCGGCCTCCCTGGTCAGACTATGGCCATATAAGGAAAAACCCAGAGCAGCCTCCAGACCGACAGCAGCCCGAAAGTCCTCCTGCCCCAGACTAGTCCCTCAGCCGGCCACTCCCTTCACCGGAATCACGGCGAATGAATCAATAATCCACACCTCTCCCCCCCCTCCCTCTTTTTAAACCTTTTTTTCTGGTAAAATCAGTCAAATTATTTCACTTCGTGTCGTGACTACCGGACGATAACGGGTCCGAACAAAAAGCCAACTTCTCATGATCTATAAAAGTAACTTCAACGTCAAATTGATGCAGGTGGTGTAGGTTCGCTTTACGAGTGAAGAAGAAAAAGTGCATTTGACTCGTTTTTAAGTTCCTCTCAGGTTAATCTGTGTGATCCACCGGTTGTGAGAAACCCGATACGGCTGAGGCTCAGACGCTGCTGCCAAAGCAAACGCGAGAAGCTTTCAACGCAGGCGGATTTAAAAGCGGCCAAGTTAAACGACTTAGCAGCGATGTTTCACGGCTTGTCAACTATTCGTGGAACGCAGTCACTCATTCAAAACGATGCCTGCATGCCACCTTTCAACATGAACTGGACCTTTCAAGATAAACCGCTATCAAAGAGGGCAACTTAACTTGGTTAAAACTCCAGCAACGTCGTAAATTAGCCACACAGAAAAAGGAAACCGCTTCAAACAATTAAAGAAAGAAAGCACTCTGAAATTCTTTGAGAAGTTGAAGGGACTCTCTCTTACCTGTGTGAAGGAGGGTTATTCGTTAAGGAAGCCTGGGGTTGAGCGCTACACTCTGTGTGGGATTAGTGTCTGAGCCTGACTGCAATGAAGGCAAATAAATTGCAGGACTTTATCTGCGCTCGCGCTGCAGCCCCTCTCCATAAAAGGAGAACTTTCCGCACGGCGCTCTCTGATTGGCTCAGCCGCGTCCACTGGGTGTGGCGCATGCAGATGGCTGCTCTGCTCTGACACAACGGCGAGGACATGGATCACGAAAAAAACTAACCCATGTGCCTACAAAGTTATTTTTCTGGGGTGGATCCGTGCACTTTGAGATGCATCTGTCTCTCACTTCATCATCGGTTTCATCCAGGTGATAATGATGGTATAAGAGCGGTGCACAGGAGGCCAATGGTCACTTTGCCGTTGCCCCGAAAGGTCTTTCACTATAAAATTATTTAATATATGTGTGTGTGTGTTTGAAATGTTCATAGGGGTTGTTGAAAAGTGCATTTAATGTAGCTCACCTTACAATGCACTATAATGATAGCGTGGCTTTACATCATCTATGGCTTGCAACAGGCCAAGTTACCCACATTGCATTTATCAGTCACACCATCTGTTGTAAAATTACAGGAAATACAGTCACGGTTAGATGAAGAGGACGGAGGAAGCCAGCAGAGCAGGGCGTTTAACCATTAACTGCAAAGGGAAACCTTCTGACTCATCACCAATGCTCCTTAGCAGTGCCAGCCAATATTTGGAGTGGTTACAATCTCAGGGGGTCACTGACAGCTGTGTTAACACCCTGTCCAACATGTCTGCCCTGGCATACCACTCTCACACTCACACAAACACACACACACACACACACACTGATACTGAGCAGTATGACAGGAATACATGTGGTAAACCTTAGGTATGTGTACAGGAGGCTGTAAATCTTGTATCTCTCACCACTTCTAATTGCATAAGTAGTAGACAGAGCAGATTAACACCAAATGACACACATTATGACACACAAAACTTAGGTGTGGTGACATCACAGCAAAGACATGACACCTGCTATGATTAATTTGAGTATGCATGCGCATACCATGCATAGATACATCAAACACTGAAACCTGTAGTATCGTCACACTCGTTTAAATGATTCAGGCACAAGTTGTGTTGCAATACTCGTATTACAGGTGGTGGTGGGACCAGGGCGTCTTTTTTTTAACTCAATTAGGGCACTGGACAGAGACTCATGAACTAACACTTGGAATTCTCACAAGCTCTATGCGTTCCTAATAAGGATACATGTGAGCCAGCTCACCATTTGGGATAGAAGGTTTTTTTTTTTTTTTTTACAATGCCTCCTGTCTGAGAATATACACAGGAAGTGACCACAGCTAAGGACAACACACAGGGGAGGTAAATGAGCTGATCAGGGAATTTGCCTTTCAGACAGGCATTATCCTGCTTTGGACAGAAGCTGTACACACTTACACACACCCATCTTAGACCCAGGGCAGGACAACCATCCCTTTAAGAGTTTCTTTGGATGACGTCCATATAAGGAGATATTGGAGGGTGTCACATGGGGGGGGAAGAATGCACTGCTCAGGTCATGTGACCCCTCTGAGGGAATGAATGAATCTCCCTTTTTAAGGTTATGCTTTTTTTTTTTTGTGGCTATTTTTCACTTTGACCTTTTCATTTTGAATCACTGATTTATTTTCTGATTGGGAGTTGAAGGTAACACGTGCTTTTTAGTGACTAAACTTTGTACTCCCCGAACTCATCTTTGACAGAGATTTCTTAATATTTCCTGTGGACTCTCCTTTCACTCTCTGTCATTTCAAAAGTCAGCGGTGCGCATGATTCACGCGTTAGTTGCAACACACACACAGACACTCACACCCACTCCCGCCCTGCATTGCTCGCTCACACAGTCAGAGAAACTCACCGGCCTGGCTCTTGGTTCTCACTAAGACCGTATATGGAAGAAGCCAGCAGGTAGCCTCTGTCCACTTTCCCCCACCCCGTTCCCAAGCGCTCTGTTTCTCCTTTAAACATCCAATTGCCCGTTCCTTTATTTGCCCAGTGTCATTCCCTCCCACAAGATTAATCTTTTATATTCCACATCCCATTTGTGGGAGTGTGGTAGACGGTTCTGTTCATATCTGCCCGGGTTGCATCCAGTCATTTATGACATCACATTCCAACAGAGGTCATACATTAGGAGGGGTGTGTCCAGGGTGGACATGACTGTACTCAAATCAGAAACCTGAAGAAAGAGGTTATGCAAACCATGTTTGCAAAACTTCAAACTTGAATTAGTCAATTCTCCTGCTCCTCTGGTGCGTCATTTTGTAGTCAGACTTAACACTGAAGAGAACAATTCACTATGGGTATTACCTGACTAGGCATGAGGCACAGTGTAGGGTGTGTATGTGCTAAATCTACATATGATTTGGTTTTGAGTAAACATGGAGCCCCAAAGTAGATGTTTATTTAGCAATAGTGGCGGTGCAGCCCTCAGTTGTGCAAACTTCCAGGTGAAATTTAAGAAGAAGAAAGGTGAAGTTATTATCGTAAAGAGGAACCAGTAACTTTATACTTCCTAACTGATGTTCACTGCACAGTAGATGTACAAAATAGAGCTTATATCTACCTCCAGGTTACTCTTTAACCGAGATGTGGCTCATTTAAAGAATAGTTTAATCTGATCTGTCTCTGATCTGCCTATCAAGAAACATAGAATTATTTTTTTTCCCCCCCCCCCCCATCCCCACCCCAAAAAGTATCTTTTCCCTGATTAGGATTTTGATTTATTGAGGCATTACAAAAACTCTGTACCATAGACAAAAGACATTCAGATAAGGTCACATAGACTTAGAATCGGACTGGATTATAACTAAACAGTGAGTGCAAGTTAAGGAAAATACATTTATTTGCAAAACAAGGACAATGAAGCATTGATGCACACTGCACTGATGTGAAAACAAGGTTAGCATATCTTCTTTGAGTTTCAAGCAGTCCAGCTCTTCTCCAGGTCCACCAGCTCCATGCCTTCACAGTAGGATCGCGGTCGTGCCACCCTGACCTGCTTTTGACAGGGGAATATTACATTATGAAACCAGATGAGGATTTTCTCTACTCATGTCAGCCGTCTCACTCTCACACACACAGTCAAACACTCACTGGGGGAGTTCTGTGGGAAGCCAGTTGCTGAAGAAGTGGGAACGGAGTCCAGTGAATGGGTTCCACTGGCCAACTACAGACAGATAGGTCACTGGCCTTACCAGAGTCCAAAACGCCGTCGCCCACACTCATCTCACTCCCCCTCCAACCATACTGTGAGCTACAAAGCAAATATAGAGCAAAGGGATTATTGACACAGACAAATCTTTGGGGAGCTGAACTGCAGTCAAGCCAAGGTACAAATAAGAAAAACTGCATGAACATGATTTTATTACAAGCCTTAAAAGCAAATAAATGATGATATATAAACTATAGGATTATCACTCATAGTTTGAATATTTGACAACTGATAAAGTAACTAATGAATCAAACTATCATTATAGGCTTTTTAATAAGTGAACCTGTCAGGTTTTCCTTTAGTCTCCATGAAACAGAAGTTTGATATTTTTGTAATTCTCTGTCAGCCATGATTTCAAGTTGCAGGCAACCCTTTACAGAGAGAAAAAAAAACTCTTTGATCGGCCAATGACACCTGTTTGGGTCTAAATTGCAAACTGGCAAAGATAACCTGTTGGTGAGTGTGTTTGCAGCAGTTAGCCACAGAAAAGTAAGGAATTCAATTCAGGGACCGAAACTCTAGAAATACTAAAATGAAGCAAAGCGGACAAATGGTTTGATTTTCAACATTTAAAGATCCAGCTGTTGCATGCTGCAACAGCTGGATTTAAGTCTGTTAGCAAATACGATAAAAAAACTTGCCAAATATCCAACCAGAAAACCCTCTTGGTGTTTACCAAAAGCGTCAGGTCCGACAGCAACACAAAGCAAGTGTTAGGTTTTCTGAATGGACAATTTGCAGGGACGGAGCCTAATAACTAAACCAAACTTTTCTATAAATAAAACATAATAATTACAACTTGTTCTAATCGCTATGATTGAAACCAGAGAGGTTAAACACTGTTTATTTTGGACCTGTCACAAATGTATGCCATCATGACCAAACATTTGCTGATACTGTCAAACCCACAGACAACTCAGCATAACATTGTGTGTGCACTTTTACCTGTGGGGGTATATCGTGTTTATGCGTGCTCCGTGACTGGGGCAAGTGGAGGCCAGTGACAGCGTGTCATCATGGTAACAGCAGGGGCGGTCGAGCGCTCGCAGATGCAGTAACTCATCAGAGCGCATAAAGGCAGGATTGTCCAGTGAATCTGCTGATCCAGCCCACGAACGCAACCAGAACCGACCAGACAGCTCATCAAAATGGTTGAATCGGCGGTAGCTGCACACAACAGATCAGGAGAGGTTACGTTCAGGAGTCAAAGAGTGCAATGTTTCAGGTGTGATTTGGGCTTGCAATAACTACTTGAAATAACAGTTGTTTTTTCTAAACACAGGCATTTCTGTCAAGGTAAACTTAAAATAGTTTCTAATGCGTCCAAGTTTTTCTCGTAAAACCCGTTCACAGAGCTCCTGGGACCAAGTTTCACGCAGCAACAAAGAACTCCAAAGAAATGAGAAGGAGCAGAGCCGAGCCTGTTGCCATGGATGACATCATCCGGGATGAATGAACTACTATTTTTCAGACTGACTGCTCTGTGTCAATGAGATTTTATTTATTGCAATAACAAAAACCTCGAGCCAAAAATCCTGAAAATATTAAACATGTTAAATAGTTGCATTCAATATGTGAGAAAATGATTTTTTCCTTTGTATGTGCATTTTACGTATACATATAAATACATACATAAAATGCATGTTTGTAAGACGCAAATTCACTTGAAAACCAAAATACAACCCCGAGGCCAACTGCATTAGCTGCATATAGCTAATATCGCACTACACAGAGCAAATTTGGTCCCACTTGCAGTGTTTTCCTCCACCATCGAGCTGTAGCCATTTCCAGACTTCCTTTCAGCTTTCCATCTTAAAACAAAATGGCTCGGAAAAGCTATTACAAATAAGTATCAGCGAGGCAAAATCCAATAGTCTAACCATAACAACATGCAAGAAGCAACAGAGCCATTTTTAAATCAACAAGTTTACGAGTAAACTGAGGCTTTTCTGGCATAAAATGGCAGGTGTCCTCAGTCCTTGGTCCAAGCATCCCCCCTTTTATCTCCTTTTGCTAAAAGAATTTATGAATAAACACGATTGAAGGCTGTAATCATATCTGGAGGCTTATCATGCAGATTCCTACAGAATTTCTCCATCACCTGCCATCCTGTGAAACAACCACTGTGTGACACCTAGTGGACATTGCTGGTAGACAATACTGCAAAATGTGTATGGGTGAGTCGGATTACATGCTTAGCTTTTCCCCCCCCATTTTAGAAAAAAGCACTGCTCACCTCCCCAACAAAATTACTTAAAAAAAGGTTTATTTACATGTTGTATTACGCATACCATAATCATGCAACATAAGGCACATTTTATGATCACAATCCAAAGCTTTTGGATGTTTTATTTATTTCTATGGTTGAACTTGAACTTCCTCTATACATTTAATCTCATAATCATTAAGATGCTTTTGACCCTTTATATCACGAGGTGGGGACGTACCTGCTGCGGGTCTGGTCCACTTTGGCCTGGATCAGAACGGCACGATAACGTCGCACAGCCACAAAGGCCAGAATGCCAATAACCGTCACCAGGGTGAGTAAGATGGCAAGGCATGCACTGACGAGACGCGCTCGAGTCATCTTCATGTCACACCTCTGACCCATGTACCAGAAGTCATCACCCACGAGGCAACTGAAATACGTAGCAAATAATAATAATCAAACAACCAACTAACATTTGCAAGACATAATGGAGAGAATAGAGGAATACGCATTTCTGGGACTCTTGTTACCGGCAGACTGGTGGCTGGCCTGGATGGTGTGTGCAGATGCCGTGGTGGTGGCAGTGGTCAAAGCGGCAAACAGAGGAGCAGCTGTAGTTTCCGGTGCCAGGGTGAAGCCCACATTTATAACCTGCAGGGCACTGCAGCAACCAGCCACACACATCACCCTGAAGTCCTGGAGGGGGAAAATCAGACGATAAAACTGAAAAAATGTTTTATCAATTGTCAGCCAATATATGCTATTTCCCTTTATATATTCAATTCTCTTTTTGCTCTTAAGAGTGGATCAAACGAGAGCTCATCTTAAGCAATGTTAATCATTTCAATGAATCAAGCAGAGATTTGTGAATATCGAGTCAGAAAGAGCTGGCGTGATAACACTGATCGTGACATTCCGTGGTTCGTCATCTCGGGTGACAGCCTGTCATCCGATGACTTACTGGCCTCAAGCATTTTACAGCCAAAATCAACAAAGCAGATTTGTAATGCATCTACAGTCCGCTGACAATATTCTACATTTACATTTGTTGTTTACATCCCTGCATGCGTCTGTGGACACCAACTATTCTCTCATGCAAGTGAAAAATAACATTGAATATTTTTTCAGGCATAGCACACTAATAAGATGATTACATGCCAGTAACAGGCTCGATATCAGGGAAGGCCAGGTGCAATCAGATTTTGTAATTATTGGATTCTGAGCATGATTGAGTCAGTCTAACTGTGTTATGATGTTTCAGTCGGCCTGGAAATGGGTTAATTGAGTAAAGACGTTACGCATAGAATTCCAAAATTGTGGAAGTACCTTATCCGAGAGTGGACTGCAGGGAAATGACTGAGGATGAGGGGGACAAATGTGGAGGACAGGAGACAGACTCCCAGTGTGGGAGTCCCCATGTGTTGTTTAGTAACATCTGACATGTTCTGATGTGTGCAGCATGGGTTACTCACAATGGCCATCCAAAACAGTATGGGCATTCAGAACTATGAGTATTTATTAAAGGAAAATTTCTTGGTTTATCTGGGAAAAGATGTATGTGTAGTATTTGTTTTGGGGACAAATTCTCATTGAAGGAGTATACCAAACTGGATTTCAGCGTGGCTCACCTCCGAGAGTGATGTTGGTTATCTTGGATGATCTAAACGTCTTCTCCTCACGAACAACTTGAGCAAGTCCTATTCGTTCTAACAGAGAGACGGGTCCAGTTGTTCCAATCCACTGCAGAGCCCCACTGGTTTTAAACTCTATCAGACTCTGCACGGCGTGGCCACTAGAGCAAGGACAGAGCAACAAAACACAAAATCAACTTTCAGAACTGATGTTAAAGAGGGCAACAATGAATAAAAACAACCCCACAACATCAATTAACACTGGGGGACAAAGACATATGAATAAATAAAAAAATACAAAAATTCCATATGCTTCCTCAGTTTCTATGGAGCTGCTCACCTGCTCCAGACTCCCAGGAGCTTAGAGAAGCCTGGGGCTCTCTGCAAGTAAGGCACCACCTGAAAGGAGGGAAAACAAGAAGAGTCAAAAGGCTAATGGACAAAAGTCAAAAGGTATTGCCTGATAAAAATATGTATTTGTGCTTTTTAATACAGTCTTTGAGTTCGCTGCCTGACCCAGGCTGTGGTGTCCTCCTCCAAACGGGGAGTCGAAGCAGACCTGGAGTCATCCACAACTATCTGAAGCAGCAGCTCAACGGACTCCACTAGACGGAGAAGAAAGTCATTAAGCATGACTTCAATGCTTAATCGCAAACATGATTCCATGTGAGCAGTACCTCTGATGGAAGCAGGTTGGTTTGGCACAATGTAGAACACTGGACTTTTAGTGGTGGCCCAAACAGACGTAGGGTTCAGAACAGAAGGCGTGGGCGCCACAGTGTTCCACGGGCTGGGATTCATGGCTGCTGAAGCTTCGGCTGTGGTAACGGGCTTTGCCATGGTGCTGTCCAAGTTTATGGTCAGAGAGGGAAAAGCAGGGGTGATGCCGTTGTGAGACTGTGTATGTGCTGTAGGGATATTTGTGGAAGTGGGAAAGTCTGGGTGATGGAGCGTTTGAGGCGTGCATGATGGTTGTGAGGATTCAGGAAGGCTTTTGTAGTCTAGAGAAGATGCGCGCATGGGGGATTGAGAAGTTTTGTTAGTATTGCCAGGGAATGCAGTTTGTGTTTGGATCACAGTTGCAGGCAGAGATGAGTCTGTGTTTGAACCGGATGACAATAAAGGAAGAACAGTCACTGAATCGTTTTTTAAACGGTCATGCTGGACTGTGCGAACAGCTGGGGGTGAAGACATTTCTCCAGTGATTGCTGTAGCAGATAAATTTAGGACTGGCTGTGTCTGGGATGGTTCGGTGGTAGAAAACGACACAGTGGAACCTGATAGCTGGTCATCACTCTCTGTCAATCCAGGTGACGAGGAATTATTTACATTTCTTTGTGTGCTTTTTGTTGCAGTTTGTGTATCTTCGTCGCTTGTTCGCGTGAACTGGGAGAATTGTGAAATGCTCTCTGTGCTTTTAGGAGATTTGGTTTGACTTGGTGTGAAAGGGACAAGAGTATGAGACAAATCAGTTATTTGATATTTATCATCTAGCTTGAATTCGGCCGTCTGAGCAGAAACATTAACTACAACCAAATCGCTCTGACTTGTGATTGGATGAACAGAGGAAGCCTCCACAGTAACAGCAGAAGGGACGGGCTCCATGTTGTGGTAGATGGGGGAATGACTCCTCCTTAGGTCCTGTGAAAATGATGCTGATGCTGATGATAGAGTGGGTTCAGCGTCGGCATTTGGATTTCTTGAGTCATGAGGTTTGTCGGATGATTTTAAAGGGTTCAAAATGGTGGCGGGGGTCAGATCAGAATCAAGTCCTTCTGCGTTTCGCTGGCTTCTCCCAGAAAAAGGTTGTTCATCCTCAGTCTGAACAACAGCTCCACCATGTGGAGGCAGGGTGGTATCACTCTCCCAGGTCTGTCCCTCAGAAGGAGGGAAATCAAGAATGCTGGAGCTAGACACCCTGTGGTCTTTTTGTGTGGTTACACGTTTGTCGGTATGTTTAGACGATTTGGGAATATCCGTGCCAGGCAAGGGATTGGATTGAGTAATGGCTTCATCAGTCCGGGGCATCGGCGTTGGAGGGGAGGATAGTTTGGTGAGGCTTACAGTTGTGGATTCGGTGTTTGGTGTCCGAAAATGTGGGCGTGTTCTTGCAGTCATGGCCTCCTCTCTGAGGTGAGCAGCGCCAGATGTATCCGCTCCATTGTTCGGTCCTTCCTCAGGAAGAGGGAGAGTTTCCCTATCAGCTCTCCCAGCGTCAGGGAGTCCCTGCCGGGGTGAGGTGGGGCTCAACGACCACTCGTCCTGAGGGGAGACGCTGGACACGGACGGAGGTCCAGAAGTTGACCCCGGAGCTTCGTGGGGGTAACCTTTACCGTCATCCGCGGTTCCCAGCACCCCTCCAGTAACAACAGTAGTACTAGTGAAGGAAGTTCCTGTCTGCGACCAACCAGTGGAGCCTCCGTCTGGTTGTTTGGTTGAGTGGACCTCTGAGGAATTCCTCTCATCTTCCTGAACTGGACAACCAGAAGAGAAAAAAAAAAAAGAGGAGGGGCAGCCAGGGTGGTGAGAGGGAGAGTGGAAAACACAACAACATAATATTTCTCTGCCACAACACACAGAGAGTGATAAAAACTTTCCGGCTGACAGATTTGCTGCCACAACAAATGCTCACTGTATTTAACTTTATACGCCCAGAAGCCTAAGTGAGCCTGCTGTGCTCATAGACACACAAAAAGACACGCAACAATTCATCAACAACAGGTTCGATCCAAATTTCATTACAACCTCTCGTGATCAAGACCAACTCAGGCATGCGGGTCATTCTGTTTAGAAGGAGTAATTGAGGAATGCTTTCTCACCATAATAAGCCAGCTGAACTTCATTTGGGAAGCGTCCTGTTCCTGTCCAACTGAGGGCGGCTTTGTTTCTGTCACAGCCGGACAGTAAAACCGTACCCTTGCTCTGTAAGGCCTGCGGCCCCTTGGCCAAGTCACAAAGCACCGATATATTTGAGCCACTTTCCAACTCCACGACGTATAGAAGTACCGTCCTCCCCGAAGGAATATCCAACACCCAAGTGCAAAGGGAAATATTCAAAGCTTTGCCAGACAGCTGGATCATGGGGTCGGGCCTGCTGGTTGTAGCAAAATGTCCCGGTATCGTGAGGTTGATTTGACCTGAGAGGTCTTGGTCCAGGCTGACATTTCCACCACAGTGGTGATCCGACAAGGCCGATGTTTTATCTGAGAAAGGACAAAAGTAAATACACATATCTACAGTATCGTACTGGGACATGAATCTCTTTGTTCGTTTGTTTGGTTGCCATAAAGACCATTTTGAATTCGATCACATCGAGGTAGAAATGGTGAGAAACCAAGCAAAACAAACCCACCACCAATATACACACATTTTACATCAGCAATGATTTGAGACAGACATTTCCCAGACAGAGAGGCGTCTCAGTTTAACAGTGGTAGATTTTTTGGGGGGGTGACATCACAGATGGCATCTTCCTGACAGAACACAGCGTTACAGATTCGTGTAAAACGCGCGGTCTGCGTGTGGAACCGCCAGCAGACAGCTGCTTACCTGCAGAGATGATGAAAAGCAAAAGACAGCCGTGGAGCAGCATTTCCAATGTTGAGACATCTCAGTGTCAGAGACCTGTTTATCCCCAAATCCATGCAGATCTTTTGGATTCAGCCTATACCCGCTCTCCAACGACTCGGGCAAACTAACTGCGCAAATCGCAAATGATCTTCAGTCTTCCTTCCCAAAAAGAAAAAAAAAAAACGAAAGAGGCGTCACAAACTTTCCTCCTCCATCATTTCCTTGAGCGGAAACCGCCGTGCTGTCAGGGGCGAAGCGCCGAGCAAATGACACACACGTGTGTCAAACAGCGCGTCCTGGGTGGACGGACAGATTAATGGATGGAGGGATGGATGGAGGGATGGAGTGGAGGATGAAGAGCAGTTCACAGAGCCTCCGGTCTGCAGTCGTTAAAGTCAATCGGCATTTCCAAAGATGAGAGGGAGAAATCCATTGGTCTCGGCAGGAGCTGCCTTTTTACACGGCGCGTAAAGTCGTCACAGGAAACCTTTACCACAGGAGGTATGTGGATGTTAGGGGTCTCCGCGTTCATTAGAGCTCCCACATTAACACCCCGGTGTGAGGGAGGAAAACACATCGCCCCCACGTCAGCCAGCTCATGTCCACTGTCCGAAAATGATCGGATCTATGTTGGTTTATGGGGTGGAGGCAGCCATACCTCAAATCTGCTTTTCAGTTCCACATAATACTGGTGCCAACAACAGCTAGACCTGCCATTAGTGATGATTTTGTCGTCAAAATAAGAAAAAGTCTGGGAATTATTGCTTTGAAAATTTCAACGTTGGTCGTGCTTCCATGTGCAGAACAAAGACCTAAAAAATTAATATAATAACGATGAAGAAATTCTGCAGCCAGGGTATTTGTGGAAAACTAACTTTGATGTTCTGCAACAACATCATTGTTTACTTATGGAAATATGTTCATCCTATATCAAATAAACCTATCAGACATAATACTAAAACCAACCGATTTGTCAGTGTTAAATTTGATAGTTCTGAAGTTTCACATCAGAAAGTCTCACTAGAATAAAATCTTTTTTCCTTCACAGAATGACCCCAATCAGAGTTTGATCCAACAATTGTGTTGCTGTAAAAAAATAGTGCTGTATTTAGATACTCTTAGCAAAAAAAAAGAGATCATCACACTATTTTATTGCTGTATTTGCAATATTATTTCAATGTATCATTATCGTAACATCTCAGCTCACCTTTTTTTAATCAACAATTTTTCTGAAGGAAAAAACCAGTGTGAGTGTCAGTTCTCTCTGGGTACCCTGGCTTTCTACCGCAGTCCAAAAACCTGCATTTGGGTTGACTGGACATTCCAAATTGCCCTTAGGTTCCCTTAGTGTGCTTGGTTGTTTGTCCTTGTGTGTCTCTGTGTGGCCCTGCGATGGACTGGCGGGCCGTCTAGGGTGTACCCCGCCTCTCGCCCATTAAATACCGGGATAAGCTTTAGTCCTCCTGCGATTATTTGGGAATAAGAGGTTCAAAAAATGGATGAACATATTTTAGAATCTTTATTTCCATCAGAGGGTCAAACTGAAACCAACTAAACATTTCGCATAATTTCAATTGTACCTGTAGTGCTAAGAGTACAACACAGCGGATTAACTGGCAAAATGTATGTTGTCAAGATTATTCCCAGTAAAATGTTGAAATCACAAAATATTGAATTTTTTGTTACATTTGTCGTCGATAAAATCAAAGCATTGCTGATACCAATAAAAATACAACAACAAGATTATGTGATCGATCACTTGATGTCTTGTCATTTCAAAACACCCAATATCACATCTGACTAAAGAGAAACATATCACTCCCAATGTGGTAGTCACAGTGGAGACGGTATATAGTGATTGCACTTTTCTCCGGTTAGATGTGGGTCACATGTCAGAGTGTACTGAAGCTCCAGGCCCGCTCCTCTTTCAAACAAACAGGTGATAGTGTGTGTCCCCTGTTTCAAAGAGCTCGTACATGATCCCATAAACTGATTGCGGAACACGTCTTCATCCCAAACGTTTACACTCAACACATTGCTGGTGTCCACCTTCATGTGAAAAAAATATATATGACAAAGAATTATATGGTGTTATCTCTGCAATAGTAAGCTGACTTTTTGGTCAGTGGTATACTTATTCATTCACAATGTTTAGACATAATGTGTTGTCAAAACAATTACTTTAGATACATGAATTTCATCATCATGTGAACAGTATAATATTGCTGATGTCTTGTATAAATATTCTGATGACTAAACTTGTCTGTATATGCAGTTCCTGATGTTTAAGGACCGACATTTTAGGTCACCTTAAATGTATGCTTCAAAATAGACTGTGAAGCATCTGGTCCAACATTAAACTGAAATGCAAGTTAGGCAAAGGCAAGTTTTCAGTTAATTTAGTTTTTTTCTACTTTTATTTGATTTATCTACGTATGAATGCTTTTTTTCCTGTGATATCAGAATGCCTGAATATTTCTAACCACTCTGAGTTATTTTAACAATGATATTCTACACACACAAATGGAATTGAAAGTAATTATAAGATTGAATCATAAAAAGTCCCATGGCATCCTTTTACCATGTGATAAATATCTACAAGTCAAATTGCAGTGGATCTATAATAAGAAGATTTACTGACCTTTCCCAAAGGATAATGAACGTTCCATATGGGATCGTTTGACCGGATCATGTGAGTCCTGCGAAAATGGGAACCATACCACATCTCGACATAGCTGTGAATAAGAGTAATTAAAGAGGAGTAACATACGTCATTTGTTTTCTGATAATGGAGAAAAATCTCATTCCTGAAAGTTCATGTCAATCTTTGAACATTTTTAACCCACCTGTCAGTTTTGCTAAGTTTGTCCCCTCTGAGATTCCAGGCACGGACGATGGTTACTGCCAATGTCCCAATCCCAGACCTCAGAGGACAGCAATTAAGTGCCAGGTTAGGAGTAAATGTGATGCACACCTGATCCCTGCTTGAACCCCTCACAGCATTTTCTATGATGTACTGCTCAATGGCAGCTTTCATCCCTTCCTTCTGTGCCTTACTCGGAATAAGATCATACAGTGGCTGGAGGGAGTACCAGACTATGTCAGGGTGATCCTTCAGGGTGTTCAGCCAATTCGAGTAGCTCTCTGAATCATTGTGGGTTAGCGATAACTCCCCCAACCAGCCATTGCCCCCTGAGACCTCTGTGTGATGCTGATGGAGACTAGGGCTGTAGCTATTGGAGAAATGCTCGTTTTGTAGAACCTTGCGGCATGACTCTTGGACACTGGATAGTTTGATTTTCCCCAGGCCGACAGAGAAACCCACTGATAAACAGGAGTGGACCTGGTTGATGGAAGATATAAAGACATGTTAAAAAAGTGTTACAATCCACTGACAAAATATGTGACTGTCATAAAAGATAACACCTATGAATGATTATTTGACCTATCCTAGACTGAGAAACCTCTTTCTGTTATTCAGGTAATCAACTGCATAACACATTTTGTAGTAACAAAATTGTTTGCCAACTAACATTTTGGTATCATGCAACATAATATTAATGTTGTAAAGACTGATCCTGAAACTAATGTCAAGAAGGGGCAAACCTTCAGCGTTGTTCTCTAGCACCCACCACTATTTTCTACACAAAAATCCATTGTCTTTTCTGGCAGTGTAACAGGACTTTTTTTCAGGAAATCTGATGGTTTTGCACCTGATTTGAGGAAAGCCCACTCAGTGAGGACAAACATGTCCGTGTAGCTGTCACTCGCCTCAGTTGTCCACCTAGGTAAACCTGAAATTAAGTTCAATGTTGTTGAAACAGAAAACATTACATTCATCTTAAGAGCTACAGGAACGGAAGAGGTGAGTATGATTTCTAACCTGCCGAATGTGGTGCGTGCCATAGATTTGTATGAGCTCTCTGTACTGAGCACGAGTTGATGAGTTGTAGTAACTTGGCAGCCTCGCCAAATCTCTTGTGAATTCTGAGCTGAGGGGTGGTCTGCTTGATACACGGTAACTGTTCACAAAGAAAAAAAATTAACAAATGCCTTCATGGACACCGGCTCAACAAACAGAACTGAAACTCCGGTTGATTGGCAGGTGATCACCTGTAATGTCTGCAGGTTACTCTGTGTGTGCTGAAGGCATAACGATCCTCTCTGGTCTTTTGTGAAGCAAACTTGTAAACAGTGGAGAGTGTTCCTCCCACGTCCAGGCCGACAGATATAGACTTGCCTAAATCAAAGCCAACCTAATCGAATACAGAGGAAAAAGAGCTTCAGAGCTGTTCAGTCACAGGTGGGATAGTTTGGAAGGGGACTTGTAGTGACCCAACAGCTTACTTATTCCATTCTGCACTTGGAGACAAGAGGTCTGATATTTATGCTCTACTACTTTATAGTTAGTGCAATGCTTTCCACAGGGAATAAAAACGTTGTCCATTCTGTCCAATTATGAACAATACTGTATTGAAGTTTAAATTCTAAAAATGAATTAGACTATTATGTTGAGATAGTCATTGCAATACTTAGGATAGTTAGTCTACTTTATACTGAATTAGAAACAGAATCTTGCTTCATTTCTAATGCAACATATTTTTTTCAAGACCACATTCAAACAAAATAAGAATTCTCACCTTCCAGTCCTCACTGCTCTCTGCAGTGTATGTGTTCATTAGCGACCTGTGGATGCAGTTTAAATTAAAAGAAGCATTACTAAATATCACTTTTCATTTCAAAAGGCATCATCTACTTCATTGTAGGCATCATCTATCCAGCACCTACATTACAGCCTTGACTCACACACTCTCACTCACAATCACAGACTGGAAGTATTTTCACAATAAAATGCTCACACATTGATTGGTGAGTCTTTGTGATAACATAGAAGCTAAAACTCTTCACCAAAGCTGAATCACCCAAACAGATGACAGAACCAAGACAAATAAGTCCATTTGTGCTCATTCAAGGTATTAAAACTTTTGAAAAAATAAATCATTTTGGTGTCCAAGTGTTTTCTTCACTTAACCTTACAAGAGGAGCAAATTTTCAATTAATGTGAATTGAATCTCCTGCTGCTGAAATGACTGTTTAATAACATACCTGACAGTGGAGTGTGAGCTGCTGTAGAGATCAGCTCTGCACTGGCTGAATGCACGCCAATCCACCACAGATGCCGGCAACTAAAAGGAAAAACCACCATCAGTTTGTTCAGAAAACAGAAGTATTTATCACTGTGTTTTTCTTTTACTTTCTGCATCTTCTTTCCTTGTAGGGGGTTGGAGCAGAGGATACATGTTCTCTGTGGGGACAGGTATGTCTTCACATCAACCACGTAAGCTCCTTTTCGTTGCAGTGTGACCACATCAAAGCCCTCTCCCACCAAATTGTGGCCTGGTACAAAGGGAGCAGACTCGCACTCGCCGTAGTTTCCAACCCGACAGGAAAGAACAGGTGACAGACAGAGGAGGAAACTCAGGAGCAGAGGGGCAGGAGCTTTAAGGGAGGCCATGGCTGGAGTCTAATTGTCTGGAATATTTTCAACAGACAGATAGAATGGAAACAATCACAATTAGAACAGTAAACATAAACACATACATTATATACATGCCCTTTATCAAACTTTACTTTGACCTTCTATTGCTTGTATTACTTATATTACAGAGACCATAGTGTTATACATTTTTGGCACAAAATACAATCAAGGTTCTGTGAAATTATGGAAGTTAAGTTTATGGTTTATGTAGTGTTATCCAATCCCTAGTAAGGCTACAGTTTAACTGCAGCCTTGCTTGCATTCTCAAAAATTTATTTTAATTTCAGCTACAAGGCTAACTGTTTAGATCTGACAGATCTAAACCCGTTAACAGAGAATTACAATGTAAGCTTTCACATGTTGTAAAGAAAATATGCCTTATTGGCAAAATCTTTTACCTGCTCCATGTGCTCTTCCCGTCCAAAATTTTGACTGAGTTGTGTGAAGGTCCAGCCAGACTTTATATTAGATTTAAGAATGACGCATACCATAAAAATATATGAATATAAAGAGATAAGACCAGTTTACAACTTGTTATTTTCAAGTTTATGGAATTGTCCTTGGTGCTACAGTGCTTCTTAACAGGGAGATAATTTGTAATAGTGGCTGTCATAGTTCATTTGTTGATTACACATGATAAGCAGGTCTGTGAAGAAACGTGAACACAATTCACACAGCAGGTGCCGTTTTTAGCCCACACATGTCCACTACCAAGGAACGATTTTCATACATTGTAGTAAATATTTTACCAAGATAAAAATTCAAAGATGGAAGAAAAAACAAACCTTTAGACCGAATGTTTGTTTTGATCACCTTGAACCTGAGAAAGTGCTACTAATTTGGTTTGAACTCAAATCTACTAATCATTAACGTATTTACTATTAGTACCATCCAGGACTCTCATAGTTTTATAAGCAACTTTTTGGTGTTAACATGAGTTTCATAATTAAGAAATGAACAAAAGAATATTACAAAAGATTTTTTATTTAATTTTACTCCCCAATGACAACCGTGTTAACAGTTTATTATTGATCATTTTAAAAGCTGTTGAACTTCATTCATAAAACCTACAATCTTACATTAAAGATTTTTGGGCATTTCCATGAAAGCAGACCATGCACTCTAAGGTTTACTATGAAAACAAATAATTCCATGTTTCTGAATATTTTTACAGGACAGTAAAGATAAATCAAAGCGACAGTCTGAACACAGGGAGCTGAAACATGTGCAATGTCTTAAACTTTTTAAACATATTAATCATGAACTGTGATGTAGACAAAGGAACTGCTTTGGCACACATACAGTCGCAATGCAAGAAGTTACAAGAAAACATACAGTAAATGGTCCTTTTTTTGAGACACACAAACCAAATGCAGCCTTTTTAAATGTGTTGCTAATCTCACGTGTTTCTATGGGGGGGAAGCTCACTTCAGCAGGCACTAATGTTTATCTGGCGACGTTACGTTTTTAATAAAAGCTTGAGGTCTTCAGGTATAATCTGCATACTCTTTGATTTTCAGGAGTAGATAAGCTGTTCATCCTTATTCAGTAGTGCTTGTACCTACTAGTCCCACCTAAAATGATGTGATGAAGGCTGTAAGCTTTATTTACAGGGCTCTATGTGTCAAAAAGGAAATTGCAGGCCTGGCTGAGTTGGACTAGGTATGTGTCAAGAGCAGGAAGAGGTACAGTGGTGACTTGATTTCAGCCAGTGCGTAAAATGACGTGAACTCCAGAGTCAGTAAACACAGGGCCGCTGATGTCTCCCACTTTGAGAGCAAAGGAGGCGTCTTCAAATGGCTTCTGCATCTGACCTGAGACACAGGACACATCCAAACAAAGGTAACACATTACTTTATGTTACACTCATTCTTGTCTGCATACATTCATTCAAAACTCTGAAAGTAGTCAATCCAGACCACAAAGGTGCCCTCAAGACAATTATTGGTAATAATCTGAGATTTTCTGACTGCTGTGGCCACGCTGCCTACAAACAGTGAAGGCAGATTGTAAATGGTCACAACAAAAAAATATTTTTAAACTGGTGTAATGGGGAGAGTACCTCTGCCGAAAAGTCCAAGATCGCCACCATTCTTAGCTGAGCTGCAGTCGCTGAACTGAGAGGCTAAAGACTCAAACTTTTCCTGTCCAGATTTGATCTGTTCTATGTACTCTACATAGGAAACAGAAGGCAGGAAATATTAATCAGACTTTGCAGAGCTGCCTCGCATCTTCTCTGCTGTGCTTCACTTACTCTGAATGAGGTCCAGAGCTTCATCTTTAGTTCTTGTAATGTTTTGTTCTCGCCAAGAAGATGGCCGACGTGACTGACCATGTTTCACCAGGAGGTGAGAGCAGCGTACCTGTGGAAGCAAAGAAAGGATGACACGCTCCATTTGAGTAATTTGTTAATGAGTGATAGTTGTGTATTAACAGACTTCAATGACAAGAGGTTTGCCTCTCATAAGCACTTCAAAACATCTAAGGTCATGAACCCCTGACCCATTAAGGATTTGTGTAAATAAATGTAGACACTGTGCTTCATAAACAGGGAATTAATTAGTAATAGTAGAATGGTTTAAAGAAGATATCAGCTATTAGCTGGCATGACAGATTGGAAATGTTAAACACCCCATTCATTTCACCCCACCAGATGTCACTGCTCCTCAGACAGTTTTTCCTCTTAATCTGGGACTTCTTCCCTCTACAATATGTTTTATCTTAGTTCTGAATTATTTGAAAGATATTCTGTAAGAGCACGGGGTTACTTGATGTAACTGCTTTGGTGTAGTCGTAGAATACTGTGAGTATTATAGTATGAACACAAAACAAACTCAACCTTATCTGGGTCTCCACGGCCGTCTCCCACTGGTCGTTCCCACTGGCTGGCATTGGTGATGTGATTAAAGTAGTACACCTTGCCTTCAAAAGAAGACAGACACATGCAACATGCTTTCGTTAAAAAACAAAAATACATGGAGACAGATAATGTCCCTCAATTAAATTCCTATAATATCTGTGCTTGAGGGATGATTCAATGGACATCTGTCACTGCTGTCAGCATCGTGTAAAATGCAGGTTTACTGTAATATGTGTCATTCACTCCATCATGGCGAGTGCAAACCATGCAGCCACGTCACACTGCAATCTGTGGTGTGATCATGACAGGAGCTGACAGGACAAAACATTTGTGACAGTGACTGAAGCTGGAAAGACAGTTTAACAGAGCAGAATCAGATAAAATAAATAAATGTATGGCGTACAGGTGATTGTATGTTTTTTTGTCGTTTGAAATCTTGCTTAACAATTGAATACTGAATAGTTGCAAATGTGCCAAAACACATTCAGGTCAAGTTAAGATCATTTTTAAGAGCTCATTTAAAAATACACATGGTAATTGTATTACTTTTTTTAATGCATATTGCCTAAATACATGTATAAAACACCAGTGTGTGTGTTTTACTTTCCTATGATCAGTATAAATGTCATCTTTGGTAGACGAGTGTTATGTGGTTATATGCGACCTGATTAGCTGTGTGCACACTGAGAATTTAGTGACTTTTACAAAAACCTGATAGGCCAAATGTTTTACTGGATAAAAGCAAAAAGCCTGTCAGTTTAATTAACCCTACATGCCTCATGAGGTACACTTAGTTGATATTTTCTTCAACACTGCACTGGGTCATTGCTAGGTAGGCCATTTGGAATGAAAGGATGGAAAATGTGGAAAAAGGTAAATGCCAGCGTGTTTGACCAGGGTTGAGATAAGGTCAACTGTTTGCTGCTGCTGTTGTCTATAGGCCACTTAGTGCTGGTCAGCTGGTGTATTAAGAGAATGACAAACTAATTGGATCCACACAATCACATAACCTTAAAAAAGGTAAACTTTACGTTTGTATCTGTGATACAAGCCTGTCACTTTTAATCATACAAATATTATCGATGTTTTCAGCTTTCAGATCTGAGTGACTTTGAGATCCAAAGATGACTGTTTAGGCATAAGTTGCGGAAGCAAGTAGTAATGCTACGCCACTTTAGAGAAGAGTAAATTAAATCCCTGAAGTTTTTTTTTCTGGTTTAAGATCTGATCAGTGGGATCCCTTAAAAAAAAAGTGCAGTATTTCTGGTGAGTCTCGCGCAGTTTGCAGGTGAAGTAGTTTGGCGGGATGACGTCATGCAGGGCCCTGCGTCAACCAGATTGAATGAATCAGCTTCTCATGAAGCGACACAACTGTTAAAAGGCACTATCACTGAGAAAAACACACTTTTAGCACCCATTTGCAAATCGACAGATTCGGTAAACGTTCGGTAAACTGAACTTGCCATGTCGTCCCTCCCTTTCAGCATCACCACGATGCTCACGCTGCTAGCTAGTAAGCTAAGCTTTCTGCAAACATCACTTGCATATCTCTCTTTAGCACATTTAGTCCCCTCTTGTTTTGTTACCTGAACTACGGCTCATCCTTTTCTCCCATCCAGCAGGTAAGTTCTCCTCATCTGCCATGCTTTTTTTCCTTGTGACAACGTTTTCAAATTAAATTTCGATGTTGCAACGACGCGACAAGCAGAGCTGCAGCTAAGTAGAAGAGGACGACAGTTAGCAACTTGTTTACGGCACAAGTTGTTTTCCGAATCTGGCCCGCCTCTTTTGCGGGTTTCTGTCTATTCATTGGTTGCCAATCACTGACAGTCAATAGTCTGCTGATTCTATTGGTTTGGAACCTTGCTAAAAATACGATATATAGGAGAGCTTTCCAGAAAGTAGCATCCAGCGAAGAATATATCTCGATCTTTTGTAATTTAACGCGTATGTATTACACTTTTGATTCAGGCTTCAAAGACTTGAGATTACAACCAACATTTAAAACTGTAATCATAGTCAACGTGTGATTTTATTAAATAGTGATTTGGCTATGATTGTGTTTTCAGCCCTTAAGCTAACGTTAGCTACACAAACCCTGGTTAATTGATTTATACCACACGTTTGTGGTGGCACAGCGTTACTTTAACATAACTTCTGTTTGTGCCTTTCTTTTTTACATCTATAATTATCCTTTTTGGGAGAATAATTGTATTTGAATCGACTGTGTCACATGTGCTAACTCTTCGCTCGTATCCTGACAGAAACTCAAGATGATTGAAGTGGTTTGTAATGATCGACTGGGCAAGAAAGTCCGGGTCAAGTGCAAGTATCCTTCATTATAAATCTGAAGATCATAGTGTTTGCTATGTCCTATGCTATCTAAATCACATCACTGAGAGGATGGATGGAGTTAATGTCTGTAGCTAGCATGTTTAGCTTCCTCACGCATTAGCATAATGACCACATTCATTCAGGGTACAGGGTAATATACTCTTATAAAACTTGTTTTACATGGTAAATACTTAAAAGATAAAGGCACAATGTTTAGAACGCTGCCTTCTGAAAACGGTAATCTTTATATTGGATTAGAATAAACATTTAAGTTATTTTAACCTAACATGATAGCTTTGCTTCTGTGAGTAAGTTTAATGCTACTTTGCTACTAATGATACTTTGTTTTGAGCAATAGATTTAAGTTTTAATACTACGTTATAGGGGTTAAATTGGATTAGGGTTAGTGAAAGGAGAAATAATTAAAACACAGGCCACAAGTTTGATTGCCAATCACATTTTTGTAATTCTAAATCGATCAAATTTATTATCTTTTCCTGTAAAAACCAACCATAAAAGTAATTTATGTATAATGGTCGAGCTACATTGGAAAGAGTTCTGCTGACACATTTGAAATGAATAGACTTTGCATTTATTTTTTTCGATTACACCTTAACTTCCACGTGCAGCTCAGAGGACACAATTGGAGATCTGAAGAAGCTCATTGCAGCACAAACAGGAACACGCTACGATAAGATTGTATTAAAGAAATGGTAAGACCCCCATCTTTCCACATTTGACAGTGATTAATTGTTTGTGACAATGTCTTCTTTTTAGAGATGGATTTCTTGCATCTGTCTTCACAGGTATACCATATTTAAGGACCACGTGTCTCTTGGTGACTGTATCCTTTCTAAATAGTATTTCCTGCTGCTTTTTTTTTTGTAATTAATCATTTTAATTTTAACTGAGGCTATGGTAAAGTCTAATTAAGTGACATATGTTATTATCAGTGTTTAAGCCAGTTTGAGTTTTCTATGTAGACATGGCAATCCTGCTTATCTGCAGTCAAAGCTTTTTGTCTGGTGCTATTTGCTTGTCCTAGAAAAGTAATTTCTATCACTTAAAACCACAGAAGACAGGTGGATCTTAACTGCACTGCTCAGATGAAATCCATGATGGGATGAACCTGGAGTTGTACTACCAGTAGACGATAGGCGGACCAAAAGTTAAAGATGACACAAACGAACACACTCACACACACCAGATGGAGTCCGTTTTTAGAAAACAATTGATCAGACAGTACAGCTGTAAGGGACAAAGAGCGCCATCTACAGATCAGAAAACACGCCTTCTCTACAGCTATTGTAGTTTTAATTGTTTTTTTGTTTAATTTTTTTCAATTTCCGTTTTGCAGATTATTATGTGAAAGATTTGTTGTTGCTCTGCAGTTATGTTGTTTTGATATTTCGGAAATAAATCTGATAAACCAAGAAATGTGATTCTGTTTTTCTTGCCTTTTGAAATTTCTCATTTTCGAATATTCTCCTTTCAATAATGCAGTTTAGAAGCATATTCTGGTTTCTAAAATATTTTCCTGCTGTGCATATATTCCGCCCCCATCAACTCATGAGTCATTTCAAACATCAGCTGAGTAAATACAAACACTGAATATTGCACAGCAATTTGTGAAGTGTAGATGTCAAGTGAAACCACCCTGAATGATCTGATAAGCTTAAAGGTTTTATTCACATCACTGAACACTCAGTGGTAACATGTTCCCTTTCACACACACTCAAACGCACCCACACACCACACAACGTCGCACTCATGCATGTGTTAATGCAGTGGATCACATAGACACCTTCACACACAGACTGTGTCCACATATCTCCTGTGGGAGCATGTCAGCAGTAATCAGAGTAATCCTCGTCAACGTAGTTGGATGGAAACAGCCCCACCTGCAAACACAAGAGCGAGACGGTGCAGTTCAGTCAAAATGTGTATTTTTTTATTTTTCTGTTTTGCAACATGTGTGTTGGTTTTGTTCTAACCCGGCCGTAAACCTCTCCTTTCCACCAGCCGCTCTGGCCCTTCTTGGAGAGGATCTTGATGGTGTCCCCCTCCCGTAGCGACAGCTCTGAGCGGTCCCGGGCTGAGAAGTCATATCTGGCTCTTGCTACACCAAAGCACCTCATGCTGCCTCCTGGGAGACAGAGCCCACATTAGAGTGTGCTGGAAAGAATAATTTAGGGATATTTGCAAACTGCCTTGTTTCACTTTAACGGCAAAGTTCGGTGCACAGATTTCCAACTTATTTACGTTTGGGTTGTTCATGAGGCAAAAGTAAAAAAATAAATAAAAATTAGGACATAAAATATGTGCTCACATGTCTAACGGCTACTTTCACATAAGCATTAAAGGATTAACAGAAGTGATGGAGATCCTCTGTACCTGGTGTCATATTTGGTGTGTTGTTAGATGAGTCGCTCTCCTCTGGCTGTTTGTAAGGTGTCTGCAGTGTGGTGTCCACATCCTTAAAGTACTCTTTTAGAGAGTTCTGCTGGTAAAACTGAATCATCTCCTATAGTAGGATAGAGGCAAGAGAAGACCATGAGAATACAAGATAGGAGACTAATTCAATCACACATCCGCCCACAGAGGAACTGCTCCCAGTCTCACTGGTTTATTGTGTTTGGTACCAGTGTGTTGGACAAAGGAGGGAGTTCCACTCACAATTAGACCTTTGAAGGCTTTCTTCTCGTTGATGCGGTACAGGCCTTCACTCGAGGTGATCTTGATGTGCCTGATGTCCATGTTGAATCTACAGAGAAAGCAGAGTAAATGGATGAAAGGCATGAATCAACACATTGATTTAACAAATTTTTAGCTGTCAGTTTTTATGATTGCACATGCCAGTCACATTCACACAGAATCCACAGAGGTGAATTCATTACCTCTTTGTTTCCTCTCGGAAATAAAAATCTATTCCACTTCTGCAAAGTACAACTGCTTTGTCAAAAGAAATGTATTTCTCTGTTGTGAGAGGAAGTAATATCTGAGCTTTTATACCACTACCATCCTGCACATCCTACATAGTCAGAAGTTCACAAAAATAAGTTAGGAACAGTACATATTTAGATGAGCTTTATACCACTACCATCCTGCACATCCTACATAGTCAGAAGTTCACAAAAATAAGTTAGGAACAGTACATATTTAGATGGTAATAAATTCATTGAATTGGATCAAACCTATTTGGTACTTATCAGGAATATTTTGGTGCATTTTTGGAGTTATCAAGTCTACTAAAGTTAAAGCACCAGTTAAATCCTAAGCGCCTGAATAAGGGCAACTTGACTTCACCTCTTGTTAAAAATCTCTGTCAGAACTAGACAGATTTATTTCGTCCAAAATAAAAATCACAACACACAAATTAAGATGCGCAAAAATGGAAATTTGAATTCACCTCAGTTCCTGGATACTAAACTCATAAGGCATATCTGGTCAATAGAGGAATAAAAGATAAGATTAAGAAGTCTCACTTGATGCTGATTGCAAACTCTCCACCATCTTTTTGCCGAACTAGGAAGGTTCCATCAGAACGGGAAATTAACAGATTTTTGGCAGCTGTGCGGTCCATGTTTCCTGCAAACCTTGGGTCAAAGTGAAAGCCACAATTTAGATTTTTGATCTTGATTGCAAGTTTTGATGTGTGAACAGAATTCATGCCTTTTTTTTTCTTACAAAACAAAAATACTGTTGTGTTATTAGGTAATAACATTACAACAGTATCTCAGATAGACATCACTGTGTGTTTTCACCTGGTAATCCCCTGACCTTAACACTGATCTCAGCTTTCAAGATTATCCTCTGTACCAAAACTGTTTTTGTCTTACAGCAACATTTAAGATGGTAGGCACCTCTATGTCATCTGTAGGCACGATGTTTACTATTAAGAAAAGTCTTAAAACTGTAGTAAATGTTTTTTCATGCATATAAATATCTACATTTTCTCTTTGTAGAGAAATGTAATTCACATTCATTTTTACCCAGAAGAATGTTATAATAGACAGCTGTCTGCTTAAAGTGCTAACTGTGTGATCAGACTAGGGCTGGAGAACATGACTCTGTGTTGATAGTTTAATGTGGGTCTTTGGGGAAAAAATACACGTTGTGAGAGAAATGTTGGGTAAATGAATGAGTAACAAACCGTGTCATTTTTCATACTGACACCAGGTGACGCCAGACTGACACATTTTGTGACCAAAATGTCTTTTAGGACTGTTATTAAACTTTATGTCAATTTTTGTCATCCCCCTTAATATGATAAATGACATTAAATAAAAATGTGTCTATTAACTGTATGATAAATGCATAAGGATGATTGATTAGACAGTAGGAATAGTGCAAAACACTATCTTCCATGAGTTCAAGTTACTGTAAACTGTAAAACACCAGCACTCTGTCAGTATCTGCTTCTGCTTAATTTTCTGTCAGCTCTAACTGTTTGCCAGTGAGTTTTGCAACAAAAAAAAGAAAAAAGAATCAAACAGCGCAAGCTGCGGCTTTGAGATTAAATGAGTCAACCCAGTTCCTGTTTGTGCTTACCAGTTGAAGCCAGACAGGTCTGGGGTCGGCCTCTGAAAAGGGTTTGAGATTACACAGATGTTATATGAGAGCAGTATGTGGGTTTTTTTTCTGTCATAGATTTCCTAATACTGCTAATGCTTGTTTTAGTCAGCAAATGGAAGTCCACAACTATAACTTCACTAAAGTGAACCTTCCAGGGTTGTACTCACAGAGATGTAGGGCTGAACTTTTTGGCTTGGGAACCACCCCATCTGACCGTCAGTCAGATTTCTTCCCTGAATGACACAGAACAACACCAAAAAAATTGGACGGCGTAAATGTAATAGCACAAAAAAATATACACATATAAAATCTATAATTTAGCTTTCAAAATATAATTTATAAAATGATAAACACAAACGAATGACAGTTCGGGTATGAATAACTATCATCTATGATCCCCGAAGATAAAGATACATTTAGACTAACAACTAGATGGGTGCACAACAGTAAGAAAAAAAGGATTCCTATATGATTTGTTAAATCATCAGAACATTCAAACGGCATCAACTTAATTTTCAAACGTTTTACTCATGACTTGTGCCTCGGGCAGCCTTAAGTCTTCTCAAGAAAAATCTTATGAAGTTAGCACACCCTTCCTTAGAAATGTGTTCCCAATCTTTTAAGACTGAATCATTTAAGCTGTTCCTGGTTAGATGTAGTATAGGGAACAGCCAATTTCAGGTCACCAAGGTGCTATAATAGTTTCAGGTTTAACCACTTGTTGTTGACATGTAAAGCATTGCCCCACACAGACATTCTTGTGCTCTTGGCAGATTTATCATGTCAAAATATTTCAGTTTTATTCTGTAAGTAAGTCACAATTTTAAAGACAACATTTAGTATTTTGTCTCTACTTTACAATGAGTCGTCAGAGTATAAATTGAAAGATAGAAAAATAACATTTTTTGGTGAAAAGTGTGATTTATATTAATAGAATATAAACACAAAGCACAGGTTGCTCAAATGTAATCTTAATTAAAGAACATACGCTTTACAGTGACAAATTTCTACAATGATTATAACTTTGGCAGCTATTCAAAAGGTAATGTTAACAAGAAGTTCCATTTAAAGTCAATATCTTTACTTATTATAGCCAGATGAAAGTCATATGAGGATAATGGTTCAGTATGGAGTGTTTTTCCCTGGCGGTGTGACAGTTAGAGAGAGCATGCTGCAGCAGGAACATGCAACCTTAGCAGCTAAATGGAACTCTAAATCAAAGTGCAAGGAGGAAGTGGAAGCTACAGAACGAGATGACAGACATCTAAAACGTACAGGAGTATCACACCTACACACCGAGTGTGTCAGCCGTCTGAATACATAGGGTGTTTGGTTTGATTGGATTTTACCTCCCACCAGGCGAGGTCAACATCAGCCCGGGTCAGCTCGATGATGTCACCTTTGGAGAGCTGAAGAGGCTGGCCAAAGCCCACCGGAGGCGGAGGCAGGCCATAATATTCCTGGCACACCTCCATCTTTGGAAATCCTGCAATTGGTACATGAAAAAAGGAAAATGTATGTTGATATTTGAATAGAGATACCAAACATAGGGGGAAATATAACACATTGGGAAATATATACAGCAAAGGTGTGCCTCAAAAAGCAAAAACTGCGTATATTAATTATTCAGAATATCTTACCAACACTGGATTGTCCGGAGGACCTGTGTGTTTTATGCTAATGGTCAAAGAAAAACATGGAGAAAAGTTTGATATGTTGACATATACTGACTAAAACAAAGAACTTTTAATTTGTTTTCCTTTAATTTAGCCTTACCTTCTTCAAAGTCGACGAGTGATCTGCAATTCCAAAAGAACATGAAGTTAGAGGGTTTTTAGAGTGGGAAAACTAAATAAACACATATCCCTGTATTACACACACCTGAATTTCGTCCACAGACTGGAACTCTGCCTAAACACTCCTTGTGTGCGGCCATTTTACAGCGAGTGCACCGATAGCCCTGGAAAAACGTCCCTCTGCAGTCACCATGGAGAGACTTATGTCAGTGGACAAGTTCTCTTTTCTTATACCAGATCGATGGGAGCCAAGGACAAAATTGAGACGAACGCACCTTAATAACATGGAGCACACCCGGCAGGAGGTGGTTTCCTCAAAGCAGTTCATCTGGAAGTCATGGTTATTTGCAGTGGAGTTCTCAGGGCACATGTTTGACCTGAAACCGCACGATACATCGCTTTTAACAAAAGCTTGAAGAACCAAAGAGCTGGATTTCTACAAAGAGGGTAATCCTCAAACTACCTGAACAAGAGGCATCTAGGTTTCTGCTCTTGTTCAGTCCAAAAGTATTATGTTTAAAGTGAAATTTAATTTACAAATAAACCTATGAACTTGAAATGATTTCAAGAAGCAAAACACAACCAGGTTCAGTGTGCTGTGTGAGTGTGTGCTGTGAAAACAACTGGCAATACTAACTGAAAATGATTGAAGCAACATCAAATTTAATGTTAAATCTAATTTCCTGACTGAAGTTTTGTTCAGAGCCAAAGCAGCAGAAACACATGCAGGGAATCACTTGCACTTTCAGATATCTAGCAGTAATAGCTTTAGCATGAGCCTCTTATTGAAGCTGCATTAATGTTTTTGATCTTTCTGAATTTCTGTGGGAAAATATCTTGCTGTTCTTCTGTCAGATGTTTTACTGCTCTAATCTTTTTTTGTTGTGCTGTTTGATGGGTGTGTGTTGGCCCATGTGTGATGACTCACAAAGCCATCTCAAACTGCTCCAGCCATTTCTTCTTCAGCTCTCGGGTTTTGAAGAAGAAATCGTAGCCACATCCCCCGTAGCAGTCCAGCAGGAGAAACAAATGGGACCACTGTTCACACAGATTCACACTGTAAGTGATTTACAGGAGCTCGTAATAGATTAGCACAGTTCAACTGGTGCTTAAACGAATATGGGAGACCTTTTTATTGTCCTTCTCCCCTGTGGTTTCATCTCGTATCTGGTAGTGATGTAGTTCAATGATCTCCTTTAGCTCAAAAGTCTCCCCACTCTTCTTCTTGCAGATAATCACAGCTTTGTCGAATAGAAATGCATACCTGTCAGAGAGGTAAAAATGGAGTCAACCATTGGTATGTAACTAACATAAACTTCTGACAGACAACACATACCTGTCCTGTTTAGACCTCTTTTCTGAGCTGCTTATCTTCAGTTCCCCGTCAATTTTGGGGCGACCGAAGAGAGCCAGAGACTGGGTCTGAGAAGCAGAGGCGATTCAATAAAACATATGTGAAAACCAAAACTATTGTGAACTCCTAAAAAACTATTGAGCATGAAAACTGCAAACTTACCAAGTTTTCTATAGACATCTGAAAAGTGGTGATTTGTTTTATGATCTCATTGTCCCGTTTCACCTCATTCACACACTGCGCCAGATCCTTGGATTTCACACAAGAAATTCAGATGACTAAATGTGGAAAATTGAGTTTACAGATGAACAAACCAAATCCTACCGACTTACTCTCATGGCATCAAGAGCTGTTCTGAGATTGTCCTTATCCATGGCGTCAGTGGTGTGTTTCACTAGCTCCTGTAAAAGCAATTAAATCAAATTGTTCATGCAGATGAAACTGCCCAGTTAATGATGATTTACATATATCCCAGATGTGCGGTACCTGTAACAGCAGGTGGTATTTAAGGACTCTCTGCATCGGAACCATGAGTAAATCTCTGAGAGAAAAACGGCCACTGTTTGCTCTTTTGGAGCACTCCTAAGGGAGATAGAAGGAAGACAACAAATGTAGGAAAACACAGTTGTTTTATGTTTATATATATATATATATATATATTTATACTAATCTACAACATAGACATTACACTAAATATACCATATACTAAGAATTTTCCATAGAATATTGATAACATTTAACGAGCTTGTGCTTAAGCACAGCTAAGATACTAATAGTGAGTTGCAACAATGTCTTTTATTCAAACCGTCTCAGTTTATTCTTTCAGCACACTATTGGCACCACAGGTATGAAGAAGACTTATTATTCTTTTTTGGTTCAGCAGCACCATTGAGGGAGAAAAAGGAACATCTTTAAGGCTCTTTTGATTAACAGCTTTTTCATCTTACAGGCAGTTCTATTTCATTGCAAAGAAATGGTGGTCTCCAAAGGTCTTACTCCAGCTGAATACAACTATAGTTGTTTTGAGCTAATGTAAATAAAATATCTCCAGCATGAATGCATCCTTTCTATGTTCCACCTTTTATGCTGCCGGAAGTTAGCCGCAGCCACACTTTCCCATACTTTCTTTACAGTCTTTGATCAGTACAAAGCATAAAGTACAAGTGACACTGATATAATGATACAGTAGTAAATGAAAGTCAGTCTGTTGGATCCAGTGCTTGTATCCAGTTTTGGCAAAATTCAAATACTAAAACTCATGTTTTTTAGGTTCAGTAAAAAATCGATACTTGTCAAAATCGCTCTCAGAGTAGCTAAAATGAAATAGAAATGTCTATTCCTGGTTTGTTTCTGCTGGTTTTGGAGTTTTTGACAACCTCACCTCCAGTTTCATTCTAACATCCTCTCTCGAAAGTGAAAGCTTGTCAAGGTGCTTTGTTGCTGCTTCCACCTGACTGCAATAATGACCATACAGTAGCAGCCTGCGGGCAGACACAACATGAAACATTTCAAACACATAGATTTTGCGATGTTACTGGTCACCCTACAAACAGATTTAGTTATCTCATTGTCCGTGGATACCTCTCCTTGTAGTTCAGAAACACCTGGTAGAGATTCTTGGCTCCATAATTTAAGATGGAGCTCCGAATCTCCTCTAACAAGCCACGGTGGGTGGTTGCCAACTCCTACAAACAAGCACACACAGAAATCAGGTATGATTTTTAAGCCAAGATAAGTCTGAAACACAGCTGCCGTGTAGAAAATCTTTTCCAGTACCTTAACGTTGATGAAGATACTTTCAATGTCTTGAATCTGGAGAAACTTCTCAAGGGGCTTCAGAAAGTGCTACATCAAAAAATATAAATATGTTTGTGTGAATGTCTATCCAAACACAGTCGGATTATCTGTGTAAACCTTTTTACATCCAGTGTAGAATCAGGCTTTTACATGAACAACCCTCATTCCTTAAGAACATGATGAAGAAAAACTTCACCACCCGGAGTTGTGAACAAGGCAATGCATGATGACAAAAATGTTCATGGTCTTTTTTGCCTTGCATCTGTGCAGAATATACTGCATTTGAAACCAGGTGGAGGCAGTTTTTCTAAATTGAAAATGGGAGGGCTTGGATACCTCTGGTTGTCTGAACCCACACTGGATCTTTAAAGTTTAGAGAGCTCCTCCAAACTGATACTTAAGATTTCACGGCACATTTCAACATTTGGCAGCCTGTCATGATGAGCGAAGTCTTTGTACTGGTGGATTCTCCAGTGGACTGTGTTTGTGTGCACACCTGTAAGATAGATTCCAGAGTCTCTGTATATTTTTCTTCTGTATGACGGATTTCCTGCAGGCAACACTCTCGCTTGTCAACACCAGTTTTCTGCTGCTGTATAATATCAAATAAGCACAATGTCAGTTGAAAACAAAATATTTCTGGTGCGTGTCTTCTGCTTTTAAAAAAAAAAAACAACTTAAAAATAAACTTAATGTCTGTTAATGAAGATTGAGTTCACAGCACAATTGTTGCTATCATTGGAAAATTAAAACTAGTACACTTCTCTAAATCTTTATTTTACAGGTTTTTACATTTCTCCCTGTCTTTTAGAAAAAAACTAGTACCATTTGCTTTTGGTGAACAAGCTTTTGGCTAACAAAGAGTACAGAGTAACAGTAACTGTGCGTCCGGTGGATTTATCTGACCTTTTAAAAATATAACACTCCAAATATATTTCTGCCCCATGCAGATTAACTTACTCAAGATTATTAACCAGACAGGAAACAGGAAGACAAAATAACATTTATACAATTTTGGACACACTTAAGACACATATTTTAACTAAATCTTTTTTAATGATGTTCCAAAGAAAAAGTTGTAACATTGTGGAGAAATTAGGTATAATAGCAATACTCATTATTGTTATAAGGATCATTAGTAACATAACGTTCCATGTGAACCACTCACAGTTTCAGGCTGTTCCCCTGTTTTCATCAAGTCTTCATAAATCTCATCTCCTTCATTCTCTTCATCGTCCACAAAATCATACAAATCGTCGTCTTCCTCCACTGTGTCACTGATGGATAGAGCACAAACTAATATTATAATCACAATGACTATTATTACTACTATTATGTAATCTTCTTTTTCACTTGAGTCTTTTACAGACTCAGTTTTAAGTCATCCAAAACTTAAGTCATGCAGATTTTAGTAGTGCAAAAGAAAAATCAGTAAGCTTCACCGGCAAACCTGAATCACTTATGCTATTTCACATGTCCTGGTTTGATTTAAAATAGCCTCGATAAGGTATGTTTACACCCTGCATAAAGGACTGTTTTTTTTCAGACTTTCTTTCCATTCCCATAAGACTTCTTTTGCAACTATAATCGGAAAAATACTCACTCCATCTGGTCAGAAAGCCCACTGTAGATCTCATCATCAGCATCACATCCTTCCAAAGGAAAAGGCCTGAAGATGAAAGAATGTGTTTTCAAAAGCACGTAAGACTTTTAAGCAATCACTTAAATCTATTCAGTGAGAAATCCTAATTACTACTAGGTTGTAACTGGTTTGAACTGAAATTTCACACAGTTTTAACATCTCTATTTCGCGCTTGAACAAACACAGTTAGTGCATTATTGCATAAAAAACGAAAATTATTCACAGAAATGAGATATTCTCAGTGTGAATTATACAGGTAATGATCTTTGTAAATGTTACATAGCCATAGTTAATCAAAATGCACTTATATCTGTTTATATATAATTTACATTAAATGTACAGTGCACAGAATTAATTAAACAGGCACCACTTTACTCACTGAAGTCCTCTTTGTACAGCAATGGATGAATGAGACAAAATGGACAAAGTGCTTATGACCTGTCACAAACAAAAAAGTAAAGCATTAATTAAAGTTCAAGAGAGGGACACAGAATGCCAGAAAAGGTTTTACAGGGACGTCCTTAAGAGATGTGCATACTGGGTTGACCTAAAGTTTGTCACAGAGTTAACACAGATTCAGAATAGTAATTTATAAGTGGGAGGAAGCTGGAGTAAAGAAATCCAGACAGAAGGAAAACGTGATTATTTGGTGTAAGTAGCCCCCCTGTCCTTAATAAGATTCAGAAAAACAAATTCTACAATTTTATCTATCAATAAAAATGATTTAATATGATGACTTAGTTTGATATAAGAACTAAACTAATCTATATCAGATAATTGTGCAATATCATGCAAACTTTGCTCCAGTGCAGCCAAAAATAGAGTTGCGACACATTAATACAGTTAAATAATTGGCCTTTGTCCCCGTTTCAGAAGAGAAGAATCATGATGAATGATCTAAGATAACCAAATCTATGAAAAGCCTGGTCATATACAAAGTCACACAATGGTCCAAAATAAAACTGTTCTTTGTTTTTGTTCTCTGTCTGAGTAAGACAACATATATCTAACGTTTCCACCCATTTAGATTCTCTTTTGGAAATTCCATAACGTTTAGATTTCTAAGCAAATACAGGTCTTTTGCCACAACTCTGTAATGCTGTCAAAAATTTACTCATTTTGTAATTGAAACTTGACTTGCAACCACAACATTGTGGTTCTTCTTTTTCATCAGCAACATGAAAGACCACGGACGTTTATCCTTGTTTGACATACTGTAGATTGCTGTACGGAGTTCGGTTCTCATTCTACATTTTAAAACATTTCTGTTTGATTTCTGCTTTCTCTCAAGACAAAAAAAGGAGAGAAGGTGTTTCAAGAACTGAAAGTTGAAAGGAGAAGTTTTTACTGGAAAACATTTGAATGAACCAATTTACACCCCTCTGCCCCTCTTCCAGACTGTTACTTCCTCAGTTTAACTTTTTGGGGAGCTGCTGTAGATTTAAGGTATCAACTTTTAGATGGATGGTTGGAGGAGAATATAAAACACTCATATCAACCTACTCGATATGAAAATTTAATGAGTACCACTTTTATGTGTGCTTTGAAAAGCTGACAGGTTGCTATTCTGTTTGTTTATTCTGTTTGTCATGGGATTAATATTCTGACCTGACTTTCAATTAGAGTGTGGTTTTAGAAATACCGAGGCGAGCATCTGTACCTTATCAACTGTTCACTTAAAGACAAATGCCTCTTCTGGACCTCCCTGATAATTTGTCTTGTCACAGTGGTTAGCCCAAAAAGTTAAAATTAATAAATGGACTTTACAATAATCAATTGTAAATATTCAAGAAATCATAATGTATATGTCCACTGTTAGTACACCTAAAAGTCTGAAGATTTTTTTCTTGTGTGACAACGCTGCTTTGCATTATGTAAATGATCTGTTCCCTGTAGCTGACTCGAAGCAGCACAGTATGATGTGCACCTCAGAGACAGAAACAGACTGTAAACTAAATGAAAGTGGGAAGACCTCACAAGAATGATCCCACCTACAGTTGACTCATTTTGTTAATCTAGACAGGGTTTCGTCTTTGCACATGCAGTCAAACAAGTACGCCTATTGGATTCCCCTCTTGTTCATTTGAACATGCTGCAATGCTCTGAAAGTGAAACAGAGCTTCACGCTATCACTCAGTCAATACAAATTCTTAAATCGCCATGTTACTTCCTGTTAGGGTTATGTGGGTGTCTGCAAGATGCAGTAAGTAGAGTGGGTTCTTTTAATGCTTTTGTCTTCTACTGCAGTGATTAAGTTCTGAGACCATATTTTTATTTCTTGTTCCATTAATTAAATTTAAAACATAAAAGTTCTTAATTTAGTAAAAAAAATTGTTAATATTAAATATGATGTAAGCAATTGATTATTTATATATTTTTTTAAGGCACTTTTATACAGTCACAGTCAGAAAACCTTAGCTTTATACCTAATTAGTGACTTATCCCAAACATTTATTAATATTACATTAGTAGATCAAACGGTGCATTTTTAAAATGTCAATGCAACCCTTTGAGAGGTAATACAAATTGTATCAAGCTTGAAAGGTAAAATGACACATTTCATACTGCAGAACACAAAGGGTCCAGCATGAACTTAAGCCAAGAACACGGTCACTGATGTTTTAGTTTTCCATTTCAGGGTAGATAACTTGCATTGCATTGGATGTGCTAATAAACCATTCCCTGTCTTGAGATTGTATTCGTGGTTCAAGATCTACACATGCTCAGCTCATTCTCATCCCCAACAAATCATATTCTGTTGGTTCAAGAGCTCCTCGTGTCTGCTGTCCAGCTGCATATGGTCAGCTGTTCGTCTGCACTGGAAATTGATGCACTGACTCTCCCACAAGAAAACAACACATGGAAGCCAATGCACTGTAGTGCTGGGTTGTCAACAATGAACTCAAACTGATTGAAGATGTCTGATGGGACCACGGATAAAGACACACAACATATGTGTGAAAACTCGTTTGAGCTCAAGTTTGTTACTCCTAATTGCAATCTATGTAGAAGCATGACCTTTAAAGTGTTGAACTACTAGTCCTGGTTATCTCAAGGAACAGTTAACTGGACCATATCTTTAATCTTAATTTAAACATTCTGGGTTTTTTCTGTAATCAATCATGTTCCTGATATGCTGTTGCTATATGTTTCAGCAGATGTTTTTTGCAAGAATCACATGCCTCCTATTCCTGCGATAAAATGTGAAAATACACTATTTTTCAAATATTGATCAGAAAAACACTATTTTCGCAAATAAAATAAGACATAAATGATTTGTTAGTCATTGCCTTCGTTTTTCTAATCAGCATATTAGTGTAGCTGTTTTTATAGAAGGAAGAAACTATCAGATCTTTAAATTCTTATCTTTCCTCAAATCATAAAAAAGTTGTCTGATGGTTACAAATTTACAGCATGATGACAACCCAAACAATCGGAACGCTGGAAATCTGTCCACATGAACAAAAAAGCCCCTTATAATGCCTGATTTCAACATCATGGTGCTGGTCAGACTGGAATCAGATGAACTAACTCCTGGACACTTTGAACAAAACCATGCTGCAGTGATGCAACTTTCAGGCAGTTTGCCACATCAAATCAAATATCCTCTGTTTGTTGACCATTGACACATTTCCCATGAATATTCAAGTTTTTTTTCCTGAAAGAACAAATACACAGATGGGCCGGGATGATACCTTTCCAAAGTCTCGGACATCAAACAGTTCAAAGGCTTCAAACAGGTCATTCTTTTTGAGATGAAATCTCTCATGACAAACTCCCAGAAATGTCCGGATATTCTTCAGGCACAGGAACTAAAAACAGATGAAAAAAAACAAATATCAGTTTATGAATGATGCTACTATTCTTTAAATTTGGTTAATTGATTTACACTGGAGCTTTTCACAAATGATATTTGCAAATCTTTTTAGTAACTAGAATGTGAGGAGACTGTGGTGTTCAGAACATAAAAAATCAACTGACTGAGTAATCAGTAAGCAAAAGATTCATAACTGGCTTCTAAAATGAGCACATTAAACACATGAGCTGTTCAAAAACCTGAAGCACTTGACCGAACAAACAGTTGCATGTGAATTGTAAATGTTCGTACTGCTGTTTGACAGCCCCCCCCAAAAAAAGATACAGCGGATGTATCTTCCGTATTCACTGAACTGACCACAGAAACATTAACAGTCAGATACTAAAAGAAGGATGCTGCTGATAACAGAGTGGATCTGAGCGGCTGAATCTTAAAGCTCAGAGCAGAGTCCCACGGACATGGCAGTTAGACATTTGCTGCTTTACATAACTTCCTTAGCCAGCTGCTCTCCTTCAGTCTTTCTGTCTCTCTAGCGGTTTTTCTGACTGCTGAGCATTGGGAAAAGAGGAACTCTAATTTGAGCAAAAAGGGAAATGTGATGTTCTGAGTGATACTGCTGAACGCGTCACATCGCTGTGGAGTTTATGTCCACGGAGAATCACGTGCTCGTCAGAGCAGAAACTCGGTCGTAACTAAGTAGTGTAGTAATCCCTTATTGCGAGATCGTCGGGAATGTCCTCGCTTTGTGCAATGTCATCAGGTAACTGTGTGTGTTGCTGTGGGTCTGAACGTCAACACATGCAGAAGGCTTCTGCTAAGCAGAGGCCATTTCCTCACCGCTTTTGACCTCAGAGGATTTCCCAGAGTTGCACACTCACATGCCAAAGCTGAGTGACTGTTACACGGTCAAGTGTTGAAGACATCGTTTTAGCTAGATATAGGCCTGAATTTGTTTTGGGATGTTAGGATGCTACCTTGAAACTTGAGGAAAGCATTTTGATATGCAGGAAAATATTCCAATCAAAGAGGAAAAAAAGAACATTTCTTTTTCAGAGGGGGTGAGACCCAAAAAGGACTGCTACGAATGAGCAGTTGAGAGGTCGGTAAATAAAGGAGCACAAGGCAGTATCTTAATCTTTGTTTGAAGTGCACCAAATTGTAGTCACCAGGAAGGCCCAATGCAAATGTGCTACATGGTGATTTTTATAAGTAAAGGAAGCAAAGCCTGGAATACCAATGTGAAGATTTGAGACAGTTCAAGGTCAGTTTCTGACCTGAAACTCTGAAAATTTAAATCGAATTGGTTTCCTCTCAGGTTTTGATGCTCTGAAGAGATCTCAGTAGATCTTTTTTCATCCAAAAGGAAAGGGAATATAATATGTATATATATATAATAAAAATAAGAATAAAAAGAATGCCTTTTTGATTGAGAAAACTATTCCTGAAAGATTTTAAGGTATATGAAGAAGTCATGCCATCCTAAATTGTCCTAACATGTCCTCACTGAGTGTTTTCTAGTTATCTTTCTTTTAGTCTGATCTTCTGAAACATCCTTGTTACCATCCAGTTGACTGTGCATGCTTCCGGACGAGGAAAGATATAGATTCCAATATTTTCTTATCAGACAGCCTAGGCCTCAGCGAGGCATGCTGGCTGAGTGGTCTCTATGGAAATGACCTATGAAAATGGAGATGGAAGAGATTTGTGTGTGTGTGTCTTACCTGGGACATCTGTGGCCGCAGGTTGATCTCTCTGAGGTTAACAGCCTGAGGCAGCAGGTTGTTGAGCAACTGGCAGAGCAGCACGCCATCTCTCAGAGCCTGAGCCAGGTCACACACCTTAGGACACCACACAGACACACACACCTAATAAGACTGAGAATGTTTGAGTACAGATGTATAAGTTTGGATGAAACACAGTCGATTCACCTGTGCACTGTCCCATGTGACTCTGTGGTTCTCAGGGAGAACTCGACAGTCAATCAACCACATTGCACACTGCCGCCAGAGCTCCATCTTTGTTTTCTGATAAGTACATGGATGACTTGATCTCAATTAGATGACAAATTATTTAGTAACATGAGTAAAACATCTCACAGATGCTGTTAAATTCCCTTTTAATATCTGGTAAATAGTTGACCAACATCAGACACTGAGCAGAGACACTCATGCAGCTCTTCAGCAAAACATGAAACGGCTATCTGTAAAGTACAAAAAACTCCTAAACAGCTTAACATTAACACATCTCAGCTTAACATTAAAGTAGGATGAATATATCAGTCTCTTACCTAAGCTAATACACCCTGGGAGCTCTCTGTCTTGGTTCTTGATGTTCACCTTCCCGCTTCACTTTCATTATAACATTTTCTAACCTAAGCGCTCTTGCTCTTTCTTTCTTCCGTAGTGGGTGTTCTGCATAGTTGCACTGTGTTGAAGGCTTTTAACTTCATCCCGCAACTTCCTTTTTCCTCTGACGCACCCTCACATACACATGCATGCACACATACACTCACAAATGTGCATACGTGCACAGCCGCTGCTGCTACAGCCACATGCAGAGAGAAAAAAAAGTGTGAACGGGTCTGAACCGACAGAACAGGATTCTATGTGCATGACTTTGTGTTGAGTACAGTAGTTTACCCTTTAGGCATCCTACAAGTAGACCTCATTATTTAAAGTCGGCCTATTCTAGTCAGTGGCAGATAGCTAACGGAAGAGAAGTTGAGTATAAGTGTATTTACAGTTATGGTTGAACACACACACACACAGAGCAGCACTAACTCATATTTTGCTGATTCACATATGGCATGATGCGGTGTCTTGCCTTGACCATCATGGCTGAGTGCTTAACCATTAAGCTTGACACCTTTATTCAAGCATAGAAAATCAAGTTTTGACACACTCCATTGGACATTTGGAATGTTAAAAAAACACAAAAAAAAAGCATGCAGTCATGCAAAGGATTAAATCCAACTGTGTTTTTGTATTGTTCACACAGAATAGAAGTCATTTCCAAAATTGAACAGCACAAGAACTTATACATACGTTCAACGAATACAGAAATGATGGCTGAGAAACTGACAGTACCCATCCATGACTTTCTGAATAGAACGTTTTCAACAGCGATTTTCTGAGCTTTCTGGCGAGAGTCAAGAGTTAAATGTTGATAAGATATCTATAAGATGTTGTTCAAGTGTTCCCACGATGAGCAAAATAGCCTTGAGTGCTTTTGGACCAGAGGCCAAGAGAGTTGGACAAAGCCAACCAACTGATCAAAGGGTAGATTTGAACTATGCAGAAAGAAAATGAGAAGCGATACAGTATAGAGTCACACACTGGCCTTCATAAGATCATAGGATGTTTTTAATATGGATTACAGAGAAAATGTTCAATACTTAGGGATACAGATTTGTTTTAAGGGAATTCATAGTTGCTTTAGCAGGACTTTAAAAACAATTCTTAAACCCCTCAGATGCCAAAATGGGCAAAAATAAACAAATGTCATTGATAGAACCACTTTAGAGATGGAGGATGTACTTGCACTTACATCTTGTGACTTAAATTTCCTCCTCTTTTCAATTAATTGTTTATTCATCGTGGTAGGTTGGTTCAGTTTTGTTTTACACATTGCTTTATCACATGATTTTACTACACTGGTGAAACTATCCACAAAGGTTTGAAGTCCTCATCTCTGGATAATACAGGGTGACAGCATTTTTCCAGGTGACTTGCTGTATGCCATTTCTTATTCATAATGGCAGCTAGGATAAGCTCCAACCAAACCCACAATACAGATTTTTTTTAAATTCAATATAGCATATCAATAATTTCACAAGCATGTTTTAATTCCCTGGGTCTTCCCTAAAACATGTTTTATTCATTTTCATACGGTGTGTTAGAGGAAGAATAACTCACTGAATAAACTCTCTATCGTCCTGACAGAAACTGTGCATCTTAGTGCAAATTGAACAGATGGCTAAACACACCTTTAGTTATTGAAAAGTTGGAAGGAGTGTATTAGTTTTTATTTCAGCACTAGATGTCACTCTTGTACACAGCTTTACTTTTCTGAAGTGTATCTGTAACTCTTCTCATTATCTGTTGAGACGGTTATGTTCACACATACCTATCTCTGACTTGACATGCTGACAGCTGCCCAACATTTTTACTGCCCCTTTTTGTTTTTCTCTCTTCCATGACAAGCCTCGACCTGCTCTCTCTTCTTCCTGAGACCTTATTCTAATTCTTGTTCAGTGATTTGCTGATCTCTCTGGGGGTGCTGCATGTGCAGCGTCAAATCCGATTGGCCTATCCAGTGACCTTGTGGGTTTGAGGGGGAGCGGGCTTCCATCGGTGCCAGGACAGAAAGTGAGACGTTGACTTTATGAGGCTAACTTGATTAGAGTGAAGGAAGGGAAATATAACAAAAGATCTAGCAGTCGTTTTAAGGAGAAAGAGTAGAAAAACAAATCCCAGAGTGCAACGGTGGCTCCTGTAAACAGGTAGGTGCTACATTCTGCAACTTCTGCAAGTCAAACAATGCAAAGACTATCTGCTTGAATGTCAAAAACTTCTGTCATACTAATCCTTCATTTGTTCTCAGGCACTCTCATGCACAAAAACTTGTACAAACATGTATTTGTTGTCATTTTTGCAGGTATGTAATGCGTATCTTTTCTATCTTTGCTGTTTAGACATGAATAATCGCTCTATTGCCTGGTGGCTGGGACAGATCGGCCTGCCCGAGTACACCAAAACACTCGAGCGCGAATATTATGGTCTAGAGGTGTGTAAATGTCCAAATTCTGCCTGAGCTCTTTCTCCTCTCTCTCTCTTTTATGACCAAATCCACACCATTTTCACTCGGGCTTCTAAGCCTGCCGGATTTTTTTCTCTGTAGGGTTTACTATACGTGTCAGATGGAGAGCTGAAGGATGCAGGAATAAAAGATGCAACTCACAGAAAAACCATCCTCACACAGCTGTCAAGACATCGACAGAGGCTGGACCCATACTCTGGTGACGCAAAGGACACATGCACACAAAGATGGACAGGAATCTGTTACATTAATCATACCACATGTAAATACGTTGTGTTCAGTTGAAGCCAAGATTGAACCACAAAGCAAACAAATGGATATCAGAACTCGATGGTTTCATAAAGTTAAAAGCTCATTTGCAATAACACCACATTACAGCAGCAATAAATATTCAGCACTGACACAATACATAGAGATAAAGCATTAAAATTAGTTTTATTTGAATACCAGAATGCCGCATCCTGCCAGATAGGGTATATTATATGAATATATAGGTAAATGTCTATTTACCAATGTAAATGTATATTGATTCAAACACTATGATGCAACTTGCAGGGAAAAGCTTGATCAATTTTAGCTTTAACCAGAAAGGCGGAAGCTTACTCTTGGTGTTGCTGTGTGGAGCTGACAACCAAAGGCTTGTAAGAAAAAACTAAACTCATTACCTCAGAAACTCTCTTGATTTCAGAAGATAAGGTCAAAATCATACAGCGGAATGCCATTCTGTCATGTTGTACTTACAGACTTGTCCCCTGGGAGTCAGAGGTAGTTACTACGCTGGTTTGAAATAGCCTGTAGCCCATAGAGCACAGGGAGTAAACACACTCTTTCAGGCAGTAGGAAATGTTTAATTGGCTTATTTTTTTAGCAAATGTGAACCTGCCTAAGCACACTACCTTTGAAAAGCATAAATAACAAGCTTTTTTCCTTTTTTATTATAGCGTCAATCATCCCAAAAAACAATGACAGTGGTATGGACTTTATTTTTTAACTTTATCAATCCACAAGTACAGAAATGTGCACATGATGTGCTCCGTTTAAATCCTCTTTTGTTTTTTCAGATGTGCAGGTTGTGAAGCGCCGAGTCAGTCGAAAATACTCCCTGGGATCATCTCAGGATATAGTAAGACTGCAGGGCACCGGGGATGTATCCGATTTTTTTAAATGAAAAAAATGAAGTTGCAACATTACTGGCATCTCTACCATTTCCTGTAGGAGAAGCCCAAGGATCTGTTTCGTCAGAGTGTTCTTCCCCGCCTCCAACGCGCTGATAAAAAACACCGCCTGTCTGCTTCATGCTCGCAGCTCCGTCCCCTGGAGGAGGACCACTCCGTCAACCAGGAGAGCAAACACAGGTAAGCCTACCTCCAGTTTGTGTGTGTCACTAAAAACAGTGACATGGATCGCAGATTTGAAAAGGAGGTGAACTTTCTCTGAGCAGTCAGCTCATGTCTGGCTAATAATTAATCTGTGTCCCATAAAGCCATGCAGGGGTTTATAAAGTAAAGGGAACAGGCTGAAAAACCAATTCCTTTTTGTATAGATAAAAGTATGGTGTTATGGGGCACGTTAATCAGATAACAGCATGGTTGAAAACGTACACAATGAACGGCACACAGTGAGCATTCAATATTCAGATCACCCTTCCTTCAATGTGGGGTCAAGTCCCGTGTCTCAGCTGGTTAATCTGAAATCCAGAAGTTCAGGCTCAGGCTGCATCCTCAGCACTGAAAGTCAGAGACTAAAGGTAATAAATAAAAGAAATGTCCCTGCCCTGCCAGAAAAGACTTAAAAATCCAATAAAACTGATTCAGCATTTCTGTGGAACTCCGCTGAAGGGATGTAACGCCATTTCTCTTCTAAAAGACGGTGTGAAGAAAGCAGTTAAGGTGATGTTTTACTGAGATGGGATCTGGTGACCGTTAGCGTCACCGCTTTTGAATCACATTGGGAGTAATTCAGAGGCCGCTTCCTTCCCTGTGGATGGGCGACTGTCACGCTGGAAGACTCATCGGCCATCCAGATCAACGCTCACCTGTCTGCTCTTCCAAGGAGACAAATGTATACAGAACAGTCCGCTGTACAGGTTAAGGACTCATTATTTTCTCTTCGTTTTGTTGCAGTGTCATTTGTACATAGGTCTCAACCTATTTTCTATTCTACCCATTCTTAAATGTCCTGTCCTTCACAGAATGCCCAGAGGATTTACTTGTGTTTTCCCATAAAGTCCCAGGCACTGTGGCCCCCGCTGCCTACCTATAAGTGTGAGCTTTAGTCTTGACTGAGGCCAGGTGAAGCCTCAGCTCAGCATGCCCTGGTATCTGGGGAATGCCAGACAGATAGCTGACGGTTTTCCAGCACGGGCGCTTGGGGCGGGGAGAAGGTTATACCTCGGAAGAACTTGTGGGAACTCGTTTCGACTCTCTGCAGGGAAGAGAGGAAGGAGAGGATAAGCCAGTATAGGGAGGAACCCGCAGCAGGGGGAAAAACAGCACATTGCAAATTTTCCAGCTGTCGTCTGTTAGTGTTGATTTGGACCACAAACCGTAAAAACATGCCTGGTGCCAATGAGCTGTGACTCGGACAGACAGGTAGGACGAACGAACCTCTGCTGCCATGCACTGATTTTAAAACAGCGATCTATCTCCGTTCATTGGCACTAAATGTCACTGACATTTAGTTTGACTTTACGCTCATCTGTTTTTACAAAGTTGGGTCCACGCACCAATCTGCGTAAATCTTTATCCCGCGCGTTGACAGTTGGGGGTTGTTGTTATACCTGGTGCTTCCAGCCAACCAGCTGTTGCGCAACTGTACGGCTCCGATAAGACTCCGACTCTTTTAGTCAGAATTTTCGGTTTCTGTCCTGACAGAGACTGATCGTATCACCTTCAGCGATGCAGGGGATGTGGCCGATCAGTCTCAACAAACTAGTTTGAAAAGATTGGCAACGTGTGGTGTCGCCTTGCGTTTCACAATAGTGGCACTTCAGCTCATTGCACAGGTGTTGCGTGGACCAACGCCCCTTCAACAGGATACTGGACCGTTTTGCCTCATCTTAAAACCGCCGTTCATATGGAACTTAGTTTGAAAAATATATATATTTATTCATTTCTTTGTCTTTTGTTAGTTTATTTTGACACTTTTGCGGAAATCAACTGATTTTAGTAAACATTTGTTGTTTTTATTGCACTTCCACTCAGTTTATGCCCGTCGGGATATCTCGTTTTGTAATATTGCAGAGTAAGTTGTCTGTATTTCCCAATTTTGGGCTCTTGGTTTGACGAAATAAGGTGCTAATTGTATTTCCTTCTTTGTATTATATAGACTGCTCATGAGAGCAGTTAATTGATAGAGGTCAGAAAATTTGGTATTTGAATTTGGTTTGTGCAAATACTGTATTTCATTTTGAAGCAAAGGTAACTCAAACAGCTTCCTGAAATGTTGTCAGTCAATTTAAGGCTTCTTCCAGTCACATGATTCTGTCATGGAAATCATGGTATTGTCTTAGGAACACTACCAGAATATCTGTGGGCACATTTAATCGTTGCATCCACAAATGCAGGTTAAAAATAATGTAAAGGAGTGGCCAGAAACACTGATGCTGTTTATGTGTTCCTAAATGGTCCTGAGCACAAATAACATGAACTTAAATGGAAAACTGTTTTAATTCAAAAGGCTTTTTCAGAGAATGCTTTGGATATTTCACTCTCTAAGGCAATGCTAAACCACACACTGAATCTATTACTCCATAAGTCCAGGCCAGGTGGTGGACTGACCCTTCTACAGTCCAGACCTTTAACTGAAACAAGTTAAGCACAAAATATAACTCTGTTGAATAGCTCAAGTAAGAAATGGACAACACGCTTCCCTTAATGGTCCAATGACTGGTCTCTTAAGTGTACACATGTTCACAGATTATTGATGAAAAAAGAGGAGAAGACATACATACTATTATAATTACTATATAGTTATAACTTGAATAATTATTACATTACTATTAAAGATAAAATTTTCGTCTTTAATTTTCTTGCTAGAACGTAAAACATCTCACTTTTATTGTTTGATATTAGATTTCTTTTGGTAAATAAAATCTTGTTTAACTAGATCATACAGATCACCGTTCTGTTTTAATTGAATTTGTTAATAGAGACATCAAGACTGAACTTTCACTTACACATGATATTTTCCACTTCATGTGTACATTTTTAGGGGAGAGACAGGTATGAGTGTATATTAACAAGAGATAGTGTGATTACTGAGTTATCTGTTTCGGCCTCCTGCAAACTCTGTGAGCTTTGTGTTTCAGGGCAGGAAAGTGGAAGCTCAGGAAGGAAGGAGAGAGGAAAATGAGGCAGGATATTGAAAGGCTGTTAGTTTTTCTGGTGTTAATGATGGAGCCAGACCTTGGCCGTCTATCCTTGTACTGTTCTGTGTTCAAGGGAAAATGTGGAACCGTAGTCAGTCTCTCTCTCTGCTGTTTTGTACTGTGGCCTCTAATCGCCTCTTTCCTCTCTTTTTTTAGCAAGAGGAGGAGTATCAGTGTATACTTCAGCCAGTTCAAGGTAAAAGGTTAACCAAGCATCCTCTGTGTTTCTCACTTGTCTTTCGCCGCTCTCTCTTCTTTTTCCTGTGTTGCCCTTGACGGCCTTTTTCTAATACAAAATGTGTTTCTGTAGTGGTTTGGTGGACGGAGAGATATGGACTCACTGAAGAAGGAGCTGGAGGAGGAACTGAAGTTGAGCACTGAAGACCCGAGGAGCCACGCGTGGTACCATGGACCATTAACTCGGGAGGTGCATATTAGACCATACTATTTCACACTTTGTTTACACTTAATGGGATATTATCAGTGCATACAAATCAACAGGAAAAAAACTGTTATTTTGGAAAAGAGCTTTGCTGTTGTCTTGTTCATAGACACTTAAATATTTCCAGTATATTAGAGGCTACGATCTGGCTTTGTTCAAAAGAGCAGCTGTTGGTGCTTACAGCCTCCCCCAAAAACCCACAATAAATAAAAATAAAGCAAAACATATGAACATATTACTGTGAGATGCACTGCTGCTGTAATTCTTTACTGGTGACTAGTTATCAATCGACACTGATGTAAAACAGTAGTGGATAATATGAATTAACTGTGAGGCAATGTTTTGCTACATTGCTTCCTGTTACTATTTGGTGCATTCACACTAAGCTGGAGGATTTCCGACTGTTATAGCAACTTGGGAGCGTCCCAAAGGACAGCATGTTTTTTGTTTGCTTTATTTCTTGGTTACATTTACACTGCAGGAGGCCACCCTGAAATGACGCAGCAGCCAGGTTTCAGTCTGCACACAATATGTCTATTGCAACATTAAAAACTCTTGTGGGTATGGCCAACACTTTAAAAGTGTTTACAAGAATTTCTGTTCATGCACAACAGGACTTATATGGGCATATTTTGTTTTATTGCTTAAAAACAATATTTTAAGAGATTTGGTTTTCCAGTTGTATTTAGTACCTGTTTAATGTGATCAACCTTTTCTGTTCCCAGGCTGCAGAGTCTCTCCTTGAAAGGGATGGGGACTTCCTCGTCCGAGACTCAAGCTCTGCTCCGGGTGACTTTGTTTTGAGCTGCTTATGGAAGAACGGCCCCTTGCACTTTAAGATCATACGAGTGGTCCTTCGGCCCAAAAAAGTGAGTTTATTGGTCCATGTAAAGTAAATTGGATCTTACTCATAAATTATTTAGCAAAGACAGAAAGTTTTTTTATTTGTTTCTGTGGTGCTGTTGATATGATATAGCTTTTGTTTTGTTTCATTGTTGTCACAATGAAAACTGGTGATTGATACTATCTAACAATGTCCATTTAAGATAAGGTAAGGGTAATTTTTCCCACATAGATCTGTGAGAAGAGAAATAAGTTTCTTTTGTCAACTCACAATATGACTATTGTGTAAGATATATTCAGGTGCAAGATCTTGGACTTTTCAGAGTTTCATTTTAAATAAACGGTTGTGACTATGGTGCAGTTAGATAAACACAATGATCATAGACTGCAAGCTACCATAGCCTATTGTCTGGCCTCCTTTTTTGTTTTTAAGGCCCTGCTTGATATATTGTGTTTACCTCCATCTGTGCGACAGGGCTACTCTCGGGAGCTGTTCCAGTTTGAGGAGGATCGCTTTGACAATGTTCCCGCTCTGATCCGATTTTATGTGGGCGGGCGTCGACCCATTTCCCAGGCTTCAGGTGCCATAATCTTCCACCCAATCACCAGAACCCTTCCTTTGCGTGTCATCACTGAGCGACAAGAAGAGCTCCAAAACAGCAGTCGAGGTGCAGGTGGGGGGAAACAGAAAGAGCCCGGCAAAAGACGCAGCCTCAGCACGGCCCACGACACGCTGCAGGTCATCAATCCACTGCTGAGGTTGGAGGAAGTTTGGTTTACAGCCCTGATTCCCTGAGCCCAGCCCTGAGAATTGGAATGCATTGTGAAATATAATTAGAAAATGGACTGCAAATTATTTGTAGATCTGAAAAATCAATACTTGTTTTGTTTTGTGTTTGGCAGGAGTGGCAGCCAGCCTGCTAACTTGGAGAATGTTGGTCGGAGGCCTTCCCTCCAGTCCGCACAGTCTGACAGTAACATACAAACTGGTGTGTATCAACATGTGTCCTGTATACAGTATCATGTTGTTTTTTCCATTTCTGTGAAGCCAGGTCTAAAGTTGTTATGCACAAAATTATTGTTGTTTTCTGGTTGTAAAAGCAAGATTCCCAGCCTTTGAAAGATGGACTATGTTTGTGAACTATAGCAGTGTAGAGGATTTCATTTAGAGGCAAGAGATTTATTTTCTGAGTGAGTGAGTGAGTGAAAGAATTCATTGGGGAGGTAATCCCAGCTCTTTTCTTTGGCTCTACTACTGATCCCTAACGTTGTTGAAGAGATAAAGCCCCCCATTTAGAGTTTGGTCAAGCAGTAAGCTCATATATCCATCCAAATGCATCCACAACCCAGGTTAGCCCAGATCAACATGGCAATTTCTTAATCTAATGAAATTAAATTATACCTTATTCTTGGAAGAAGAAGTTATTTGATTGAAGGTTGAAAGTTTATTGTGCTTTATTACTCTGAAAGGACCTCTTTTGAGAAAGTGTGTGACTTATGGGAATTCAGGGACTTTCTGATTTATCCAAAGGGAATTTATACATTGGTATTTACTAATTTATTTGTTTCAAAAACACAATAATTGCAGCATAAATATGGAATTAAAATGGATTTAAGCTCAATTAAGCGCAGAAACAAAAATAAATTTAGTTGCCAATCGTTAAAAAAATTAGTCCTTCTTTTAAACAGTAACATATCAGTTTGCTAATATTGATATGATATTTCTATGTTTAACCACCTGGAACATTGTATAAGGAGTGACCTATCTGTTCCTGTTTCTCATCTAGGCCTTCCACAGAACACTCAGTTGGAGGACACTTGTCCTGCCCCCATTTCCCCCGTGTTTCGAACAGGCAGCGAACCCCTGCTGAGCCCGGGACCACGTCACACGCGTCCTTCCCATCCAGGTCATTGCAAACGTGAACGTGTGTCTAGTTTTCCTTTACTTCTGAGAATATAGACTCACCCATCTGAATTGTACCCTGTGTGTGTGTGTGTGCAGGTGGTGGTGTAACTTTGAGAGGTTCCGATGGGCAGCTGCACCCTAGAGCTCCTCCCAAACCTCTCAGGGTCTCTGCTGTTTTCTCCAACATTGTACCTCCACCACCCACAGACCGGGACGTGGACCCCTCTTCTTTTTACGATGAGCTGGTTGTGCAGGTGAGGTGGACTTCTTTGCTTTATCTGTCACTTTGCTATATGCGGAGCAAATTACATAAGGACTCTCCCTGCTGCCAGAAAAAAGACTCCACTCATGGTTTGGGGGGTTAGTATAGTGGTGAGTGTCCCCGCCTGTCACACGACAGGCACATGTATACATTCTACTTTATATTCTACTTTATATGTTGCTTTGGATACAAGCGTCTGCTAAATGCATAAACAGAAACAGAAACGGTTTGAATATTTGTTTCCAGGTGCCACAGTCGAAGTGCAGGGGCCACGTGGAGCGACTGCGTGCAGAGGAGAAGTGGCAGAGCCGTGCACGCCTCACAGAAACTTCCTTTGGGTTATTGGAGGCCCAGAGGAATGAAGCATCTTCCCAGCTGCCGTTTGACAAAGAGCACCAGCGGAAGGCAGCAGAGGAAGTGAAGGACTGGCATTTTGAACGACCACAGGTTTGTATGAATAACATTTGCCTTACAGTTGGCTGTATCTCGTATGAGTAGATATAGATGATGTCAATAACTTTGATTTCCTTTCGATGGAGAAGTACATTTTTTTGCACATGTAGTATCTGATAAGCTTCATAAGTAGGATAGGGTTTTTTCCATTTGACATTCTTGAGGTTTGAACTCTTTAACATTCAGCCTCTATCTTTAGCACTGTGGTTTGTTCACTGGTATTGTTTGAATATAACAGATGGTGCATCTGTAGTAAAGCTCTGCATCCTGAAAGATTTCCCCCATAATCAAGACCCATAGCCTCCTCTAAGTTTCCATCTAGCCCTCTAAAAAAAAAAAGTAATTTATGACTCAAAAGCAAGAGAGGGCTACGGCGTAGAGATAAGAGAGAGAGCTTTTTCCAGGGTTGGATTTGTGTTATTGCCGGTTGTGTTGAGAGTATTTCACTAGTAAAAGAAAACATTCAATTACAGACTAACATACTGTGGAGGCACATATCCCTCTACAAGTAAAAACAATGGAATAAGGTTACTGCCACAGGGTGAGGAACTTAACATTCCTAAAAATGAGCTAAGTACCACCAAAGCAGGTACATGAGGAAGCCCCTAGCTGTCGCAGTCAAAATGTGCATGAATCACATATCAAGGATCGTACAGTACTGGAAGTCTGTTGTAGAGTAAATTGGATGAAAATAAACCTAAACAAGAATTAAGAACTATCAAACATTTGCGTCATGTCTCCTGGAACCTGGCTAGTACTATGTGTCGAAGCATTTTCGTGTAGTGAATTACAGAGGGCGCAGTTTACTCAAACACTTTTGCCTCCATCACAGGTTGAGACAGAATCAAGTTTTCAGCTGGACCAATTTGAGTCAGAAATCTTGCCGAAGAACAATCGACCTCTGGAGCCCAGTGTTCTGCTCGTGCTCAAAGAGCTCTTCAACCGCTCTGACGCCCACACCACTGCGCTGCACATGCTCAGTGTTGACTGTCAGGTAGTCACAACCCCTGCTCTAATGCTCTATTAGTTGATCAATTCAACTTATTGTCGCCTTGCTTGTTCCATTTAACATTCTTGATAACAGAGAGGAGCTTAATTGCAAGAAATTCAATGATTTGCATTTAAAACCTGACAGGCTTTTTATTTTTGATTGCTGTATTGCAGGTAGCACGCATCACTGGGGTGACCGATGAGCAGAAGAGGATTATGGGAGTCGATTCAGGGTTGGAGCTCATCACTTTGCCGCATGGAAACCAGTTACGACAGGATTTGCTGGAGAGGTACCCGTGTAAAGATGAAAATAACCTAATAAGATAAACAGGCACTTTTTTCTGACAACAAACATACCTTGGGGCATATTCCCTGATGTGCATACCAACGAGCACAGTATCTTTCATTTAACTTGCAAATAAAGTGTGTTTTTGTTGTTCAATCTATGGATAAAAAGTATCCAGTATAAAACTATTGTTTGTCTTTGTGTAACTAGTTTTTTGTCCTCTTGTGCACCTTTTGTAGGCATCATCTTCTATCACTGGGAGTGGCGGTAGACATCCTGGGCTGCACAGGGACTGTTAGCCAGAGGGCAACTGTTTTACACAAAGTAATCCTGTTGGCTCATTCTCTGAAAGAACACGTTCACAACCTCTACTCCTTCTCAGCTGTGATGAAGGCTCTGGAGATGTCTCAGGTGGCGTACTTGTGTCACAGGTTGGCAGATGTTGACGTTTTTTTATACTTATTCCATATTTTGGCTCGCATGTCTTCAGATAATGCGCCTGGAAATGACGTGGCGGGCCCTGAGGAGGAACCATACTGAGAGTGCAGTTTTATATGAGAAGAAACTCAAGCCTTTCATGAGTTCGCTGAATGAGGGAGATGGTGAGTGGTTAAGAGACGGTAACATTGTGTTTATTAGGCAGATGAAGGTAAAGATTCACAGACGAGGAATCTGACATCTCAGATCTGATCTGTTTGTGACGGATGCCACTAAAATCCAAATAATCATTGAGTGCATTAAAGATGTGAAAAAAGGGTCAGGAAATAATGCATATGATTTTATATCAGTTTCCCCCAACCGTACAGGTTTGCTGTCCCTAGAATTAATCATTTTGTAAAAAAAAAACGTTCTAAAACCAATGAAAGAAAGTAATGTCTGCCTCTATGTTTGGTCAGTTTGGTCAGTCAGATGGATGAAAGATATTGGTGAAACTGTGTATTTTTATTATTCAATACAATTTTGAAAAATATTGATTTTTCTACAAATGCCACTGATTTTTTTATACTGGATGAAATATACATCTGTGCATCTCGCTTATGCCTCCCCCAACAATCCTCCTCCTCTTTCCTCCACGGTTTGATAATGGCTATTCTTCAAAATCCTGACATTTAACAATTTTGTCTGCAATCTGACCTGATTTCCAGGCCACAGATAGGAAAATGGAGGGCGGAGGCAAGGTGTCACAAATAAGACAAATGAGATGATCCCAATAAGCAGCTTTGTATATCTACACAGTACTGCCCCCTTCTGCACTGGACAGTTATATCTTCCTACTCAGGAGGAACAATATGTCCTTATTGGCGTACCTCTATTTGGCCAAAACAAGGACAAAGAGACACAGCTGGGGTCTCCGTAATTGATTGGTGTGGTCTTAAAACAATATGGGCAAACGCCCAACTTACGAAAGACTATTGAAATCAGGTGTAAAACATGCAGCACCATCACACATACGCATGAAGCCACCATATTACATTGGATCTGAACTGAAGTATTTTTCTTCTGTAGATTCCGTTGTAGAAGGTCCCACAGCTGTGCCACATCTGGTTCCTCTTCTTATGCTGATGGAGGGTGAGGACCCTGTGGAAAACAGCGAGCGAGGCTGTCAGCTGCTGTACGATGTCCTCCAGTCAGCTCGCAGCGTTGCCCTACACGCCCACGATTATCAACAGCATGCACAGTCTCTGCTCACAGGTGAAGGCACAAGCACATTTTGATATTTCAATATAAATGGAAATTAAAGTAATGATAGAATATTAACAAGTGTTACACAAAGTTGGTCATATCAACAGACTCCTTCCATATGCTAGAAATGAATCTGTTAATAGGATTTGTCCGTTGATAGTAAGAGGGAATGTTGGCTGTGGATAAAATTTACATGTGTTAAATCACTCCAAAGTGATATATGTTCTCAGACGGATCTGAAAATGAATCATGTGTTGAATCACTTCTGATCAGAGGTCTGTCTCATGTTGGCAGGACACTGGGAGCCCGTCCCCAAGCTTCTGGAGGCTTTCCGGACAGAGTTTGCCCTCCGGCTTTTCTGGGGTCAGCTAGGGGCAGCCGCGGACAGAAAGGAGCGTTATGAGAAGTTTGACAAGATACTTTGTGTTCTCTCAGATAAACTGGAACCTGTGGAGATCACCCAACAACAACAACCAGATCCTTTAACTTAAGACTGTTTAAAAAGCCAAAAGGAGGGACAATTGTTTAAACCAGCCTATTTATGACAAAGAGGTCTCAGCTGTGAGGAAAAGGGATGTTTCTCAAACTTGCTGGGATGTGCAAGACTACATGTTGAGCTGGTCAAGAAACACCAACACTTGTAAAAATAACTTTAAACCGGGAAGCTGTGAAAAAGATTTCCTTTTTCAGGAAATGCATATTTTTTTACCCAAAATAGACTTTTTTTAAATCAAATATAAATTTGTGATTTTCAGCCAGTGTTTGATCAATCCACACTACTTGTTTGATACTTGAAAAAATGAGCAGAACAAGCATGATTCCAAATGAGCATATGGTCCTTTCGTCGTGTGAATGCTATTGCAAGGAACCCCATGGAACTTTTATTACAGTGTTTGCAATCCATTAAAAGAGGGGGAATAAAAATGTGTGTACTTTGTAAATGGATTTGTATGCTCACACGGTGAACCAAGACAAGATAGGTCTTTTTCATTTTGTCTGTGGTACGTTTAAACAAATCATTTAATTCCAAAGTGGAAAATCTTTTAAATGTTAAAATGGTGTGAGTGGCAGAAAATCGGATTATTAAACCAAATTTGGTTCTGTGAGAAATTTCAGACATTTCGTATTTGTAATTTTTAAATCTGAGTCAGGAAATGTATCGCAGAAACCTAATTTCCTAGTTCCTGGCTTTAAATTCTTCCTGGGGAAAATGTATTCATCTGACATTAAGCTCAACAGACCATCCGGATTTGAGATGATTTTAGAATGGCTAAAGTTTATTTATTATAACCATCTATACATAGCCTCTCCAGAGCTAAAAGAGAAAGTATAGACGCTCAAAATATGAAAAAAGAAGGTTAACCGAGTATCTCTTACAAGTCTTTTGAATTCTTTATTTTACTTTAGTTTTAGATAAATAACTTTGGCTTTAATGATGCTGAGAGTTCCCATGGAAAACATTTTAAAGGTTTCAACAAACAAATGTCAAATGGAAAGAAATCTTACCTGAGTCTTGTGTTTGGGTTTCTGGTCCTATCAATACAACAATACAATGACAGGATTTCTCAAACAGAATTGGAGCAACATTAAGAGGACCCAGTTGACCGTTAGAACTAAAACTGCTCAAACTTAGAGCTCAGGCACATATTCGCGAAGGTTTAGACCGTCTACAGTCCAAATCTAAAATCTGATAAAGAAATGCAATGTCACAACATTCCAAACAGCACATAGTTAATTACAAGAGTTAAGTGATAAAAACTTTATTTTCATTAAACTTTGATTTTTACTGTTGCTGCACTGTTTTATTTGTTTTTTTCACATTCTGCCTAAAATGTACAAAAAATAATTATTTAAAGGTAATTTCCCTTTGTGGTAGCACAGCGAAAAAATCTGTCAAATGAGGTCAAAGCACGTGTTCACATTGTTTCCAGTTTGTCTTCACAGTACTACCATGAATATTACAAACAGGCTGTCCATGTAGTATGTTTCTATCTCTTCATGTTCTGAAGAGTTCCACTATCAGAGTACATCAGAAAGATGTGATGGCAGGCAGAACAATATGTACCCAGAAGTAAATTAAAGCAAATAGGTGACTCTTGCAGTATGACCTATTCTTCAAGACTTGGATACCTTCCAAAAGTGCAGCACTTTAAATTTATTCTATTTTGATATACAAGACCGTATTTCTATCTTGAGCTAGAGAACAGTGACACCCACACAGACAGGAATTTGTGTCCAAATATGATTCCAATTTATCGTATCAATAACTTTTTGGGAAATATACAATGACAGAATCATTTAATGTTCAATATGAAGAGGCAAAACACAACAACATATGTGCATAAACTTAATAAGGACTGAATGTTTTAAGACAAACATTAAAAAAAAAAGTGGACCCAGTCTTAACCTTCCCTGTTGAGTGGCACAATTTGTGCACTCTCTACAGTGGTTTTCATCCAGTTAAAAGACATACTTACTATAGTAAAAATCTCACATTATTCTGTCACTAAAGTGGTATGAGAAGAAAATCTGAGTTTAAAACATATTCAGCAGGTTATTAGAATTGATTGCTGGAGATCAAACTGGCAGATTTAAACATAGAGATGCTAACGCAGCATTGCAAGAGTACTCACATTATAACTGTGACACAAGTTCAGGTATACATTCAAAAGTTGTTGTTTTTTTACACTCTAAAAGAGCCTAAATGCTTAAAAGGTCAAACTAGGCTGAAAATTTGCATTTGACTGCAAGTGACTTCTTCCAGAGATAGCAGACATGGGGAGTGTGTGATACTGAAATCAGCCTGGATAATCACTCATATTCGTCTCAGCACACACGTCACTGGCTGAGACAGAAGATGTAGAGTTCCCTCAATTATCTTGAATGGCTTTTGTATTCATCTCCAGCTCTTTAACATAATGAGCCATGTGAGGGAGGTTAGGTTAGGTTTTGACATAGGATGAAGGTATATAGCCCTCCTCTCCACTGGCTCTGAGGACTCTCATCCATCCATCTCCTTTATCCTCTTCCATAACACTCAACAGCTCCCCCTCCGTAATGGAAATAGTGCCCTCGCTGTTGCCTGCATACAAACACACCGAAGTGAGACATACATGAAAGGCTAAAAGATTACTCATTTATGAACTAGTTCATAGTGAACCGTGAATATACCTTGAAAGGTGTACAGAGCAGTGCACTGGCCAATAGGGGTTTCAATATCCTCAAACTCGTCATCAAACTCTACGTACACATTCGGATCCTGGTCTGCTGTCGAACCACTGAAAAAACACAAAGCCCAAAAAAAGAAAAAAGTGAAAACTTCTGTTTCCTTTCTATTAAAATAAACGTTTAAAGTAACTGACTTAATAACCATCATATTTAAGGTGTGATCATCAAGATGTCACTGCCTGTTAAGCTTAAAAAATAATCCATATTATCACACAGCGTTTGAACTCCGTCCACAGCCTCCGATGACACATCATTTTTAAAAAATTGGGCAAATGATTTAAACACTATATGTGAAACCAACTTCAGCTTTGACACACTGATTATACCAGAGTGCTCCTGGCGTCTACATTAAAGTTATAAAGTTACTTCATAATCTGTGGGCCAAATTTGAACACATGTCCAGATGGTTTTCAGGGGCTGAATCAATAAACCTACGTAAATACTTCCAGACAAGATTTTTAAGCAGTGACATAAAAAGTAAGACCGTCCAGCTCACAGCCAGTGTCATCTGTTTATGACAGACAGCAGAGGTCAGCCAGCAGCAAACATACAAACAGTCAGTGATAACAAAGCTCAAGAATCCCTGGGGGTGAGAGAGAAAGCGTCCACCAGAGCAACAAGAAAAGGGTCCAGTTGCATTCTGTTTAAGCTTTAAGGAATGCTGGAAGATAAGCTCCTGGTTTTAGCCACACATGTTGGTCATCCTGACTTCACAGGTCATCAAGAATCTTCCTCTCCTTACCCCTCTGCTAAAATAACCAGTTTTTACACTCACTGCACAGAGAATGTAAAAATAACGTATTTTCTTTCAAAGCTGGCATTACCTATATTGAAAGTTGTTGTTGATGGAGTTTGAGGAGTCCTCTCCTCCCACTGCCTCTGAAAGCCACGTCTGTGATGATCATAAAGGGTAAGCGTTTTGAATAATAACCAACTACTTAACAGAATTAGATTACATGTACACAAAGCATGTGAAGCGACCTCATATTTGGTAAGCTCCCCCCTCAGGCGGCCGATGTTTTGTGTCGTTTCTGAGATCTGAGGCTCCAAACTCGAAGGGTCCCCCATCTGTGGATTCTGCTCGTACACACCCTTCATCTTCTCAAGCGCTTCGCTGAGGTCAAGCAGGAGGAGAAAAACCGTCATTGTTTGGGAAATGTGTGCGCTGATAAAGGAAGTTTGTTTTTGTGCAGGACCATGATAAGGATGGGAAGTATTTACAGGCTGAGAAGACATGTTGAATAAATGTGATTGGCGTGTATGTGGTCAGAAACTCATGTTAAACAGAAAGAACTGGCTTTGTGACTGAGGCCTTGTCAGTTCTGTTAACACCAAACTGCTGGGAGACAAAGGCCCTTCCTTTTTTTTTACACTAACTATTGTTTAAAATAGGAACATTTTCTTTACACAATGCAATTCCGTTAACCTGACTTTCAAGGAAATCAGTTTTAACAAACTGATAACTGTCACATTGCCGTTTCTATTTCAGCAAATTGATTGTTTAAAATCAAGACTCATGTCAAGAGTATTTTTCCAGAGGAGTGTGTGATCATGTTCACCTTTGGTCTTGCTCCTTCTGCAGCTCTTTAGAGATATCATCGATCTTGCCCTGCAGCCTCTTTTTCCTCTGTTCGGGGGGAAGGTGAGAAAAGTCTTCGGCAGCAGGTGGCTGGACAAGCAAGGCCACAGATCAAACCCAGTGAAAAAACAAGCATCAATGCTCACCACCAAATGCCACTCCTCCCCGTTTCTCTCCCCTGTGCTAATGAGCTGTTGGCACAGACTGACAAGTCAATGCTGCACATTCAGCTTATTAGCCAAAGTGAAAAATTCAAATCCAGAGATGATCATCACAGACAGTGAAACATAAAAAAAGCCCATGAAACCATGACTGAAATCATCTGAGAGAAAATAGTGATTGAATTTCAGCTGTTCTATGGTTTGATTTAATGCATACTGAATAAAAATCCCCGTCAGAACCAACAGTGGAGAATTTATTTACACGTGATGCCATACAGATATACCTGTGAGTCTAATGGACCGAGGAAAGAGGAATACATTATTTGGCAACACTGTGGATAATATGTGCATCTGAATTTGTTTTCAACACCATATTCTTATCACCACTTAGTGTATCTTGTATGCCACCACAGAGTAAATGCTTTGTTTATCTTTAGTTGAGAGGACAAGTTATATAATCAATGAACATAAAATAAAGTATCCTTTGCAAAAAGTTTGATTTTTTGATTGGATTAATAATCAAATAGTAACTCCACCCATATGCAACCACTTGTAATGCCCAGTTTGTGGTCCCATCGTCAAATTGGCACTATACTTAAGATGACAAAATAACAACCCTGTTTTTGTTGTTTGTTTTAACTATGATATTTAAAAAAAAAAGATTAAAGTAGGCATTTTTACCTCCACTCTTTATAATCAGTAGCCACTGGCCTTTTGATGAAGAGCCTTTCTGGGACTTGATGGCTTCATGTTTCAAAAAAGAGGTTTTAGTTTGACGTCATTTCAATTCTTTTAACAGCTGCTTTTAGTGCTATTGTGCAGTGCATATGTTGTGGAGTTGCTCTTTTAAGTTATATTGTAAGATACAAGAAACCAACACCGAACCCTGTTATCCGATCACCTTTTGCATATAATGATAATAAATGTTACCATGTGCTTTTCAGCATGTAATATCTAGACAGAAAGAAAGGATGACTGACTGTTAGACAAAAATACAATAAACAACTTACTATAAAAGTGTGTGTGTGTGTGTGTGTGTGTGTGTGTGTGTGTGTGTGTGACCAGCATCAGTGGGCCATTTACAAAACAAGGATGTGAACACGACAAGGCACAGGTAAGAGAGCTCAGAGGTCAAGTTGGCAACAGAGTAGCACTACTCACCAAGCAAGTCTTAAGTATTAGGGTAGAAATCCTGGGTTTGACAGTTTGATTAAACTCCCTCAGACAGAGAGACAGGGGGGAGCGCTGCAGCTTGGAGAAAGAAAGAGAAAGAGGAAGACTGCCGGGTGGGAAAGGGGAAGGGGGAGAAAAAGATGGAGTGGTAAACTGAATAGGGGAGGAAAAAGATAAGGTGGAGGAACCAGTCACCGTAGGAGAGGAGGAAAATGCCATTGGAGATGAGAGGAAAAAAGAAGAAGAGTGAGTAAAACTGATGCTTAGACTTTTGTAGTAATGGGCATAAAGAGTTTGAGAGAGAAAAAGGTGTTTTGGGGCATGTCTGTGCAGCAGACTGGAATTGGAGTTGGCCCCTGAGGGAAACAGAGTGGTGGGTAAGATATGAGTGGAATGCCTGTTGAGAATTGTGTGTGCGAGCATGTATTTGTTATAAAGCTTTGATAAGACACAGTGTGAGTGACATTTTGCACGTCTTAAGAGTCCCAAAGGCATGAGATAAGAGGCAGAGCCCTGCTCCTCAAATGAATTTAAATACAGATGATTTGACATGAGAATTTCAAGCTCCTTTAATTCTTCAAATTAATCTAAACCAGTTGTCAGGGCAACGCCTTCTAAAATCAACAAAAATCCAAGTTGTTCTACAGCTTCTAGCATTATGAATCTTTCAACTCTTCTAAGAAATTTCGGAAGTCTTGATTCATGGTAAGCTGTTAATCTGACGATTGATGCATCCTCGTCAATGTCCTATTTTTTAAAATATACATTTTGGTGGTGTCCTCAACAACTGAGGCCCCCTTCAATCAGCTGCTTTTTCCATTCTATGGATGTTATCTTTTCGTTTCTATACCAAAATAACAGCATGAGGCATTCCGAAAAGAAAAATAGATCAATCGGGGTGAGCTGCTTAAAAAAAAAAGTCGTGAATTTGAAATAACATGATAATTTTAGCCTGGCAACATCATGCTCACACACATCACTTCCCAATTGCGGAGCAGGGACACAGGGGGTTTTCACTTTGCTTTATGAGGGAGAGGCAGGAGGGGTGGGCTGTGTGTGCATGTGTCAAAAATGTCACTCAACAACAAAGAGATGGAAATGTAGAGTTCACCTTGTGTTTCTTGAAAGGCCAGAGCTTTGCGCGCACTTTTGGTGGATGGAGGCTGGAGTCTGAGTTTGCTGGTTTGATGCCCTGGGAATAGTCTTCAAACTCAACATCTCCTGGTCGTTCAAACCCAGACTTGTATTGCTCTATGAAAATCATCGAGTCCTACAGTGAAAGAACGTTTATTAAGGAGTTATCAAGGAAGTTTAACAGAGCCACATTGACTCCACAAAACAACAGATCTTTGCGCTGTAATAAAATACATTAAAAACACAGCACATTTCTGAAAATGGAGATGATAAAAGTAGAGAAAGGGAATGATGAATGAAGGGTATTCAGAGAAACTTAGAAACATAAACAACATATATCATACTTGAATGGATTACTGACCTTACATTAGTTTAATTCATTATGTGCACTTCCTATTAGAAAATACGGAGGATGCATGACCCTAAACGTTAATCCCCTGAATCTCATGAGTAGTTTTGTCATGGCTGGAGCACAAATCTGCTGATTCAAAAATCAGAAACGGCTCAAATGTGGATCCAGGGCAGAATAATTTTCTTTGGATCTTTGATTTTATTCAAATATTTGCTGGATATGTTTAGATGTTGGAAAAATGTACTGCAAATTTTTTTGCCAACAGCTTCATATGTTTTCGTACTAAAAGATTGTAAGTGCAACTGTTGTTTACTTGCCATCAAGTTGATTTTCTTTGCACACTTGCCTGTTTCTCATCAATTTTGGATCCTGCTGCAGTGATTCCTTCGAGACACTTTGAGATGATGGGCAACACGTTCTTCTCGATATCAGAAAACTGGCGGTAGCCCTCAGCCAGACGCCGGATCCTCCGCTCATCCATGTCCTGCAGTTTCTGGTTAGCACACATTTAGCATCTTTTATTAGATTAAATGTTACAGTTATATTATCCGTCTTTTTAATGCACACTCACATACAGATGCATAGAAACAACACAAGGGGCTGTTTTTTTAGAAAGAGTTTGTATCATTACTGATTGTAAAGTAAATCTGCCTCACATTGAAAAGCTGAGGTATCTCTGAGTAGTAGAAGGAGCTCTGTTCCTTGTTGTATCTCTGAAGTTGTGCTGCATATTCACTTCTGCACTCCTCTGCTGTGTGTGTGCGTCCATGGGCATGCTGCTTGGCCTTTAGAGCAAAGAACAGAAAGAATGACAGTATGCAGAAAAAGTAATTGATACAAGGAGGTAGAAGGAGAGTAGCAAAGGAAGGTCAAATATTTTCTGCTGGGAAAATATCCCAGGAACCATAAATCAAAGAAAAGAAAACGTGTTCAGGAATTACTTTCTCGACGTCCAGTTTGGTGGCATTGAGTTCATGTTCTATTTTTTCTGCTTGTTGTGTGGCTTTGTCAGCTTCCGCCCACTCCTTTGCAAAGCGCTTTTTTGTCTGCAGGCATGAACATAAATAAACTTTATTAGATCTTCGCACACTAGTATCACCAGTGGAAGTCTCGGGGTATCACATCCCACCACTGCCGGAGATGGCGCATTAAATAATTCAATCCTAACCGAAGAAAAATCATGTTACTCACACTCTCTAGCTGTTTGAAGCTACTATCTAAATTCTGCTGGGCCTTCTTGGCATCAGACAGGTGCTGGAGAGAGAGGGAGTTGCATTTAAAGATGAGGACAGAGCAAATCCCTGCAAATTACAACTATCATACTTCTCTGTTGACCATCCGCTCACCGTTTTGCGCTCCTGTTTGAGGTCCTGAAGGTATTTGGTGAGTTCCACAGAGATACCGGTCATCATGTTTTCTGCAATGAGCTCCCGTTGCCCTGCATAATCATTCAGCTCATTCAGGATCTCTTGGAAAGATGCATAGTTACTATATCTGCGACAAAAGGGAGGGGGAAAAGAGACAACAATTAGCAAGGATATACAGTGTGATAAAAGACTTATACTAGCACCCCCTCTGCTCTATAAGTGTAAATGTACAAAACTGTATAGAGGAAGAGAGAAAAAAAACTATACGTAGAGAGAATAATGGTGCTCTTTATGGCAAAAAAGTGCACAACGAGGACATTAACGCTGAGGGGAAAACACATCCGTTCTAATGCATGCTTACCTAACCCATTGGAAAATTAGCCACTGATTCGTATTACCTCCAGAGCAGCCGCTCTGTATCTAGCCACAGTTAGATGAGGTCAAACAGGTATTTTCTACTGCATAAAGCCTAAAGATTAGGCTAATTAACCTCATAATGTCAGCTCTTATGGATAAACATAATGAGCAACACAAGAGACAGCAGGGAAGGCCAGACAAATCCTTGTGTCACGAGCATCCCCGAACAGACTGAGCTGCGGGCTTTTTTGGATGCCGCACAACATATTAAGTATTGATTATTCTCTATAGGCTACTTGGGTAGGACTGGCTTCTTGAATTACGCTGCACTTGTCCAAAGCTTAATTGTTTTCACACCAGCCGTCCAGAATTTCATCACATCTCTCACAAGATTTATTATTCAAAATCAATTTATTATTTATGACTTTGTAGACATTACGAGATGCCTGCAATCACTGGGGGTATTTACCAAAACCAGTCCTGCTATTCTTGCTCTACTTTCGTCTTACCCCTCACAGCAACACCTTGGGCAGAAAAAGGTGGGTAAATCATTTTCCTTGTTTAGAAAAATTGAAATAAATTATGTAAAGAAAGAAAGAAAGAGCAATGGGGGTCAATGGTGAAGTGAGATGAATCCCTATTACACGAGGGGAAAATGTATCTGTTTTGAAAATCAGGTCATCAAACAACCTTTAACCTATACTAAGCAGAATTGACATACATGTACTATTTGCGGTATTATACAACATAAGGTCAGGGTTGCACAAAAAGCCACAGTCATTGGTGAGCACTTCAAAAATGTATCTAAACATGGGGGTTTTATTCAAACTAAAAAGGTTCTGTCCAAAAACAAACCACTGTGATGCTATGGGACCAACAATTCCTCACTTGCAGTCCTGTTCATCTTTATTTCCTCGTTTGGTGTACTTCTTTGTCAGACTCCTGTTGGACAGAGCGAAAACAGAAGTGTGAGCCCACATAAAATTACCAAGGCATTTCACTTGTGTTGCGTACTTGAAAAATCCAAAGAAATTAATCACATGGGGCACACCTCAGCTGCTTGGCGTAGTTCTGCTCTATGTCTGTCCGCTCCTTCACAAACTTTATGTAGCGCTCCACCAAGTCAAGGCCCGACTGCGTGTGTTTGTCGATGGCATCACACTGGTCCTGAGAGAAGAGCAGGGTCACTTATTTACATGCAAATATTGGAGAAACACCCTAAAGAGTGTGTAATAGACAGCTGGTCCCATGACGTCCGAAACGCTTTCATCGGAGAGAAGTTTTTTATATTGTGACAGCTTTTTCCTTCTTAGACTACAAATACTGCCAAACGTTTTACAGTGCATGACTGTATGAACATTCTTCCTTATAAACAATTCCTGCAGTTTTCACGACCGGTTTCTCAGGTTTCAAGATTTCCTGCTTTTTTTTTTTTCTGTCGTGTGAAATTCAAGTGAGTGCTTCTGTGCTTTCTAAAGTTTGTTTTTCCCATTAGGTTATCCACAAAAGGATGAAATCCTTCAGCAACTCAGTAAAGAAAATACAATCTCACAATGTATAGCCATCAGTCTTCACAATTACTACATGATCACATGATTCAGTTCAACTGATCTCGGTAGTTTGTGTGAAGGCCATTGTAGGATTTTAATACAGACTTTTTAGCTGAAGTCTACAAAAAGAAAAAAACACACCTGCAGGACACTCCCTTCAACATTCCACACACATTCGTGAGTGTAAAACACACACAGAAACCTGTTGGACAGGTAATATTTGCGCTCTGTCCTTCTGCCTTTTGTCTACATGTACTATAAAAAGTGTTCTCGAAAGAGAAACTTTACCACAAAACTAAACACACCAAACATGGACAGTTCAGACCCACACAGCCTCAGGGTGGTTCCCTTCTAATGTCTCTTGTGCAACACAAAAAAGGACTCCACATCTGGTCGTTGGTGAGCATGTGAGTGTGAGACTGTGTGGATGTGCTAGGAGTCAAAAGTGCTGGGGATCTGGAGGCACAGATACTGGGCCCTCAGAGGAGAAGGAAGCTAAATGAAGATCACACATTAACACGGTTTGCGATGCCCTGGATACGGGAGAGTTTGGAGGAAGCAGCGAGGGACAAAAGAACAAGATTAGAATACACAAAGGGACAATGGAGAGAGAGAGAGATTGTTTGTATGAGGAAGGAAAGCAATCGGAGAAATCAGCTGGCTGCAAAGGCTGGCGTTGATAGAGAGATTACAGCCAAAGACATGCAGATATGTTTGTATGTACATCTTCTAACTGTTGCTACGCCCTATTACTTTAGTACGGAACATCTTCCTGTTTGTGTGAGAGGGAAATACAGATAGTGTAACAGATAAGTGTTAAGGAATGAGACAATCATTAACTGAGTGTACCTCCGCCCTGTGACTGATGGTCCCCGGGGCCTCTCAAAACGCTGGAACCAGACGGAGTAGTCCCACCCCACACTATGACGACAAACACCCACAGCAGGCAGAGCAGCGCCTTCTGATCTGGAGTCAGTTTCTAGCTTGTATCAGTGATAATGCGAGCTGCCAAAACAACAACACCGACTGCACCGACTAGTTGTAAATCAGTTTCTCTGCCATTGTGTCCTTTGTCAAACAGTAATTTACTCCGGTGGGTGTGACCACTAAAGCATAAAGACCTGGCACAGACAGCTCAAGGAAAACATTTAGCTCGGTTGGTATCTGAGCAGCAGGTTTTCCTCCCCAAAAATGCAACAAATTTGAAATGAATCTAAAACACTGAAGGTGGCTCGGCTTCCTATTCTCTGTCTATTAAAGATGGAGGTTTTCAGCACTTTACGACTGTATGTGTTGATTTGTGGATGGTTTATAAACTAAATGTCAAGTCACAAAACTGTGTATGTAGGTATACCAAACAATGAGAGTTTTCTACTGTTACAGCCTGGTCACATGGAAACACAACACAACTGCCAAAGGAAAGCCACTGCGAGAGAAGCGAGCATCTGATTCAATCCCATGTGATATACTTGAATTAATAAATGAGTGACCTCACTGTGACCTGAATTAAACGCTGAATCCTATCCCACCCATCACTGGACGAGAAAGATGCGCCGTGGATAGATTGCCAGTCCATCACAGGGCAACACAGAGACGAAGGAAGCAGACAACCTATGGGCAATTAAACCTGTCTCCAATTAACCTAACGTTCCCTGTTTTTGGATAGAGGGGTGGAGGGGGGGGGCATCCAGAGAGAACTCTCAAACATGCAAGCTGAAGCTGTTTAATTATCCGGTATCAAAACATATCTTATTTATATAAACTAATACATATGATGAAAAATGTTCTGTTTTGTGAAAACAAGGGTAGCAATAGTCAGTTACCTTAGTAACCTTGGAAACTCTTGGGCACCTCACTTACACTAATCAGTTTAATTTTGATGCTAGATACTTCTCCTAATCATTGTCCTTTCCTGGTCCGTATGATGCCAATCATATGCTTTGTTAGACCACTAAAAAAAAGTCAGCACTTTATCAAATAAATGGCCTGGTGGAGTTCCCATTCATCAGAAAACACCACATATAAACTATTTTGTGCCACGCTTCACTTTTGATGATGCAGGGTAACAATTGCTTTCATTTAAAGCTACCATCTCTAATCTCATTTTTGTTTGGGCCGTCCCACACCACTCAACATTTTAATGTTAAATTCACATAGGAAGACCATAAAAACTTGACCGCATCATACAAGTACCACTATTCAAGTTTGTTTTTGTTTTCCACCAGTAAAATGCCATAATGTTATACAGTTCAAGACGTACAACCCAACTGTCAGAGCCACAGTAACTGAATTAGGGGGAAATGTCTACTTGCTTTCCATCAGCAACCCCCAGTAGGGGCAACACAAGTCAGGGCCTTCTTGTTTGATCTCAAAACATTGTTGTGTACAACAAACCCTTTCAGGCACACACCCACCCGTTTCAGTCTGCCTGTGAAATAAGGCTGAAACCGTTGATTTCTTCATGACTTGTTGAGTGTCAGAGAGTTAAGCAGGAACTAGGCTGACATACTACCAGTTTCTCCTTGCAGCCTCTTGAATGGGAGGATTTCCTGACTCTCTGTGCCACATACTGTCAGACAAAACAAACAATCTAACGTGAGGACATGGGCTTGGGATTTAGAGACCGTAAAGACAGCAGCTATTTGTTGTTGTGGGAATGTTTCAGAGCCTTTATCCTCCGGTTTCCACAGAAGAGTTGGTGTTTTTGTGACTGACGTGGGCGTTAGAGCCACGATCGCAGCTGAGAGAAACCCTGAAACACGCAGTACTGTACTTTCATCATTGATTTACCAGCCGGACAGAAGCCTAGATGTGTCCTGAGAGGGGTGTGGGGGGTTGAGGGGGGGGGCTGTCACTGGCCGAACCTCACCTATGGGCCATTCCCGGAGCCACAGTGACAGAAAAAAGGGCGCACCTGGAACCCATGTTTAGGACTGAAGTGTGCACTTCCTTTCTGTGACCAGAAAAAAGTAGTAAACCTCACTCCCCCCCACCCCCACCGCCCATGATGAGGTATGCAGCAGGAGTTGCGAAACCCTCTGACTGCTGGGTTACTCATAAAGACCATCAGAACACCGATCGCGGCGCAAACCTGCGCCATGTGTCAAAAACAAACAGCCAAACAGTCAAACCAAGACCCAAAGAGTCACCTTTCCTCTGTAAAGTTACGTCAGAAAGCTCTGTGTCAGCTGTCAACTTACCCAAAGATCCGTTCCCCAGTCCATGTCAGCCCGGGTTGAGACGTCTCAAAGAAAAGGAGAAATCCCTGCGGTTGTTCCGAGGCAAAGGTCGGGCGTAAAGACAGACGCGCGCACGACCCAAAACCCCACTCGGAACGAAGATTACACTAAACCCCTCGCAGGCTGGAGGACGGAGCTGGCCGGAGAATTTTGAAGAGGAAGTCTACGCCTTCTCCTTGGCACGGGCCCGGTTGTTCTGTTTCTTCCAGGCAGCGAAAAAAAAAAAAAAAAAAAACCCAGGCCGTGGTTTGGTTTTTCCTGAAACTACTTTGGGTCCTGTACAGACGGGGAAGGAGGAGGTCTGCGAACCAGATGCACCTCTGTTTGTTTTTATCTTACAGAAGCAGCTTGAGGTTTTCTTTTGCACATCATGAACGTTTCTGAAAGGAACCACGAGAGCGGATCTTTTGAATAAACTCTCGGTCTGGTAGTAAAACACAAAAGCACAGCAGTCGTTACAATATCCACCTGAGACAATAAAGCAGTCGTCATCACTCATGGACTTTACTGCCTGGAAAAGAAGTAATTTCTGTTCTTAATTATATTATTGGTATTACACTAAACTAACCTCGATGTGCTCTTTTTAAAGGTAAATCAAGGTAAAATAAAACAGGTAAAGTAATAACACTGAGTGTGGGGAAGCTTTTAGTCTAACAGCACTTATAATGCATTATGTCATCAAAGATAACAAGCAGTGAAGCATCTCAGTTTATGTCATTTTGTTACATTTGTTAGCAAAAAAAAAGGCTCAGTACTACAGCCAGTTAATGGTGTTGTTCATTTTTTGGAAAATAGACACATTAGGTCAGGACCGCAGGTTGGAGTGTCCAAAACCCATTCCCTCTTCCTCCCTCTGAGGACGGTGGCTTTGTATTGCCTCTGAAAATGCATAAACACCCTGGAAAGGTGTAATTTTGACAAAAGCACATGTTTTCGTGCATCAGTGTTAGCACCCTATGGTACAAATAATACACAGCCAGAGCCACTGATACAAACCAATCACTGTGATCCTTTCACTATACAGAACACGTTTCCAGTATGTTGTGGTCCATTCTGGAATGGGATAAGGCTTCTTGTTTTTCCTGAGAAAATAGGGGTAACCCTGTATTGTAGTGAAAAATGTTTCCCACAGTCATTTCAACTATTGATGACTGATCTGAGGGCTATGAGCTCAATAGCAAACAGTGATGCTCACTCCCTTGCGCTTTAGGCACTGAAATTCCTCCAGATCCCTAGACTGGTTTAATGACATTCTGCACTGTAGATGGACAAGTTCAACATTGTCTTTGAAGAACATTGTTCTCAGCATTGCATTCATTGACAAACTGCCCCACTTTGCTCATCAAAGATTCATGATTGTATACATATTGCTTTTGGACATTTTGTGGTCACAGTTTGCAGTGATAGGATCATTCCTTTTAAAATATGCCTTTCTCACCAGCTCTAAACATTGAACATGTTCATGCAGAATGCGTTGACTGTAAATGTAAGAGCAACTGCATTTTTGTATTCCTATTTTACATCAATCTTATGTTCCATTGATTTGGGCAGTTTCCAACATCAGTTTGTTTGGGACAAATCTAACTAAAATAGGATTTTATTGAAGCAGCTAGTTGTGTTGTGATGACCGTGGAATAATAAAATGAAAGAACAGATAGAAAAAAAACAGGCAAAATATATTTGATATAGATTAGCATGTACATGGGGGGGATAGTTCCTGTTAAAACTTTTGAGGAATTCCCCCAATATTCATTGTGAGTTAAATCAGTTTTTTTTTTATTTGTACCTGGGTTGCACATGCTCTAGAGACCAAAAGTCAAAGATTGGTGGTGAACAGATTATTCTTCATCTTATAAATGCAGCACGGCCACACTTTCCTTTCCAGTTTGAAATGTCAGCCTGTTCACACCTCATTTCTGTATGAGGAGCAACACTTCCTAACATTTAAATGAAAGTTCCCCAGAAGTGCAATTCAGACAGGCCATAAATCCACTTTGGAACCAGGGAGGATCTCCGGCACAATAGTGACACCGTGTGTTAGGTGAACCAGGAACTTGAAACTGGTGTTTCGCAGTGGCTCAAACACTGAATCCTACTTTGATGAAGAAACCCACAGTTGTAATACGGATCCAAACTGTTATCCCTGCACATTCCCAGCAGGTTTATACTATGCACATTAAATATCTTTACACCCATTAAATGAATTGGCACAGCAATCCATTTCACAGACCAGTTCCATCCGGTCTCAGTTGGGCTTCTGTTGTCTCTCTTTAATCATATCCATGTCATACTAAATCTTATGGTCTGTATTTTGTTCTTTTTTGTCCAAATAAAGTAATTTGTCCATTTACTTTGGCTTTATATCTCATGAATACCTGAATTAGTTCACCTCCATAGTATTTCCTCAGCTGTGATAAATTGCTTTTCCAATGCATAAACCCAACAAAAATGACCCACTGCCAGTTTCTATCTTGCTACAAGTTTACTGTTTTCTTCTAGTGTTGGCTTCTCGTCCATCAAATAATCTATACTTTCTGGTAAACCCCTGTCAAACCTGATTGTTTGTTCTTTTTAAGCTACAAAGATAGTGTTACGAGGGACTCTTTATTTTACATATGAGGTGAGACAAATTAAGTGCCAAGGAGAAATGTCAGGGACAGGAGGTAAGGATTTATAACCTGAGAAATTAGCCTAGGGGGGAAAGTCTATGCATCAATTTTCAATACTCATTTAATTTAATTCAAATTCCCAACGGGGCTGAAGGCAGTTCCAGCTGCCTACAGAAAAAAGGCAAGATGCTCACAAATGCTCCTGCAGACGGTCTAGGTTAAATTAAACTAACATGTATGTTGTTAAATTGTAGGGCTACTCAGACTAAAAATGTATGTGAGGAACGCCACAGTTTCTTCTCTGCTTGACCAGATCTTTGCACTTTGCTTTAAAGAGGCATGACAAGTCCTACTAGAGCAGTAACGATGTAAAGACCCTATAGCGTTGCCTCCCTGTGGACACCAAAAAGTTATTAAGAGAAAATAAGAGGCCAGTGTGGATAAAGACGCTTCTCTCGGTTGTCTGTCAACATTTACCTTTCCAGATTAAGACCCACACAATGACAATTACCTGTCGTTCCACCCTTGAAGCTGCCTGGATGAAGCTGATGTTATCAGAATCGATTGAGAAGGAAGAGTACTGAGCAGAGGCCTTTCATCCTTTACACTGCTCCATGTCAACACCACTAATTCTCCTTCCTCATAGCAAGCAGGACGATACTGTCCAGTCATCCCAGAGATCTACTTCATTTAACAATTTGCATTACGACCCTTATTATACAACTATTTAAAGCTCCCTTTCTCCTCTGATTTCAAAATTACATTTAGACTCCATAATTTGAACACATCTTATCTAATTGACATAAAAATAAAGTACAAGCACGTTTTCTATTCATATGCGTTTTCCCCTTGTACTGAACAGCCAATATTTCTTTACATATGATCTCATGACGTTTAAAAAGAGTAATGCGTGAGTTGAAAGCTCCCCACTTACATATAATTAGAAATGTAATCAGACTTAACTCAAATTAAATGATTTTTATCAAACCTGTTCAATATCTGTATATAGTGGACAGATGTTTCTTCTTTATGTTTGTTTCTATTGGGCTCATAGGTCTGCAGTTTAAAAGAAAATGACACAAGGTCACTAAAACTGGGAGCGTCTGTTAATGAGTTACCAACAATTACTACAAACACCATAAAGTCGTTGTTGGTACAGGCTGTTTTATCCTTTCATTTAGGTAGACAAGTTTAATTAAATGCTAAGGGTTAGGAAGAAAAGAAATAAAAACCACAAAGTCATATAGAGATTTTTTTTATATTGTCATTATGATAAGGAGAGACTCTGACTGTTAGTATCACTATAACACTATGTTTCTTTATAGAAACAAACTGTTTGTAAAAATTAAATGAAATGATCTAGCATATTTTGAATAAGCTCAGTCTTTGCTGTTAGTTAATATTAGCTGCATCCTTATCATGAGGAGGAATTTTAACAGCTCAGGTCAGTCTGTTGTAGGATCCTGTTGGGAGATACTGGGCAGCTGTAAAGAATCCACCCAGAGGGTGTATCTGTAAAAGCATGTAACATGGGTAATTTTTGAGGATTGTGTTCTTAGTATTCTACAACAGGCCTTTTTACACATGTATTGGAGAGTATTTAATGTTTATTAATGCCATAGTCAGAGTAAAACTCACTGAAATTCGTATGACTTGATAATTACGGTATTTACGATAATTACGAATGAGCAGGTATAGAAAATGGATGGATGGCTATAAAGTGTTGCTTCTTTACTCCAATGACCTTCTGTTGTTCCGTTATTGAACTGATCACACTGTAAGTGTTGTGTGTCCTGTACTGAAGCTTTTGATTGTTTTTGATTTAACTAATCAATGTGGTAGTTACAAAGTGGCCATGTCTCATGGATCCCTTTCTAATTCATCATATAGACATCTGGGTGCGTGTATCGGTGTCTATTTGGTGATGACAGTAGGATACAGTGTAGGAAAAATGTCAGGCAAATGCCTGAGGCAGTTTTGGATGTTCTTTTTATAATTCATTCACAGAGATGTGGGGAGCTTTGTTATTAGACAGTTGCTCCCATCTATTCCCCCTCTCCTTTCTCATTTCCCCACCAGACCTGTAGAGTCATAGGTGGCTTGACATTAACAGCAGAAAAATGGATGGTTTATCTTGTACACAGTTGGTAAATCAAACAAAGGGTCCTCTGAATCACGAGCCATTGAAAGGTCAATGAAAGATTTAATTTTCTCACTCTTTTCTGAGTGGCTCCTAAACTTGGAAATAGCATCGGCTACTGCATTAGTTTTTGGGGAGGGAGCGAGTCTGGGTAGACATTAGATCCATGTTAATAAATGGTTGTCGAGGTCATCAAAATGCAGCCAGAGGGAGAGAAGGTTGAGATAGAGGCAGACAGAAAATGAGTTTTTACGTGTGGGTGAATGTGAAAAAGCACTCCTGACATGCTGAATGCTGTTATGCTGCATAACTGAAAGAAGCCTGTGTGCAAATATTCTGCTTCCATGACTCTTGACGGATGTAAATAAACAAGCAAGTTTACATTATTCTGTTTATAGAAGCATTGCATAACCTGTCTGGCTGCAGGAGCTCAGATAAGTAAGAGTTTTCAGATTGCGGTGGCTGATTCTACTTTCAGTTCCAACTATGGTTCTTGCACACAGAAGTGAAACTGATCAAACAGAGCTCT